TGACCCCTACGACTGGCTCCAGCTCGCCTCAGCCGTACCATTCCCAACCATTTGGGGTACCCGCACCTGCACTTGAACGTCGAGATCCCACATATCCGTTTCGGCAACATGATCCTAGCCTGCCGTCCTACGTATCTCCACCCGAAGGCCTGTCAGAAAACCTCTCGCAGTCGCATACCGGCAGTCTCCCACGCTTGGCGCGAGTCACCATGCAGAACCCCGGAGAGATGAAGCATCACGCAGTAACCCGGAGCGATTCTTCTATCCCGTCATTTCAGCATTCACAGTTGCCGGTGCAAGGAACGACATTTCACGAAAAGACGGCGAGTGACATGTCATCGCCAGAGACAACGAATCGACCACATAAACGTTCCGTGCGACCCCATGTCATTGATGAGCGGTATATCGAAGGAGAAGGAATTTGCTATGTATATGCGGATGGATCCCATTGCCCTAAGGCTGTCGACGGAATTCCCGTGAATGCAAACTGGGGGGTCACCAAAGCAGGAAGACCCAGAAAACGGCTGGCACAGGCATGCTTGACCTGTCGCGAGAAGAAAATCAAGTGCCAACCAAACCTTCCAAAATGCGATCAGTGTCAAAAATCTGGACGGGAATGCAGGTTCGAGAGTGCGTAAGTGTTTCATTGGGAGGATGAATCGTGGATTTGTCTGGCTGAAACTACGAGCATTACCGCTGACATTGTTACAGTCCGCGTGGGGGCCGAGGCTCGTTAAAGGGATCCCAATCAGGACCGTCTAGCAAAGACGGGTTCTCTCCTGTTGGTCATATCGGTTCGGATGCTTCTCCATCCATGTACAATATTGTTCGAGCGTCCAACAGTTCTACCTCCCTTGCGGGAACCAGTGGACATTCGCCAATGTCCGACGGGCCCACGATGGGAGAAACCACCTACGAGACTATGGCTGAGGCAGACCGAGCGTACCGGTCTCGAATGCACAGAATCCCACCATCCTCATCCATCTCTGGGGATACACCTACACGCCAACCCGAATCCGCCGAACCGAATCGTTTACCTGAATATTCCGATGTACTTCGTGAGCTCAAGGATGTTGACCCCGATGACCCACTTGTGAAATCGTGGAACTTAGATCCATATGACACCGACCCAGAGGTCACTACGCGTTACGTGGAGTGCTATTTCTCTCATATCAACAATGGGTTGTACCGCATGTTTCCTCACACCCGATTCATGTTATGGCTAAGATCCAGTCACACCAAGACTGCTGAGGACAAGATGCTGCTATATTCAATGATGGCCCTGGGCTCTGTGTTCTCGGAGCATCCTGACAACGTGGTCTCGTTGAGACGATATTCCCGGATCGCACGTTTTGCCATTAGTCGAAATCAATACAGCCTTTCTCTGCAGCTTGCCCAGAGTCATCTCATTATGAGTCTCTGGTACTATGCCACCGGGTCCTTGGTTGGATGCTGGGACTCCATCGGGGCGGCAGGGCGAGCGGTATATGGGCTTCGATATAATGTGGAGTCTGGAGGTGTTGTTTTGAACCAAAGCCACGATTGTGAGTATGGCCTGCATCCGCAAGCATTGATCGAATGCCGTCGTCGGACATTCTGGGCAGCATTCATGTTGGATGTGAGTATACGTACCCTTCCGATACAGACAGAATCATGGGAAAACTAATAAGATCAAAAGCGCTTTTCGAGTCTCTATTCAGCATCTTCCACCTTGATGCCTTCAGAATCGGCTCTTCTGCGACTGCCCTGCCAAGAGGATGTCTATGAAACGCAGCAATACGCTACAGCACCTTACTTCCAGACTATCCTGAACCAAACCCCTCCTGCAACAGAAGACAATCGGTCTTCGCTGAGCGCTATGGCAATCTTGATCGAGATACTGGCTTACTGGGGTGATGTTTCACTCCATGTCTTCCGACTACCACATATTCCATCCGAATCGTACGGACGATTGGCAGAAGAATTTCACGAGTCAATCTACCGACAGACAAGCGAGTGGATTGCTCGACTGCCCGAACATCTGGTATTTTCTGTTATCAACCTTGAGCAAAGTATCCGGACAAAGCAGGCGGATACATTCATGTCGATCCACCTGCTTTATCATGGCACCTTGATGAAGTTGTACCGACATGTCCGGTATCAGAGCCTCCGAGCCGAAGTTTTAGACCAGTATATTCGCCGCGCTCGATTTCATGCTGTGGAAATCTTGAAAATCGCCTACGCCTTTGATCAATATGCCGATGAAATCGAGTCCTCTCGCTCCAATGCAGACACTATGCCTCCGAGTGTGATCTTCCTAAACCCGTTTCTGGGGTATATCATTCTCATGGCCGTGGATGTTCTCACTGCTGCAGGTCTGACATCCGAGCTATCAGACTGTGTCTCCTTGGTTCGAGGTGGCCTCGGTGCGCTCAAAAAGCTCAGCAGGTATTGGGATAGCTCTCTGCAGCTGGTGTCTTCTTTGCAGAGACGTACGGCGGCAATGACGGATTGCTTGAATGACCGAGTTCGTATGGAAGAAACGCTCGGCTTTGCTCTGGACGGGCCGTCGCTTGAAACCAAGGTCCACGCTGACACACTTCCTTCGCAATTTCCTGGCTCGCACAGTGAAGATCTCTTTTTAGGAGTCATGCCCCGAGAGTATCTTTTGAATGCCATGCGGGTCGATGATATTACCTTTCCGCCTGGCAGCATCATTTGGATCAAGGACCAGTGAGATTCATATTCTCCCCTTGCTCGACCGGCTTTTTCAAAATTCAAGATGGCAATGTCTCATAATTAATATAAAGAGTGGTCCCCAACGTTCCCTTCATTTGGAGTCCTGCTTTTCACACGATTTTCAGTTATGCATCTTTCGCATTTCCTCGTACAAGCGTTGGAGTAGGGTTGCTCTTGGGCTTTTCCCTTTTCAATTCCATTCAATTCTTTATTGTCTTTTTATGATGTTGATGATGAAGGTGCTCTGGGTTGAATGTTCTACAACCCATTTGCACAACAGATGGGCTTAATGTGGTTGATTTTGTCTTCCTTCCGTTGTATATTATTTTCTGCCTGTCCTTGCCCTTGTGTTTTCCGGACCTGTTGAGTACTCTGTGCGTATATGTATATCTATAGCAGCCCAAGAATAAGCTTTTTCTTAGCACTTTGAGCTTGATTTGAGGCCTTAAATGGCCGACATCAAGAAGACAAACGCAGAGTACAAAATTTGGAATACCAGATATTTGGTCGAAGATCGGCAGATATATTTGCGCTGTTCTGTATTTGATTCTCCTTTATGTACTTGAATAGAATTCATATAATCCAGGCCATCTAGAAACTAGTCAACATCTCAGGCGAGTACCACCTCGCCCAAGCAACCCTTCCCTCCGAAGGCGTCATAAGAGCCGCATAATGGGTGCATTCGTTCAATATGGGGATTGTATTCAGCCACTTCAACGCCTCGGACGCTGTAATAGACACATCCAGATCTTCAGAGGTTTCCTGCTTCTTCTTCTTGTTCTCCGCCTCTTCTGATTTCTTCTTCCTCAATCGCAGAGATGAACGAGTAGAGCTTGGATGTTCGGTCTGTTCGAGCTCGTCTTGCCAAGTACGCCTGGAGTTTTCTTTTTTGACTTTGGCATCCCACTTTTCCTGCATACAGCCGAGTCGTTCGTTGCTCTCTTCGATTAGATCGGTCATAGACGGGATGTCAGCAGAAATGAGGCCTAGTCCGGCGTGTTGCCTTTTGTCTTCAGCGACGGCCTCCGCTGGCTTAGAGCCGGGCTGTTGGTCGTGATTGGTCGTGACGATGAATGATTCAGATGTGCGCACAAATGCGTCGCGGTGGTCCTTCTCCATGATCACTGCCGTCTTGCCGTCGCAAAATATCAGGTAGGCTGCTGTTGTTGGGAGACTGGGAACTTGAGCGATAATATCCTGGAGCGTGGGATCTTTCAATCCATGAGACGGAGAGCGCCCAAAGCACCACTGGCGAATTGCAGACATGAAAGATCGTTTCTCGGGCGAGACAGGCATAATGCACTGTCGAAGAAGGGACGAGATAGACTGGCGAAGTCCCAGCAAAACGAACAGGTGGTTAAGATAGAAAGACAAATTGCGGCTTGGATCATGCACTGGTCGGAAGTTGAGGGAGACGCTGAGATCCTGCTTCACCCCGGTCAAGACACCCACAAAGCCCACATACGTGATGCTGGTTGCAAGCACTTTCTGTGGCTCGTCTCCTCTGATGAAATCAAACTGCACGATCAGTTCTCTCAGAGGATCCATCCCCCAGTCCAGGGTGCGAAAGTGCAGCATATGGGTCTGGCCAGTGGCCTTTTTGCATCGTACACCTCCACTCGTGCAGCCCATGAGCAGATCGAGCACGACATTGAGGCAGATCAGAAGATAGAGATGAATACCCGTCTCGTGGCTGATGCCTTGGATCTCGGCTGTCTCCTCAGCTGTGTATAACTTGCGTAGAAAGAGGCGGGCCAGGTAATGGACCAAGTTCACTGGTATCCGGGGAGAAATCCCTACAATCAACTCATCGAACATGCCGGTCAGGGATCGCATCCTCTCCCGGTAGAGACGTGCAACCGCAACATATCGTTCAGCTGGAGGCAGAGACAGGTCAATACGGTAGACTGGCGGTTTGGTTCCTTTCCACGGATCAGCCATGATAAGAAGGACGGGTGATTAGAGATGGTGATGAGACGGAGTCGAGTTGTGGCCACTGCAGAGAACCAGGGCGAAGTTAAGCGAAGAAGGAAAGACACTAGACGGGAATTGGGCAGTGCATTTCAGTTATCCAATTTAGTGCCATTTCAACCTGAAATCATTTGTTCTATCACGGCTAGGGTCATCAATCACTACCTAAACTACATGTAACACTCTGCTGTAGAGACGCCGATCGGCCCCACAAAACACAGGCAAGTTTCTCCAGCTCCGGGCGGAAGTCATCACCGGCGGTGATTATCCCCACAACTAACCACCATGCCTAGCTAGCTCAGCCAGACTCCATGTCGTCTCCTTTTATCCCTAGGCAGGGGGAGTTTGGAGCCTCAGAGGACGATGGGCTCGATGCTGATTATAGCTTGGTCGCGGAGTATCCCGAGGAGGTCGACTACTACGCCTTGCTCGGCCTATCGCGAACACCTCGCCCGACCGACACGGACATTCGCTCTGCCTACCGCAACCTAACACTCAGTTTCCACCCGGACAAACAACCTCCGCACCTACGCGAAGCCGCCGAGCACCACTTCACCCAGATCCAAGATGCCTACACGACCCTCATCGACCCGAAGAAGCGCGAAGTCTATGATCTGCTGGGTGCAGAGGGTGTGCGACAGGAATGGGCCCGTGGTGGTGCCATGGGGATTGGAGGAGAGGCGCACCAACAGCAGGTCGGGGTCAAGACTATGTCGGCGGACCAATTTCGGCGCTGGTTCTTGAAGACGATGAAAGCGCGGGAAAGGAAGGCTGTGGATAGCATGGTGTTGAGTCGGGTATGTGTCTTGTCGTGGCCTCTTTGGTGCAGTGCTGACCTGTGTTTGGACCACTAGGGCCACATTACCTTGGGGATCAATGCATCCAACACAATAAGTGTGGATGCAGAGGACAATGATGTGACATTTCACCTACCTTCGCCCCGGCTCTCCTCCTATGCCCTGAACTACAACTTCAAGGCACCGATCCATGTGCCCAATCTCTGGAGTCACCAAGAAGAGCAGCCTGAAGACGAAGATTCGGCTCCTGGAAGCCACGGGGCAGAGGAGCCCGAGCCCCTAGATGTGACAATACAGACTGGCATTGCCGGCGTGCTTAAATGTCCTACTCAAAAGTTCACACTCACTCATGAAGATGACTCTGAGGAAGAACGGATAGTAAGTATCGATGCTCTCAGCAGGTTTAATAGACACTGACTGTTCTCTAGGTTCCTCTACCACTGGCCCTTGTGGCCAAAGACCTTGTAGTTGGTGCCTCCGCCAGCCAGTCTTTGACAAGCACCACAGGAATATGGGGTCGACGTCCCTTCTCCGTCCTAAATGGCTCTACTGTTACAGCGACTGCCCTCCTACTTCCGGTGCCAACCTTCCAAACCAGTGTGCAGAGAGCCTTTCAACCAATATCTGGCATCAATCCCTTCAATGTTAATGTGACGAGTACATTCACACGGTCTTTATTGGAAACGCCGCCTTCGCTTCAGGTGCATGCTACTAAACAGGTTGCTGAAACGAAGATTGCCTTCTGCACCTGGTCCAGTGGCATGTTAACCTGGCCAGAGGCCATTATGCGCCTCCCTTTTATCAACCTGAGTTTCGACTCCATCATCAGAGGCACTAGTGAAACGGACAGCTTGCAAATTGGACTGATGTCCTTTTCAAAGCCCGACAGGCGGACAGCAAGCGCCGCAGACGACGAGGAAGAACAGGACGAGGAGCTGCAGGAACTTTCGAAAAAGCAAGATGAGCTAGACCGTGCTGCAGAATCCTGGCAGGCTGTGATTCAGGCCTCTCCCGGAGGCGGTGCTCTGTCTCTGACCTATTCACGAAACTTATTTTCTGGCAAACCGGCCGATGACCCTGTCAGAGCGGAGTGGAGCTCAGAGGGCTACCATCCCATCCCAAACACAGATCAACCCCGCGCGGTGCGACTGGAAGTCTCCGGCGCCATCGACCTCGGCCTTTCTCTGGCATGGAATGTTATGGGCGTCAGACAGATCGGCAAATTTACCCGAATGGGACTCGGAATCGGTATAGCCGAACAGGGTATCGTGATGAACGTGTCCTGGAGACGGCTTGGCCAACGCATCACAGTCCCCATTACCTTATGTCCTGTACAAGAAGCAAGCCAGGACGCCGCAGTGCTAGCTACCATCTTCCCCTGGCTGGCATACTGTGCCATCGAATTTGGCTATATTCGCCCGCGCAATAGGAAGAGGCGTCGGCAGGCGGCAGCTCGCCGGCACAATGAGCTGAAGAAACTCATACCCAAGAAGCGGGAGGAGAGTCAGCAGGCCATCGAGCTCATTTTCGATCAAGTGCAGAAAAGGCAGGCTCGGGAGCAGGCGCAAGATGGGCTGGTTATCACGAAAGCCGAGTACGGTTACGTTCCTCCGACAAATAAGAAACCCAAGAACGGATTTGCCGAGCCTAGGGTCATCGACGTGACTGTACCGGTGGCTGGACTGGTAGAACGGGGCCAGCTGATCATTTCCCAAGATACCGTCAAGGTAAGTCGAAAATGAGAGAGTTCTTGGTTTACATACTAATTTGGTTCATAGTTCAAACTGCTCGGGTTCTATGATCCAGCCCCATTGTTGCCGAAACGGTTGAAGATCTGGTATAGGTACCAAGGACAAGATCACTTTGTGGACGCTGGTGATAAGGACGGTGTTGCCTGTCCTATGCGCCCGCATCTAGTTTCTGTCTCACCGGGAGTGCGCGATCAGCCATATGGCTCCCCTTAGGGTTTGCATTTGTCTGTGGCCATCATTTTTGCATCTCGTTGGATCGTCGATACCTTTCTGCCACACATCATACACCTATGTGTGCTATTGTAGAATATATATATATAAGTCAGAGTGATAGAGAAGATGCATCGTCGTCATCTACACATCCGCTAATATTGGCTAGATCTGTACCAAATGGGCGGGCGAGTACGGTCGGCGACCCACGCCAGAAGCGCAGCTGCCACTGCCCGGCCTCGAACAACTTTCTTCTCCTGCTCATTTTCCAACCCACAACTGGACAGCACTTTGTCTGCTACCGTGGTCCACAATGAGCTCACTTGCATCGGGGCTTTTCAAATCCCTCCCCAAGCCCAAATACACCGGCGAGGAAGAAGAGCTACCGGCGCACGCGCAACCCCGGGGTCCGCGTGTGGTGGGCGCCGACCAGCTCGACGAAACACAAGTTGTCCTACGGGTGAGTTTTTATCGCGAGACTGCAGAAATGAAAGGACTGATCACTCATTGAATCCCTCGCAGAGAACCGGTCCTCCCCCTTATGGAAACCGTGCAGGATGGCGACCGCGGGCGCCCGAAGATTTTGGCGATGGCGGTGCTTTTCCGGAAATTCTCGTCGCGCAATATCCCCTTGACATGGGCCGCAAGGGGACGTCATCTACTTCGAATGCGCTAGCCGTGCAGGTTGATGCGGAGGGAAAAGTCAAATACGATGCGATCGCGCGGCGCGGACACGGTGACAACCACATTGTTCATGCTTCGTTCAAGGATCTGATCCCGCTCCGGCAGCGGGTGGATATGGGAGAGGTTTCTTTGGATCGGCCTTCGGAGGAGGAGGTCCAGGAGCAGATGGAGAAGACCAAGAGTGCGCTGGCAAGCTTGGTCGAGGGAGCTGTGTCCGCGCAGAAGCCGAAGAACGTCAAGGGCGGAAAGAGGGCAGAGCCGACTTTTGTGCGATACACCCCGGCGAATCAAATGGGTGACAACACGAACAAAAATGATCGCATCATGAAAATCGTCGAGAGACAGCAGGATCCGATGGAGCCGCCCAAGTTCAAGCACAAGAAGATTCCCCGTGGCCCGCCGTCCCCTCCGCCGCCGGTCATGCACTCTCCGCCCCGTAAGCTGACCGCGGAGGACCAAGAAGCCTGGAAAATTCCGCCTCCCGTATCGAATTGGAAGAATCCGAAGGGTTATACGGTCCCCTTGGACAAACGTCTAGCCGCGGATGGCCGTGGACTGCAGGAAAATACGATCAACGACAAGTTCGCCCAGTTCGCAGAGGCCCTGTTCACAGCGGACCGGCACGCGCGCGAGGAGGTGTCGCTCCGAGCTCAGATGCAACAGAAGCTGGCAGAGAAGGAGAAAGCACAGAAGGAGGAGCATCTTCGACAGCTGGCACAGAAGGCCCGCGAGGAGCGCGCCGGTCCCAGCCAGCAGCGCGCTTCACGGGCAAGATCCACTTCTCGAAGTGTCAGCCGCAGTCCGTCTCCATACTCCTCTAGGTCAGGTTCCCCAAGTGGTGACGAGGCGGCACGGGAACGCGAGGAGCAGCGCCGTGAGCGGCGCCAGGAGGCTCAGCGACAGCTTCGCCAGTCCCGCATGGGTGCTGAACGTCGCATTCAGACTATGGCGCGTGAGCAAAACCGTGATATCTCCGAGAAGGTCGCGCTGGGTCTGGCCAAACCGACACAGAGCTCCGAGTCCATGTGGGATTCCCGTCTATTCAACCAAACTAGCGGTATGCATGCCGGTTTCAACGAAGATAACCCCTACGATAAGCCGCTGTTTGCCGCGCAGGACGCCATCAACAGCATCTACCGCCCCCGAGCGCAAGTTGACGCCGACGATGAAGAAGCCGGCGAGGGTGAAATGAGCAAGCTCCAGAAGACCAACCGATTCGAGGTTCTGGGACGGGCCAAAGAGGGTTTCAAGGGCGCTGCTGATGCAGAGGAACGCCAGGGTCCCGTTCAATTCGAGAAGGACACGGCCGATCCGTTCGGTATTGACAGCATGATTGCCGATGTGACTTCAGGCGCTGGTCAAAAACGCTATGGGATCCAGGAAGCTGAACGGGATGACCGCGGCTCGAAGCGGGCGAGAGTCGAAGAGGATGATTAGGCTTGACTGTTAGTGTGTCGATATGAACTTTATCATTTCCTTCTTTATCGGCTGGGAAAAAGCTATTCTGAATGCATTGCGGGCGTTTTGGCTCTGTACACCACTTTCATGTCAAATTGTGCCACGGGGATGCCTCTTGGATAAGACGAAAGTCTACGGGGTGGATTGTTGACAAGTACTTATCCATTAAACACTATCAATTCAACTGATAACCTAACTCCAATACTCCGAGTCCATCCCATACGTTTAGTTCTTCACCTCCGAAGCGTTAGGCGAAAGCACGTCCTCTAGCCATTTGTAGGCAACCGGCAGACTATCCGGGTATCCCATGTGCACGAGGCCGTTGAAGAATCTGTCAAGTGGTTAGTCAAACAGTATGCTCTTGCTGTTAACATAAAATTTCACTTACCGTCCTTCCTTGGGACCGCCGTGGCTGAAGAGGACCATCGAGTCCTCAATAGGCACAACGCCGTCGTTCATACCCTAAGCCTGTCAGCACAGAATTTACAGATGGTGAATACGATAAGACATACGTTGAGCATCAGAAGCCGGCAGTTGGGCTGGTCAACAACACCAGTCTCGACGAGAGAGAACTTCTTCTGCGCGTTCTTCTCGAAGTCCGCCACATCGGTGTAGCCGAATTTCTCTGCGAGACAGGGAGTGAGTCTGTCGATGTGTTAGTATCTCAATAAATCCATCCGGTTCATGATGACAGATACTCACGTAAAAGGATACTCATGGTCATTGACGCGGCTCAACCACTCGCCATCCAGGAAGTAATGAGAGCCCGGACCATGAGCAACAGATCCAGCCAGACGATCACGGTGCGTACAAGCAGCGCGAATAGCATAGAAGCCACCAGCACTCAGACCCCAAGCCGCGACACGAGTCATATCGAACTCCGGCCGCTGAGCCATGTACTCCAGAACGCTGGACCAAAGCCGATCAGGCGACTCCGGGTCCGCGGGATCAGCAGGCGAGTCTGCGGTGCCAGGAATCTCACAGATAACAGTCGCCCAGCCGCGACCAATGATCTCGTGCGTGCGCTGGCTATTGTCAGGACGATAGCCATCCAGCCCCGTCATCAGCAGCACGACGGGCACTTTGTTCTGTGCGCTGGCTTCCTCCGGCAGCCGCACGTACAGCGGGATCTGGGCACCGTCTTTGCCCGCACGGCGTGCGTGCGGAATCACCACTTCCTTAATGGGAGGGCTCCACAGCGAGGCTGCTTTGAGGTACAGATGCTTCTGGCGCTCGAAAGCAGCGCGCTTGATAGAGGTCTCGGGCTTGGTCGACGGGCTGACGTAGGGGAAGCGCGAGATCCGGAGAACCACCGCTGCACGGCGGTACAGGTCAGATGCTTGGTCCTTTTTGCCGGCGCTCATAGCTTCCGCGGCTTCGTTCTCCAGTGCCGTGACGGTGGACAGGAACGCGTTAGTGTAGGCGTCCGTGAAGGCATCGTTGACGTTCTCCTATATACTGTTAGAATTGTCTTGAATGGATCAAAGCATAATCCAACGGACCGCAATCAGCTTCTGGAAGATGGGCTCGAAGTCCTCGTACATGCCATCGTGGAACGGATACACGGATTTCTGGCACTGAGGGCGCAAGTCAAGGTTAGTTTGATCTGAGCGAGTCGATTTGGCGGGACAGGCAAAGGCCGAATGCACGTACACAGAATTTCCACTTAGTCTCCCAGAGGGCCTTGATAGACCCCTTATGGGGGTAGACAGTGTTGAATTTGTCTCCGAGGATCCACGGCGCCATGGTGAGAGTGATGGTTTTGTTGTGAGACCAAAGTGTAGCGGTGTTTACCAGTTGCACTGTCGAAGATCAGATTCAAGTGGTGTTATAAGCAGCATTCCCATTACCAGTAGTATTACGGTTCCAAATGTCTACTTCTACTGGCTCGCTGGAAACGGGAGTCTGCCGGGCCATCTGACAAACCCCGTCCCTTTTGGGTGGGTAGGAACGGGGTGGTGAACGAAACAGTAGCATTTCAAATTGCCACAGAGATTGGTATGGGGAGGCTAGATTTTGGCTCATCCGGTCTAGTGCTTTCTTTTCCGCTTTGAGACAGGCCAGAAGATTGGTATTGACGGTTACCGAGTTGGCGGGACTGGCTTCAACTTCCGAATGCGGCTGCCAGGATGATTGTAAGAGATCTGTCTGATCAAGAAATTGTGGGTATTCTCACCTTCATGGGATGATTTAGTGTACAGGTATCGACGAATTACTGTACTATCAAGGTTCAAAGTGTCTTAGCAGACTCATCCAAACCACTGTCCCGTGATCGCCAAGCCCTAATTCAGGAACAGATGCTCGAAGTACAAACTAGCTGGACGAACACAATGTGGTCGGTCTTCTTAGAACTCGTTTGATGACAGGTATATATTGAGATTAAATATCGAAATAATTATGAAACAATTATACAATGTCGCAATATACTCTGGTCAAGTCTTGTACCTGCCGAGCTATCCAACGCCCTATCCCGTCGACTCTGGATACAACGAGACCCAAACACCAACTCCCTCAAATATTGGCACCACCATTCAGCGGCAAAATTTGGCCTAAACAAAAATTAGCCGAGTCTCAATTAAGGGGGATTGAGAGAAAGGAAAGTCATCATTCCACTCACCGTTGATCCATTCCCCAGCGGGGCTAGACAAAAATGCCACAACGCGGCCGATATCCGCTGGCACACCGCAGCGCTTGAGCGGGCTGCCATGGGCGAGGGCCTTCTCAATCTCCTCAAGAGATGAGTTCTGATCACAGCCCGGCGCATAGCGCCACGAGTTGCTGAGCCACATGTCACTCTTGATGCCGGCGGGAGCAATCGCATTGACGGTGCAGCCCTTCTTGCCGAAATCCGCCGCAAAACAGCGGGTGAAACCCTCGACGGCGCTCTTGCTGCCAGCGTAAAGGGCATGACCCGGAACACCAATTCCCGCGGCGATGGAGGACATTAGCACCACACTTCCGCCGGGCTGGATGTAGTCGTAAGCGTTCTTGGCGACGAAGAACTGGGCGCGGGTGTTGAGATCAAACACTTCGTTGAAATCTTCCAGCGATGTCTCGTTCAGTGGCTTGAACTTCTCAGTTCCCGAGTTCGAAACAACAATATCCAGTTTTCCAAAGTGTGCGACAACCTGTCGGAACAGGTTCTCAATCGACTCCAGCTTTGTCAGGTCTGCTTGGAAGGCGGCGCCACGACCACCCATTCCCAGCGCCTCGATATCTTGAACAACGTTCTCGGCGGACGATGAGCTGCTGGAATAGTTGACTGCAACAGAGGCACCTTTCTTTGCCAGCTCTAATGCAATTCCGGCCCCGATGCCACGACCGCCACCGGTCACGAGAGCGACTTTTCCTGCCAGCTCGGGCTGAGCGGCATTGGGGTTGGTAACGACCATTTTGATCGAGGTGTTGGGTTGAACAGAGACCTGAGAAGGAAAACCTGAAGACTTGAGACAGTCTTAAAGGATGATAAAAATCTAATGTTGGGGTACGCCCTGTTTAAAAAAGGATCTGCGAAGATAATCTGGCTGAAATCAGCTATATAGACCTATCTCCATTTCATCGGCCCGGAAGGCCAGTCGGCTCAGTAGGGACAAGTCATGCCGCTTATGGAAACCAGTTTGCCCCTAAACGAATAGCTATTGGAGGCCCAGAACATTATTTTGCTTTTATGGGAGTTCCAATTTGAAACAGCCCGCGAACAGTGCCTGAAAACATATCCGCCTTGGTCGTTGCCGCATGCGGAAAGCTGTCCACCACGCCACCCACCGCATGAGCCCAACGTTCCCAACCGATGTATATGGTTGCATTCACTGAACTGGTGCCTAGGAAATGGTTGTCTAGAATGGCCAAGGTTTTGGAAGAACCTTGCCCGAGCCCGGTTCCTCTCTCTGTAAATACGCCTACCCACCTACCATATCATATTGTTGCTGCCATACATTCGTACTTTTTCCCTTTTGATCAATTCTTAAACGATAGCCGCTATGTCTCCTGCAGTCAAGAACAGCACAGAACCCAACCTGGACATCAGCTTCCCAGGTCCGAAATATATATCACATCTTTCTGAGCGATAACTAATCAAGGAATAGACTACCTTGTCCTGTCCAAGCTGGTATTCGACTGGGCTGACAGCTATGATGCCAAAGTACTGCCCATACATATTAAAGAGAAGCCGTCGCTAATCAGACTACACAGGACTGGGACCGTCTCCGTAGCATCATCGCCCCAACCCTGACCGTATGTCCACCACACCAAAGAATACCGCATCCCACGCTCTAACGCGCCTTTCTTAATAGGTTGACTACACCAAAATTGGCCTTAAACGCTGGGACAACATGTCAGCCGACGATTACATGGCGATGGTGACGCACCCAGGCTTCCTGGGTGACCGCACCATCAAGACTCAGCATCTGCTGGGCCAGACGTGGTGGGAGAAGATCTCCGACACTGAAGTCATTGGCCACCACCAGCTGCGTGCGGCGCACCAGGTCTACACCGATATCGATCTGGAGACCGTCAAGCTGCGCGGTCATTCCCACGCGACGAATGAGCACTATTATCGCAAGGTGGATGGTGTCTGGAAGTTTGCAGGCTTGAAGCCGAATGTTAGGTGGAATGAGTTGCGTTTTGAGGAGGTTTTCAAGGGGCTGGATTGAGCATGTCACAGAGTTTCTGGCACGGTTAGGGTTATGTGTGAATTTGACTAGCTAGCCCTAGGCCGGAGAAGTGGACAGAATGACTTGAAGGCTCAATTAATCACTGGATTGAAGAGAACCAAATAAAGTGAATGAAGACAACCCAATGGGTTGGATTATGAATTATGATTATCCCGTCTGATAACGACTGGGAATAAGAAAATGATGTATGTACAAGCCTTGCAGAAACAAATTTCGCAAGGATGAGGTACTTCAAATGTCAGGATGATGGACTCTACAGTTGTGCATACTGCTCCCAGTACTCATCACCTTCCTTAGGTCTGCATGAGCATGTTAGCACAAAGCTTTAATTTAGTGTGGAGACTTGATCCTTACCCTGAGTCATGAGTCTTGATCTTGTCATGACCGACCTGAACATAGGCATCGTTCTCATTAGGTCCTGAGTCATGAGTCTTGATCTTGTCATGGCCAACTTCAACATAGGCGTTGTTCTCATTGGATAAGGGCCTAAACCGGTCAGAACAGAGAAATGGACTTGAATCAAGGAGGCTTACTTGTGGTCCTCCGAATGAACGATAGGCTCATGCTGATGAAGCTCATGAGGAGGTTGCTCATGATGAGGAGGTGGCGGCTGAACAGGGGCGGAACAAGCATCGGGCCTGCCATAAAGTTAGCACTGTATCAGAAACACTACTCAGGAAGCTACTTACCCAGGTCCAGGAACAACCGGAGCAGGGGGTGGTACAGGAGCAGGGCTCTCCCCATCGACAGGGTACATGGCACCTGAGCTTCCAACGGGCACCACAGTGTTAGCACCGGTCAGATCAAGGCCTTGATTGCCAGCGGCGTTCCCAAAAGCCGGGCTAGGATAAGCAGCGCAATCATGCTTGTGATCGATAGGAATTGGCATCTCAGACCCCGGGAAGGTCTCCGGAGCCTCGATGATGGTCGCCATCAAGCCGCCCATGACGTGCCACTCAACATGGCAGTGCAGCAACCACACACCAGGGTTGTCTGCACGGAAACGAATGACAACATGGCCGTGGTTCTGCACCATGATAGTGTCACGCCGGATCGGAGTTTCAGACACGTTCGCGGAGTAACCGGTGAAATAGCCGCCATCGACAGCCGATCTCTGCAGAACCTGGAACTGGTGACCGTGCAAGTGCCACGGATGCAGGTTGTTGTGATGGTTGTTGATAATGACTTCAACGACCTCGCCGTATCGAACCACGTAAGGGTTGACTTCGCCATAGACAGCTGGATCAGATGAAAACTCCGGCCCAACTGTCATGGCCGTGTACAGTGATGGAACCTTTGGGGACAGGTAGGTCTCGTTGTTAATAGTAAACCGAGGGACACCATCAATCTCCTTGGCAGAGGTGTCAAAAATGATTTGGTGATCCACGGGTCCCAGAAGCGGTTCGCGATCGAAAGGGATAAGGTTAACATCATCAACGAAGTCCAGCTCGTTGAAGGACGGAGGCGGAGGTAGGGGTTTAGTCTCATCATAGACAAGCCAAGCCGTAGCATTGGGGTTGTAGCCAGGGGGGATGGGTCGATCCTCATAGATGAACATCATGTTGATGTCCATGGTGTCCCAGATGGCAAAGTTCTCGCTGGTATCGCTCTTCGTGTGAATCAGAACACTCATGCGCTGGCCAGGAGCCACACGCAGCATCTTGTCTCCAACAATGTAGGGCTCCGTATAAACACCGTCCACTTCAACGACCGTCATTTCATGGTCATCGAAGACCCACGCATGGCCAGGCCAACTTGATATACAGATGATATGGACCAGGTACGTCGTATCCGGCTTGACCTTGATCTGTGTTCCTGAGTTGTCATTGATCAAGGCGGAGTCCGGGATGGGTTCAAAACCGGCTGCCCCATTGGCTTGTGACAGGTACTGGTCGAGGAGACCCGGCATCTGGTCATGGTACCAGTCGCTGAGAGTGATGGTAAACTCATCGTCATACTGGAACGGTGGCGCAGGGTCGTGAACGATGAAAGCGCCACGGAATCCATCTGGATACTGGGCCATATTGTGCGAATGGTACCAGTAGGATCCGGTTTGCTCAACCTATAGCCGACTACTATTAGCATCTTTCCCAAAATACAAAACGACTACATACCATAAAGTCGTAGCGCATACTCTGGCCTGGAGCAATGGGGCACTGAGTCACTTCGCTACTCCCATCCATGACACCGCTCATGTACTGATGGAAGCCATGCCAGTGAACACCGGTCGACTGGTTTCCAAGGCCGTTGTACACATCAACAATCAGACGGTCACCTAGATCCACATCCACCTGTGGACAGGGCCATTGGTCATTGATCCCAATCACCGGACGCTCAAATCCATCGGGAGCAGCGTTGACCCAAGTGACATCCCACTTCAGATAAACATCCTTGGCCAACCCTAGTTTGGCGGCCCATGCCGCCAGCAGGACTAGAGAGAATCTAGACATTGAGGCTGGTCATTTAACGACGAACGAATGACAATCGACAGCTGTATGATGAGGATAGGTAGATCCTCGAACGAGTGTAAAGGGGTCGATGAATCGACGCTAAACAACAATAAAAAGAATGGAGATAGGTTGTCGACTGTAATCAGCGCAGGTCGGTCGCTGTGTTGGTTGCAAACAGAAGATCAACGTGAGACGAGCTTGACTACTTATAATAGCAAAATCATAACAATAGGCCTCATGGTGATCTGCGCTAGGGGCTGTCTAAGCATGCTACTGGTTCCTGAAAGCATCGTTTCAGTCATTAGAAGATCACAACAGCAGATGGAGAAAAATAACCAAACAGTCGTTTTCGGCAGAGGAATGCTCCAAGTGGCTTCGGAATGCCGAAAAGGGCAATAGGCAAGTCTTCTTCCTGCCGTTCGACGCAAGGGGCCGCATACCAGGCGGGTAGATCGGGGAAATCATAAACAAAAACGGTCGATTTCAAAATTGCGATGGCTGTGAGTAGCCATGGTTACTGTTTGCGGAAGTTGTGATGGAAGAGCTGCTTTACTATGGTGTTTTTTTCCCTCATCCGGAAACAGGCAAATACTCGTGGCTGTTCACTCAGCATCATCCAAATGCTCAATACCCAGTTCAGAGAGAATGGCGTCCATATGAAGCGTCATCGTAATTGGATGTGCTGCTGTCTTTGCTTAGATGGCCCTGCCTAGGTGCTCAACAAGGACAGAAAACCCCCCGGAGAATCAACATCTTCAGTCAGCCATCGAGGGCTAGATAAACCTGCTGCCTCCTACTGGCTGCCTATCGTCTCTGCTTTTAAGCTCACCGGCACCAAGAGGGAATCATTTCCGCACACACACGAAAGACTAGTCGGAATATCACGGAGCCGTGAATTTGAAGCGGGGGTTTTAGTAGCCGTCGTAGTACCTCAGGCGTAATTATTCCACAGAAGGCAACTCTGCGGATTAGTAGTATAGATCATCGTTCCTGCAAGTAACGTTAACTAGTGGCGGAGAGATAAGGCACGTTGTGATGCGCCGTCGAATGCATGGGCGATCTTCCCCTTAATAAAGGAGATCCGGGGTAGAACACCCGAAGATTCATCATTATGACATGCAGCATTTGGCAAGCAAAGCACGAATGATATATATCGTGCCATCACTGGGGCTGTTGACCTGTCCCCAGGAACCAGATCCGGCCTGTCCGTGCTCAATCGAGAGCGGCGCCTAGCGCGGGGCCGACCCTAGGCGAAGGCGATAAGCACGACGGCGAGGCAAGTGGGGCCCTAAGATAAAGCGCAGTTGCATGAAGAGATTGGGTAACTAAATGATAAGTAACTCAAAAAAAAAAAGAAGGGAAAGAGAAAAGACAATAATGGCCGGTCACGTTGTCGAGCGAATATTTTTGCCTCCGCACTTCTTACGTACCTGACTTTACTTCCCTACTTGACTCATCTTTGCTCATTCATCCCCAACTGACGCCATAACGTTGCAGCTTGCTCTGATTGCGGTTCTTCTGCTTGGCCAACATTATTATAAGCTCAAGGTGCTGAGCCATTGCGCAACGACATCATCTCACCCGGCCCTATCATCGCTCTGGACAATGGCGTCATAGTCGGGTAGCAGCCGTGTACCGAATCGACCACCATGCCACCCGGGAACTTTATTGCGCCAGAAAGCAAGGAATAGCACAAACTTCCGCACTCAACTTAGTGAGACGAATTCATCTCCTGTATCATCAATTATTAATTATTCGTCTCGACCAGCTCTATATAAGTGCCTCCAACCTACTGAAGATCCATCAAGCAGCAATGCCAGCGAGGATGGAATCATCCATGACTATGATCGATGCCCAGGTCCATTTCCTTGTTAGTTCATCCCCATCCTGGGTCTTGCAGCAAACTAACCATTATCAGGACGAGAATCTTGTATTGGTGCATATCCCATTGGACCTGTACCCGTACTTCCTGAAGGCAGTACTAAGACTGCTCTTCGATGAGATCCCTCCACTGGAAGAAGAGGGAGTCGAGGAAGAAGATGTGGTCCTCGATGATATCGAAACTGGATCTGGCAGGAAATCGAACGATCAGCCTGCGTTCCTGAATATCTCCATCACGCCCGTGGAAGTCTCGGTGATTTGCCCACGGCGACTAGTCGACAAGTACTTTACGCCTCTAATGGACCAGCTGGATCGGGTTAACGCGTCACTGCGATCTCGTGTAGAGATCAGTGAGAATGATTATATCGCCATGCAGGTCCTCGGACAGGGCCTCGAGGCCGGCAAGCGTGTCTTGGAGCTCACTAGCCCGCTCGCCATGGCTGGAATGTACGTGAGCACGATACTATGTATACTTCACATCACAGAGGATAATACTTACTTTTCCTACAGTTCTATCTTCTTCATCTCCACCTATTTCTCGGACTATATAATCGTCCCGCTCCACAGCAAAACAAGCGTGATGTCCGCCCTCGAAAGCCGCGGCTTCCAATTCGACTGTGCAACAGACACATTCATCAACAGCCCACTAGGCTCACCCTTACCACACCTAGAAAGACGACTGAGCGATGCCGGTCGCCTGGTAACACCACCCCCATCCACATTGGCAGAGCTCCAAACCCGCACATTCGACAGCCTGCGCAAGCGACAAATTTCGCCCTACGTGGACGATTCACTCCGTCTCGTGCAATGCGCAGCACACCACCAATACACCCGCGAAGAAGAAAGCTCAATGACCATCCTCCGCGATGCATTAACAACCGTTCTTCTCGTCGATGAGCCGCGCTTTTTCTCTCTCACCCTCCCATCCCTGGACCCCGCCGCGTCACTACTCCTCGAAAAACGTCTTCTGCCTCGCTTTGCGAGACACTCCAGTTCCCACAAGGACTACGAGGATGGATCTGGTCTTCTCCTAGGCTCGAAAGAGGACTATCTTATTCCCATCATGCTCGATCTCAGAGACCTTCCTCTCGAGGCGACGGGTATAGTCTGCGGTGTGGCGGGTCGTCTCGCTGAGGCGACCCATACTCTCGGAGGAGGACACGAAACCAATAGCAACGATAATACCCGTAGCAATAATGATAGCGGCAACTCCAGTATCGTTGGAAGTCACGGGAGCAGTGTTCTGGGCTCCGTGCCTGCACTTTTCGAGACGATCGGAACCCGATTGGCTACGTCCGGCAAGAAACACACCCTCGCTCCCTTGCCCCCAACGACGCACCACCATCTCAAGCCAGATATCGATTCCACAGCAGATGCAGTGGAGATCAGCTTTCTGAGCACGGCGCGCGCGGGAACGATCATTGTTGGAGAGGATGAACTTCGTCGGGCGATTGATGCCCTTGAGGCTGAGAAGGGTCATGAAGCTCATCTGGAAGATGCGCCGTTGCAAATGGAGAATCCTGCTGATGCGGAGGTTGAGGTCGTATGAGCGTCTGCAAAAGTTTGTTTGTTTCTTGCTTTTTAGTTTTGATTTGTATATACTTTTACGGTGTCGTTATACTACCCCCCTCCGTTATGGCGCTGGAGAACCTGGATTGATGTATATGAATTGTTGCATGGCTTGTATTCCAATACTTTTATGCTAATTTGATGTATACCATTCACCGATCGTGTCACAACACACTGTCCACATATCATGTAGCTTATTGCGCCTCGTACACGTACAACGTCGAATTATGCTGGTCCGGAACAGCATAGATCCTCAGCTTCCCATCCACAACAGCGGCATCGATCGGGTTCTCGGTCATGGGAGTCCCTAGGTCACTTAGCAGCTCGATGGGTACTTCCCAGAGTGGAAGCATAGTCTGCATGTCGACGAGGGCGAGTCCGCCGAGGTTGAATGAAGACGAGGCATACTGGATGGTAGCCACGCCACCGCAGAGCATGATAGGTCTTCTCGTATTCGTTCCAGCAGCGGTGCCAATGTCAGCAGGCAGCGCGTGATGGCCCAGAAATTTGCAGTCTTGGTAATCGACATAGAATGACCGATCTGGCACGGATGACTGCGGTGGAGTAAAGCCGGCCAGAGGCGTGAAACCACGCGGATAGTCCTTGATAGACCAGGTGGTGGCATTTCGTCCGCCCCAGTTCAATGTCACGAGTTCATCGGTGATGGTATCGTGAACAATGCCGCCGTTGTGGTCGTGGGTGCGGAAGAGAGGCTTTTGCTCCAGCGTAAGCGGATCGATCTTGACAATGGTGGCCGTGCTGTTTGGTCGATACTGCGCCAGTGTGATCCAAATGTAGCGGCCATCGTAGTCGATCCCACCACCGTGATATTGGATATCGCCGGGTGGAGTCAGGGTCGCATTAGCAATGAGTCGGCCCTGGCCATCATAGACAAGCATGTGTGCAAAGCCTGCGCCAGGGCTGCGATCAGTGCCGTTGATCGGATGAGGGTAATTCTCAGTCGGGACGGTCCACTGTCCGGCTGAAACAAAGAACCGGTCGTCTCCGATGCGGGCCATGCCTTCAGGCTCACCCGTGTCGCCTTCAAGGTGGGTTTTGGAAATGAGTTTCCAATTGACCGGCCGGCCGAGATTTGTAAAGAGGTCAACGATTGCGCCTCCATCGGACTCGGCATGGGATTTGGGGAGCTCGTTGTTGGGAACGAAAGGCTCGTTATGACGCACGATATTGACATTAGTAGCAGTGCCCAATGTGACCAACGTTGTCAGGGCCACGGCAGATGAGATCTTCATCTTGTTGTCGAATGCGCTCAGAGAGATGGCGGATGGGAGAATGGAGATGCTGTTGGGCTCGAGAAGAAGCCGGATTTTATACCAACAACCTCTGATTAATAATTTCTCCGAGATTCTGTCCGTCGGCAATTCTACTCCGAACCTTCTACTATATCGCTCAGTTGCAATATAAGTTCTTGCGAACACTGAGAGGACAAGTCCAGCACGGAGTGGAGAGGTGGGGAATCATGGTGCCCCAAGTGGCTGCACGTTCCAGTGCGGAGATGATCTGTTGGCTAACCAAAAACCCGGACGGTGCCTGGATCCCGAGTTAGCATTGCATCGTTTGGCAGCAGAAAAGAGACATAAAGGGCCATACCATCGGAACATCCACTCGCCCAGCAGCCCCCTTTCTCGTTCCACGCAACACAACTCACGGCCTTGACTTTGGGTCCCATGGGCACAGTCGCAATCGTCTGCCCACTAAGGACATCCCAAGCAAAAGCTGCAGCTCCAAGTCCAGCACCATCACCTTGCGCAGCCTCGCTTCCACTCAAGACTACGGCGTCCCCTCGACCAAAAACAGATCGAATCCGCAGTGCCGTGTTTCGGTAGGTATGTCGAGGCGTACTGAGACCAGCAATGGGAGGTTGCCGGATTTCTTTTTCTCCTGGCCCTCCAAACACCTTGAGCAGTTTTCCGTCCATGCGATCGAGCATGCGGATGTAGCCGTCCAACGTAGAAACGAGTAGCGCATTCCCATCCGCCGAGCACCGCACGCTCGTCACCGGATGCCCCAAAACATCCACTGTGGTCTTTCCCATGCGGACATCGTAGACTCGCACGTGGCCGTCGTAGCTACCGCTGGCAATCGAGTATGTGGGTGAGTGCACATGCAAGGTTGAAACAGTGTCGCTCGCTTCGGGGAGGGTCTGGATTGGCTTATAGGCGTTGGAGCGGGTATCCCATAGGTTGATTGTCGTGTCGGCGCTTCCTACACCAACACCACCGGGTTAGTCGAATGTCGTAGAATGCCAGCCAAACGCGCGCATAGGAACGTACCAGAGATAACCACGGAGTCACCTTCGCCCGCGAATTGAACGGCTTCGACGCGACTGTTGTGTCCGCCCCATCGCCTAGTCGTGATGCCCTGTTCGACATCCCACAGGAAGACCTGGCGGTCGCCGCCTACGCTCGCGAAGCGCGCATTGTCGGATGCGACTGCGATGTCCAGCACCGAATAGCCGTGCGCCTCATAGCGCTGGATGGGAGAGGAAGTCTCTGCGACTGGTACAGACTTGTTTGCATTGTTGGGAACGGCGCGCGAGAGGTGGACGGCGCGATCGGAGGAACCGGTCAGGATATAGGTGCCCGGGTAACTCGAGAAGGTCACGGCGTTGATGGCGCCTGGACGAAAGTTGGACATTAGCTGGGAGTGTCCCAAAAGCAAACACTTCTAGGACCTACCACTGTGTGTTTTGAGTGTATGCAGGAGTGCGGTTGAGACCTGGGCAGCCATGGCTGGACAGTGGCAGGAAAGACGAAGTGGGAGCTCCGGCGGAAGCAAGCCACTACTAGTATGTACCATCCTACCAACCAACTTCAACTGCGCGTTTCTCCACCACCCTGCTGTCCTTTGGCACCGATCAGTGATACTGGAATACCCGAATTTACGTTCTACAATTATCTACATATGGGTGACATCCCTGTCGACGATAGTTCGCAAATACTTCCAACGCATAGGAACTCGCAACTTTACTAGCCGCCGCTCAAAGTTATATATATCCAAGACAAGAATTCATATATCTTCTTGTTAATCCATCTGAGTTTTTCAATAATTTATAAAGCTCTGCACAGTTTTCAATGACTTAGTATTAAAATAGACCTTCTAAGGAGTGCCATATATACAATTTACGGTCTAAGAAACCTGGTAAAAACGATTGTATTTCTTTCAGGTCTCTCTTTCAAAAAGTGAGCGTCTCACTCAATCAGCAGGCACTGTGGCCGAGCGGTCTAAGGCGAGTGACTAGAAATCACTTCTCTTCGGAGGCGTGTGTTCGAATCACACCGGTGTCGATTTTTTTTTCTAACGTATTTCACAAGGGAGTGTTTTTAGCATGGTATTGTTGATAACAAAACAAATAATATGAATGGACATAAATCTAATGCAAGATATTATTTATTGGATTACCAAAAAAGACCGGCCTGAAAATGGCAAGACATAGATCTGAACTATGAAGCATTGTAATTTATTTGAAACGTCGTAAATAGGCTTGATATCATCTAAATAGTACTAGCATATTATAAGTTCTTTTATTAAGCTTTGGTTGTTGAGATATCGAGTTCAAAACATCCTATTTACTGTGGCGTTTTGGGGGGCCCCAGAGTTATTATTATTCATGCATCTGTTTCTGCCATCTATCGATTTATACCCTGGAAGGCACTGTGGCCGAGCGGTCTAAGGCGAGTGACTAGAAATCACTTCTCTTCGGAGGCGTGTGTTCGAATCACACCGGTGTCGACATTTTTTTTCCCCCTTGTTCGTCCCGCGTATCTTTGTCTTTTCGTCTGAAGATATTTTGAATTGTATCAAATATCTAGTAACAAATGCTACTGAATCGTACTTACTCCTGTAGCTTCATATACGCAATTTAAGACTATACGCACAATCTGGGCGTCTGGCGGAGAGGTCTGTCTCCCCTCTGATCTCCGCTATTACTATGTGCTCCGGACTATTAGACTTCGGTGTAATTTTTAAAGGTCATGTTCAATTTGCCATTGCGAAGATCCTCAGGTCTGCGAGAGTAGTTTTTGCAATCCCATTACTATAGCTGTGAAGAACGGATGCCTGTCTTCAGCAACTTCCGCCAATGGTCTTTCGTGAATGACCCTTGAATGTTACTATAGTCCCATCGTCATATCGGTAAGCTCCATTGACGAAAAGTTTCAATTCTGGGGGTATGTTCTGAAGCCTTTTGTCAATGAAACCAAATCGTCTTCTCCGGCGGCAGATCTCTTCGAGGGTGTCACCAGACAGCCCATCAACAAAGGAGTTTGCGATCGCGATCGCTTGCCATGAGGAACTTTTTGCATACTGCGTAAAGTATTCTTCTCCATCCTCACCGAGAAGAGTGATCCGAAGGGCAAACCGTATTCCTGGGTCATCTTCGGTGCCTTCCAGAGTATATGAATTGGGATGTCTTTCACCAACTGGGGCTATTTCAGCTTTCACAAAGAACAACCCACAATTTTGAGGCGCATGATGGATTCGAAAAGTCACATGATGGACGTTGAAACTGGTAGGAACTGTCACTCCCTTTCTTCGTTTCGTTGCCTTTGTAAGAGTATCCAGTCAAAAGCCTCAAGTGTTTTCGGAAAGCCATCGTGTCCACCTCTCTCCTCTTCCGTAGGGTCTGTGAATCTTCAAATCGACGACCAATTAGCACGTTTTGCTCTTCCTCGGGATTAAATTCTTCGATAATAGCGCTTCCGCAATGAATTGCTTCAAGCACTGCGCTATCGTCCACAGAATCTATTCCCTCTGGCAGTGAACCAGGATGTGAGGCATTGGTATGAGGAGGCGTCGCTTTGCTGGATAGGCTGTAGTCCTGGCGTTGAACATCTGAGAGCAATGACCGGACCATGTCAAGAGCCTTTGCGCCGATGACGCCTCTGCGTCTTGTATGAGACGGTGGGATCCGTCCGGTGCCTAGTCTTTGTCGCCTTGGAAGGACTTTAGAGAGCACAAGCAACCCATATCTCAATGATCCAGCACAACATTCGGTGTCTTTGCAACATTCCGCGAGACGCTGAATGTCATCATCTTTGGTGAACCCTAGCTTTTCTAGCCAGATCCTGAGAATCGGATTGATCATGTCCAGCTGCGGTGTTAATGGCTCGATTCTTTTAGCTCTCTCATCGTCCCATCCGCGGACGATCAACTCCACCGTGAGAGCGCTTTCAAAGAATGCTGGGAAAAGCTTGGCATTTGTCACGGCTGCAACAAATTGGAATAATGCGTTGATCCTCTGAGCTGCCTGGCCTTTGCACGACCAGAGTTCAACAAGAGGGGCAGGCGACCTCACAAATAGACGCTCGATAGCATTGTCCTTGGGCCTTATCCAGAGTCGGAAGTCTAGACCCCGGATGTTGAGACTGAGGGCTCGTGTCTGATCATCATCCGTAAGGACCACGTCTTCTGCCATCTGACCGCAGAGAAGAATGACCCTGAGATTACTTTTCTCGATGAGATCTTGGGTGTATATCGAGCACATTTTGGTATCGCACTGTCGGCTAGCCTGAAATGTCCCAGGGATCATTTGATATACTTTTGAAAATTTGCGATCCATATCAACGAATTCTCCTGTGTGAAGCCGCTTTCTGTGAGGCCCCATGGGAGAAAAATATTGTTGCCGTAGTCATGACACGGAACGCTATCGAGCACGATACCAATGGATGCTGCCACGGTACCCACTGGAGCTACCAGATTGTTTGACTCGCAAATGTTCTTGTCTGATACCCTCTTATACCAAGTCTTGAGATCCACTAGGCCTTGTTCGTTCCTCTGAGGCATCCACGGAACCTTCTCTTTTGCTGGCCATGCAATAGAGCCTGACGTATTAGGCTTTGTCTTGATCGCATCGTGGAGACAGTTGATGTATTGTTCCGGTGTCAATGTTAGGACCGCTGTTATGCGTCCCTTTGAAGCCTTAGGCTTGAATTCCCGCTGCTCCCGAGCTCGAACCTCTGGCCATTCCCTGATTTCAGGATCTTGAGAGCTTTCTAGAAGCTTAACAAAGTTCCCACAAACTGTCGGTGCAAGCTCTCTCCCCTGCATGAGTGGTGGAACGACGTTAAGACCCACATTAGAATACGTGCCGTCCGGGCAGGGACCAAAATACTCCTCTAAGATAGTAGGAGCCATTGTCTGAAAAGCCCGTGCGAAGGTCATTTCCAGAAAATTCTCGAAGGCATGTATAATCAAGTCATCCGTCTCCCAAGGGGACTCGATAACCCAAAGTCGAATGAAATTGGCCAGACGGAAATCTGCTGCCGGCTTTTTGGTGATGATATAGTAGTGTAGAGCCCCACTTTTTCCCAATCGTATCGCACGACAATGCTGAGGAATACGCTGTGCCAGATCCGAAGACTGACCAACATACGGACGCCAGTAGTCCTTGTCTCGCAAATTGGTGACATAATCTAGGTAGCCCCCATTAGAATGAGGCCAAGGGTTGGACTCTTGGGACTGGGAGACTCGGATACTATCTAGCCTGGGGCGTGTTAGATTCGCTTGATTCATTCGGCAGATATAGAGATGACTTACTTCTCCACGGTTATCAACTTGCCTTGAAGGGCTCGAACACGAGGATCAATCACATTTAGCGCGATTCCACAGAATTCCTCTTCGCCGCCTACAGCATCCACCACAGACTTGTAGGGGATGTGTCTGATCAGAGGGTTGTTTAATTGCCCACTGAGCTTGCGTACTAGCGATGAAATTATGAGCTGAAGCTCCGGAAATTGACCTCGGGGTGAATCTAGAAGTTCCATTCAATACGCAAGTAGTAAATCAGTGGATAATGGACCATCTTACCTGCTAGTTTTCTGTCGACGGAATTTCTGTGGGCTGGCTGGGAATAATCGAGTTGTTCTGGGGGCAATCCTTTCTGAGGTGACCTCTGGCGCCACAGTTGAAGCAGCTTGGCTCATCTTGGGTGCAATCTCGCTTGAAGTGGCCTTCCTCACCGCAGTTGAAGCATTTTGGGCCTTTCTTGTATCTTGCTTCGTGTCCATCTTCGCGTCCTTCTTCATGCTTCCGCTTCTTTTGCATGCAGTACCGTTTCATACGTCCCCTCTCGCCACATGCGTGACAGGTTGGTGCCTTCTTGCAAGTGGCATAGTGGTCAGGCTTCATGAGATAATGGCACCATTTGCAATATTCATGACAACTACTCGCAAAGTGACCAGTGAATCCACATTTGTAGCAGTTTATAACGTCAGGTGGGAGGAATGAGCCCATGCTGGTGCATTCGTTCGGATTCGCTCGACTCGGATAGATGATGGGTGAGGACGTCAGTGAGGCTTGTAAGAGTGTGCCAATCCAATGAATGATCGGTTGGATGACTGGGGAGGGAGGAAGAGTGGACAAACAGACAAACTCCAGCATCCAAATGGTAATGTCATGGACAATATCCTGCCTAGGTGAGTTTTGTGACGATTAGGATGGAAGTCTGGTTTCTTCAAGTTAATATCTTATAACCTCCCATCTCCAGCTCTATCTTCCTTTCTCTCTTCCCCCTAAGCTTTGTTATTCCCGTCGAATGTTACTACTGTCTGCTCCTTACTCCTCCCCGAGGACCGGAGTAGCAGGACCCCCGATGAGTAGTAGCTCTACCATCCGGAGCGTAGGTATGACCAAAAACCACATATTAATACGGAATGCTTGGTGAGGAGGGTTATTATCAAGGTTGTAGAGACACCATCGCTAGCTACCAGCGGTAAATGGATATAACAAACAGAACGAAGCCCCTCGAGGCGAAGGTGCGCCCTCCCACAAACGGCAAGACATTGGGGTACTCAAGAACGAAATTAAACACGCTTCTACTACTGCTACCATTTTGAAGGTCCTCCTCCACGTCTCTAACGGCGGCCATGGCTGCGGGTGCTCGAGCCCTGCAAGCCCTCGATCTCCTGCTCGAGCGATTTGATCCTGGATGACGGTCAATAAGGATACGGGCAGAAGAACGGGGGATACATACGCAGCGTGAGTGGCCTCAAGGTCCTTGTTGAGGCGGTCTCTCTCGGAAATGAGCTTCTGCTCCCACTGGCGGAAGCGCTGCTCTTCGACCTTGACCTGCTCGGTGAAACGCTTGCGCAGGCTCTCCTCTTCCTCCTTGAACTTGGGATTGTCCAGCTTGCGGGGCCGGGCCTCGCCGAACTTGCGCGTCTCCATCTGCTGCGCACGGTAGGCCTCGTAGTGCGATTCCTCAGTCGTGTGGATGAGGTCCAGCATGTGGGTGCGGATGAGGATCGAGCGGAGCTTCTTGAAGTCGCAGTGGTCCTCGTTCTCCACCTCGGCGACACCCCAGGCGTATTGGCGACCCTTAACCACACGGCCGTCGTTGGCCTTGACATCCTTCTCCGAACCGATCACGGCGAAAGGCATGGCGGCCATCAGGGCCTTGGCGTGGGTAGCGGCGTGCTCATCATCCTCCTCGACGGGCGGGGAGTAGATTTTGATGCCCTGAGCCTCAATAACAGCACGGATCTGGTCTGTCGTCAGTTATCAATTGCGTACAATCCACCCAGTTGTCCACTCACTCTCTCCTTGTAGCGGGCCAGGTCGGCGTGGCTCAGGGTATCGGCCTTGGCAACAACGGGGATCAGGTTGACACGGGAGCTCAGGCGCTTCATGACTTCGATATCCAGTGGCTTCAGGGTGTGACCGGTCGGGCGGATGAAGTACAGACAGGCGTGCACACGCATGTCAATCTTGTCGGTGCGGCGGGGCTGCTGCTCCTGGAGCATGTACGACTCGTGCTGGTCATCCAGGAACTCAATAATGGGCTGCCAGGAGTCACGGTTGTTGACATAGTCGCCAAAGCCGGGGGTATCGATGACGGTCAGGCGGACTGGAGAGGAACCGATCGGTCAGAAAACATCCACATCGGTCGAATGCGTAGCTCCCAAACCTTTAAAAAACTTCTCCTCCAGCTCAGCCTTGGTGATCTCAATCTCGACAGTCCGGTCAATCTGCTTCTGGTGACGGCGCTTGTGGTCGGCGTAGTTCTTGATGGTAGTGGAGAACAGAGTGTTGATGAAAGTCGTTTTTCCTAGTCCCGACTCTCCTGCGACCTGTCGAAGGATATTTATTAGCCGTTGGACCGACCGACTGATTTGTCTAGACACACCATGATGGTAAAGGCCGCACCCCGTTTCGCGACAATCTTGTGCCTATACCGATGATCGATTAGAATCTTCGCTCATGCCCACTCTTCGGAACGCTAGGATGTACACACCGCTGGTTGGGGAGCTAGAGAGGAAGAAACTCCGATTAGCCATCTGTGATTTTTGGAGTTGTGATTGTGCGTGAGGTGACTTACATTGGCAATGCCAATGGGCGTGGCGGTCTCCGTTGTCGACATGGTGGGCGATAGGGGGATGTGCGGCAAATTCACCGGTCAGGAGAAAGACAAAGGAAGGTCCTCAGCGGAAGAAAATCCAAAGAAGATAAGAAGCGGAAGACTCCTCGGTGATGGGAAAGGGAAGGGGGTAAGGAAAAGCGAGAAAAAAGGAAGCAGAAGAAAGTGAAGCTCGAGGTGTGGCCCATCGCGCCTTCCCCCTGAATCTCCTTTCGTTTTCTGGAGTATAGCTTAGTCCTTGCCTATCTGGGTCTAGCGTGGCCGCTATCCCAGTTTGGGACCGGAGTCGGACCATGGATGATCCGGTGGTCTTATCATGTGCCGGCGAGACCATAATTTTTTGGTGAAGCAAGAAAGAGAGTATTGCACTGCAACCATGAAGACGGACTTCAAGGTGAGTGGGAGTGGGTGTGCGTGGGTATAGCAGACAAATATACTGACTGCTCAGTTCTCCAATCTCTTGGGGACCGTGTATCGCAAAGGGAATCTTCTCTTCACCCCAGATGGCACCTGCTTGCTTTCGCCAGTAGGCAATCGAGTCTCGGTCTTTGACCTGGTCCAGTATGTACACTCCGTGGGGTAATGTGATGGGCGTGCTGACATTTTCTGACCAGTAACACCTCCTATACCCTGCCATTTGCCCACCGCACTAGCATCGACCGCCTCGATCTTTCCCCCAGAGGCAATCTTCTGCTGACCGTCGACGAAAATGGCCGAGCAATCCTGACCAATTTCCACCGCCGGATCGCAATTCACCATTTCTCCTTCAAAGGACGGGTGTCTGCTCTCAAATTCTCCCCCTCGGGACGGCATTTTGCGGTGGGTGTGGGCAGACGCCTGCAGATCTGGCAGACACCTTCCACTCCAGGGACCGAGACCAATGGCGAGATTGAATTTGCACCCTTCGTGCTACACCGGGACCTTGCCGCGCACTTTGACACGCTCCGGAGTATTGAGTGGTCAAGCGATTCGCGGTTCCTTCTCACTTCCTCCAAGGACCTGACGGCGCGCGTGTGGAGCTTGGATCCCGAGGAAGGGTTTGAGCCAACGACGTTGGCTGGACATAGACAGGGTGTGGTGGCCGCATATTTCTCTGGTAATCAGGAATTGGTAAGTAGGGCCGTCCTTGGTCAGAGCCAGCTCTAACGAACCTCATAGATTTACACTGTCAGTGAAGATGGCGCGCTATTCCGCTGGGAGTATGTCTCCAAGAAGGATCCAGACACAATGGATGATATCGCCGAAGCTCGGTGGAGGATTGTCAAAAAGGATTTCTTCATGCAGAATGATGCCAAGGTCAACTGTGCTGCCTTCCACGCCCCGTCCAGCTTGCTAGTTGTCGGCTTCTCCAATGGCCTGTTCGGGTTGTATGATCTCCCCGAGTTCAATATGATCCACCTACTGAGGTGAGTGTGACCCCATAGACTCAAAAGTTTTCTCTATACTAACGGGATATGCTCAGTGTCTCTCAAAGCAACATTGACGTTGTGACTGTCAACCAGTCTGGTGAATGGCTGGCATTCGGCTCTTCAAAACACGGCCAGCTGCTGGTTTGGGAGTGGCAGTCTGAATCCTACATCCTGAAGCAGCAAGGCCATCTCGATTCCATGAATGCCCTGGTATATTCCCCCGACGGCCAGAAGATCGTGACTGCTGCCGATGATGGCAAGATCAAGGTCTGGGATGTCAAGTCGGGCTTCTGCATTGTGACCTTCACGGAGCATACGAGCGGTGTTACCGCCTGCGAGTTTGCCAAGAAGGGAAGTGTTCTCTTCACAGCATCTCTCGATGGCTCAATTCGAGCGTGGGATCTGATCCGCTACCGCAATTTCCGAACATTTACTGCGCCTTCCCGGCTGTCCTTCTCGTCTTTGGCAGTAGACCCCAGCGGCGAGGTGGTCTGTGCCGGCTCGCCTGACTCTTTTGACATCCACGTGTGGTCGGTGCAGACCGGGCAGCTGCTCGACCAGCTTTCTGGCCACGAGGGTCCTGTCTCGAGTCTTGCATTCGCTGCAGATGGAAACCATCTTGTCAGTGGCAGTTGGGATCATACGGTGCGAATCTGGAGCATCTTCGGTCGGACACAGACGAGTGAGCCTCTTCACCTGATGTCCGATGTCCTCAGCGTAGCTTTCCGACCTGATGGACAGCAAGTTGCCGCGTCCACGCTTGATGGACAGCTCTCGTTCTGGTCTATCACAGATGCGGTGCAGCAAGGTAATATTGACGGTCGTCGTGACGTCTCCGGAGGACGCAGGGTCTCGGACCGTCGGACTGCCGCCAGTGCGGCAGGGACCAAATCATTCAATCGGATCAGATACAGTGCGGATGGCAGTTGTATTCTGGCCGGTGGAAACAGCAAGTTTATCTGCTTGTACGATGTCGGAACGGGGTCTTTAATCAAGAAATTCACCGTTTCGGTTAATACGTCCATCGATGGCACGCAGGAGTTCCTGAACAGCCGGGACTTGACCGAGGCCGGCCCACGCGCCCTCATTGATGAGACTGGCGAGGCATCTGACCGAGAAGACCGGGTTGACCGTACTCTTCCGGGCGCAAAGCGTGGCGACGCCGGCGCACGTACTACCCGTCCAGAAGTGCGGGTGACATCAGTCGACTTTGCACCCACTGGCCGGTCATTCTGTGCTGCTTCCACAGAGGGCCTATTGATTTACGGAGTCGACACCGATTTCCTCTTCGACCCCTTCGATCTCGACATTACTATCACCCCATCGACCATCCTTGCCACACTAGATGCCGCGAAGGCGGCATCCGATTCCAACACTGTGGACGATGACAACACGTTCCTGAAGGCGCTGATCATGGCATTCCGGTTGAACGAGTCCAAGCTCATCCGTGCCGTATATGAGGGGATTTCTCCATCGGATATCCCGCACCTGGTCCGGTCTGTGCCCACTGTCTACCTACCCCTTCTTCTCCGTTTCGTCGCACACGCCGCAGAAGAAACCCCCCATCTCGAATTTAATCTGCTGTGGATTGAATCGCTCTTCAGCAGCCATGGCCGGTATTTCAAAGACAACTCCGGAACCTTTGCACCGGAACTGCGCGCTGTCCAGCGCGTCATCGATGATATCCGGGAAAATCTCAAGCGCTTGACGGAAAAGAACCTCTACGACCTCGACTACCTGCTTTCTCAGCCCGTTCTCGCAGCCAAGAATCCGACTAGCGCTTTGATCGCCGTTCAATCGCTTGAAGGCAACGGCGCTGACGACCAGATCGATGATGCGGAATGTGATGTGGATGGAGAGGGGGAGTGGATTGGTTTTGAATGATGGCTTCATGTTTTTTTCTCTCTTGTAACTCTACCAGCATCTGTGCCTGGCGTTTGTTTGTACAAATTTTTTTTCTAGAATAGAGATCCGAGGCGTCTTGGTGCAATTAATCCATTTTCCTTCTTTGTCTCCCCCCTAACCGGGGGGGAAAGGGTACATGGGTACACGCTAGGGCTTCCTTTCTTTGTCTTCCTCTCCTTCCCTAGGCCTCCCTCCCAAAACGACAGGATCCTCCCACGGTTTCGACAATTCTATCAACCCACAACTCATCCCTCTGCCTCAGGCCATTGCCACCGATGCATTTCGAACTACATATGGCTGCTATCTGGCCTCTGACACTGGCGCTGCTGCTTGTAGTCTATCTACTGCAGCGAGCGCAATCCAATGCCTCGCTCAAACACATTCCCATCCTCAAGTTCAACCGCTATCTGCCTGACTTGGTTAATCGGCTCATCTACTACCCCAAGGCTGCGTCGCTGATCTATCGAGGTTACAAGCAGTACAAGGATTGTGCGTTTCGCATGCTAACAGCAGATGGCGAAGTAGTCGTTCTGCCTGTGAAATACACCGAGGAACTGAGGAAACTGCCTCCTTCGACCATCAGCTCTCTAGATGCACAATATGAGGTACCAGGTCCTCCGTATACGGTTGTTTTTCAAGAGCTGATTAGCTATCTCCCTGTCTCTATAGAATGCACTGGGAGATTTCACCAATATCCTAATCAATAGTGCCCTGCCATCAGCGACGGTTCGAAAGAGGTTGACTCCAAGCATAGGTGCGCTCCTTATCAAAAATCTTTTGATGAAGACATACTGACAATTGGTCAGGACGAATTACTCCCTGGGTCCTCGATGAGCTGCGCTATGCCTTTGACACTGTACTCCCAGAATGCGAAGGTGCGTGATCGAACAAAATAATGGAATTTACAGCACAGCAGACATTAACCTCCTATTTACCCAATATCCAGATGATTGGGTCCCCGTCCAAGCACACGAAATGTTCGTCCAACTGATCGCGTGCGCAACCTCGCGCGTAATCGGCGGCGAGGCCCTCCGACGCAATGAAAAATGGCTAGATACCGCAAGCAGATACTCGGTCAATGTCGGGATCACAGTATTCCTCCTACGCCCATTCCCAACCTGGCTCCGGCCCCTGATAGCGCCTTTCCTCCCCTGCGTGCGAGAGATGAAAGAACAGCTACGGTTCGTGAAAAATGACCTGTTCGTGCCGATGATCCGTGAGCGCAGAGCCGCCGAGCAGGCTAATGACCCTGCCTACGTGAAACCGGATGACTTCTTGCAGTGGATGATGGAGATGGCTGAGGAAGAGGAGGATAGGGATCCCGATCTGTTGGCGCATCATCTTCTCATTCTTATGAGTCTGGCCGTTGTGCATACCAGTAGCATGGCTATGTGTCAGGCTCTGTATGATCTGGTTCTCATGCCGGAATATCGAGCGCCTCTAAGGGATGAGATCACTCGCACGCTGAAGGATGGGTGGCAGAATGCTACCCAGACGTCGTTCTTGGCTCAGCGCCGTATGGACAGTTTCCTGCGCGAGTCGCAGCGGTTCAATCCGCCTGGCGAATGTATGTCACCTGTCCACCTTTCTGATCGTTTCGAAGCCGATCATGAACCCTTTTCTGGCTGCTTGTAGTATCCTTCCACCGCATCGTCAAAGAAACTCTCACCCTCTCGGACGGCCTCGTCCTCCCCCGAGGAACGCACATCTGCTTCGCTGCTGGACCTCTGAGCAAGGACGCAATCTACCTCTCCAACCCGGATATCTTCGACGGGCTCCGCTGGTGCCAGGATCCAGAGGACCGATATGCCCTCATGTCTGATCCAAGTGAGAAACAATTACATGTGCTCAATGGGTCTACCACCGGCCCTTCCTCTGCCTCGCCCAGCTTTGTCACTATCAGCCCGGCAAGCATGCACTTCGGATTCGGGCGCCAGGCGTGTCCGGGGAGGTTCTTTGCTGTGAATACCATCAAGGCAATTATGAGCCGCATCATCTCGGAATATGATTTCAAGTTTGAAAATCGTCAGGCTGGGAGGAGGCCTCCCAATATTCTTGTTGGGGAGCATATCATTCCCAACACGAGTACGAATGTCCTTTTCAGGAAACGGTCTATTGGATTGTGACTGGTTGAACATATTTTGGTCTTTTTGGATGGCATTTTGCTTTTTGGGGGGCCTGGTTAAGTTGGGTGGCCTTTCCGTTTTATTATCTTGATCCTCTGTTTAGGCTGAGTATCTAGACTGGACCTTGGTAGTTCAACACTTCGTAAGAGCACTAAATTTGACTGCAGTATTTCATTGCACATTCCATCCCAGATCGATACGGAGCATAGCCTCGAGGTATACCCGTCTACCTGGCTAGATAGTCAAGACATTTTGTACACATACAATCACCAAAAAAAAAAACCGACACTACCAAACCAACTCACAACATTCACAACATCATCACTCAGCTGTCTGCACAGCTCCACCACGGCCACGTCCTCTCCCGCGATATCCATTCCCACGGCCACGGCCCCGTCCGCGTCGTTGCTCCATGCCCTGTGGCGGCGGGACCTGGGTGTAGTTCTGCGGGCGGAAGTTGGGGTTATTCTGGACAATGCCCTCAGTCGGGTCAGTGTTCTCAACAGTAACATAGCCGCCACGGCCACGATACCCGTTGGCACCGCCACGGCCGCGAGGACCACGCAGGGGTCCGTCACGGAAAGGCAGGTTGCCGTTGATGCCGCCGCGACCTCCACGGCCGGACCCATTGGTCTGTCCCGATACAGCGCCTCGGAAAGAACCTCGCAGCGGAGGAGGTGCCGATGCATTTTTCAGCTGGCCCTGGCCGTTCGGTCCCAGAGGCGTACCGTATCCGGCGACTGTCAAAGGAGTGGCTTGTGTGCGGGTCTGCTGGCTAGTCGCTGCGCGAGAAGTAGCGAGGAGTTGTCGGTGGGAGATGTTCAGAACAGACGACGCCAGGACAGTTTGTCCGCGGAACGGGGAGCAGCGATCTCCCAGCGTTGTGCCGCTCATGAAAGAGACGTCGAAAACAACGTCGAGCAAGAGCGTTCGCGGGGTTCTCGTCAGGCCAACCACAGTACCACGTGTGGCGATGGGCACCTTGCCGGAATCCTGAGCATACACCACCCGATCACCAAGCTTGAAGGTCTGGTTGCCCAGGCGGTGCTCGACATCGGCAGGCCGGAGAAGAGCGCTGCGAGGGACGCCACGAACCTTCTTCGGCTGCATCTGCGGCTGCGATTGAATAAGGCGGTCAGCGTCCTGCTCGATCAACATGACCACATCGGAATCAAGCTGTTCAGCATCCAGTGGCACGCGCTCAAAGTTCTTCGCCTCAATCGACTTGAGCCAGTCGCGAATCTCTTTAATCTTCAACATGGCCACATCCTCCGGGTAGAAATCGGTTGGGCGGAACTTGTCGCCTTGAGGGTTGCGCTGGATTCCAGCGATAAACTCGGGGAATTTGATCATGTATTGTTGGATCAGTTCCACGGCTTTCTGGCTGAATTCCCAACCGGAATCCCCGCGACGAGAGTATCCCAGGACTTTCTGTTTCCGTGCCTCGAACTTGAGGTTGAGCCCCAGATTCACGCGCTGGCCTTCGATCTCCACAGTGAAGGAGGAAGTAATCTTTGCAAGAACCAGGGCATTCAGACGGAGGCTGCGTGCAACAGCATATGAGGGCATGTATGGGAAATAGTTCTCAGCCTGGTTCACACGCTCCTTGGCAAACTCGGGCTCGCGACCTTTCACAGCCGCAATCAAACCATTAACCTTGCCATCATCGTAGCCGGTGACGTGCACTGGTCTGCCGTAGTTGAAGTCTCCCAAGAAAAAGGCACGAGAGCCTTCGGGGAATTCTTCCTCGATAGGTAAAGCCTCTCGCTCGATAAACCGCTCGTCCGGGTTGATTACTTCATCAACGACCACCTGAAGAGCATAGTCGGTTTCTTGTCCAGGGATATCAGCGAATTCCTTGATGGTGGCGCCCTCTTCGGTCTTGATCATGCCCTTGAGCAGCTGAATATGCACCATGGCCTCGACCTCTCCGATGATCATGCCGAGACGCCTGCTGTAAGTGCCTTCGATCTTATCGGCCTTCTTCTTGAACTGTTCGATCTGCTGAGGGGTGTGGGGGATGGAAACCGGGTGTTGTTCCCCAGGGGGAAGGATGTAGTCAAAAAGCTCATCCGACACTCGAATCACCAGAGCTTCTTGTAGGAATGGATATCCTACATGGACTCGTTTCCCAAGCTTCGTCTTGGCCAACTCAACGCTCGACCGGCTCGCGGGGTCGATGAGAGTGATGACCTGGCTTTCGTTGCGACTCTCCTGTTGGAAGACACAGACACCGTGGAAACCCAATTGGCCGTAATGCGGCAAGGTCTTGAGACTGGGGAAGCCGGCCAGCGCGGCCTCGCCCAAATGCACGCCGTCCATCAATCCAGAGTACGGTTCCAGTCCATCCATAGTTGGGAGGTCGAAAATATTTTCAATGCAATGGCAGTTCGGAAGGTCCGGGAACACACCAGGCATAGAAGAGGGATAGATATAGTTCACATCCGGTGAAAAGGTGAACTTGAGGCTAGCACCAAAGTCGTTTCTGGCCTTCTCGTCCGGCGTCAGGAGACTGTCTCTCGTCCTTAGAGCGCCCAGCAGTCGCTTTTCATCAATAAAGGGGATTTTGACGACCGCTTCCCACTCCATCTTTTTCCCGTTCATGTCCAATTCGAAATCACGAGGGTAGAAATCAATGATAGGAGACTCGGGCGAAGTCATCAGGTCCCGGTACGCGCGGGGCACAATCGTCTTGCTGCGATCCGGCAAGACGCCCATGAGCTGTTCATAAGGTCGGAAGGGTTGTCCCAGTTGGAAGTTCATGTCCGCGCCGAGACCCTTCTTCACATCTACACAATTGTTAGTACTCGTAGTAACACACACACTCGTGTGACTTACCAGAGATCATGGGTGCGTAGTGGTATTTGAAGAACCAGGGCCATGAAGCAATGCCTTGGTAGTAATAGAACAAGACCCACTGCAGACCTTGCACGTAGTTCTCGGTCAGTTTCTTCATTTCTTCGTGGTTATCGAGGCCCCATCCAAACTTAGTGCGGTAATAATTGTCTTTCCACTCTTCGAATTTGGCCTCATACTTCTTCTCCGCGGCCTGCTGTGCTTCCTCGGAAGTCATATCCAGGATCTTCGCTTTCTCATACTTTCGAATGATACGCTGGACTGCCATGGACGCTTCTTCATCGTCTTCTTCGGAATCGTCATCATCTTCGGGCTGAGGAAGCTGGAGTCTCATGAACCGGTCCCCATTCTCATTCTCCGTTGTTGACCAAGGTACCCGAAGCTCATCCGCAAGCGTTTCGATGAAACTGCGATCCCGAGCTGGCAGTGTGGGTGGGAAGTCCAAGGACTTGGCTTCTGAGCCCTTTTCAGGTCGGTTCAAGACGTACTTCTTGATTTGCTTCAAAAGTTCTTTCTGCGCCGGGGTAATTGTGAGACTCTTTGGGTTCTTCTGCGCTTCGAGTGTGCCGTCACTTCCGTTCTTCTTGGCCTTGATCCATTGGGCATCGGAATTTTCAGCCTCGAAAAATCGGTGTTCCACGTCACTCAAGGCCTCCACAAGCGTGCCCAGGCGCTGCACGTTGATCACACCATGCTCATTGATATATCCGCCCATCTTCGGCAGCACCTCTTTGTATATCTTGAACATGAGAGCAAGAGCGCCCTCGTTGATGTGTAGATTCGGCAGATTGGGAAGGAAATCGTTTCCAACAAAAAATGCCATGAGAATGAAATCATCGATCACACGCTCCATGTTAAACGGGAAGTCCAGAGCGCCTTCCTCCTCTAGTTCTTGAAACTCCAATTCCAAGTACTCCCGAACCATGCTCAGGTGCAAAAGATAGAAGTTCTGATGTTCCAGCTCCTTGGGTTTCTTCGATACTTGGCGACCAAAAGTCACTTCTTCTCGGAGAAGGCAAAAGTGGGGGTCATGGCTGAGAAGGCCCAGCATGATCAGATCAGCATCCAGGCCATACAAACAGTGGCGGACATTCGGATGGTAATCGGGCTGCGCTTTCGCGCGCCGGATGTACTCCATGATCTTGTGTTCTCCCTCTCCCGGGACCTCATGGCCCGAGAGCACGACTTCGACACCCTGCCAGTCTGTGTCCTCAGAGATCTTCTTGTTGATGAAATATTTCAACTGCTGCGTGAGTTTTGCCATAAACTCGGTACCGGGAGTAATACAGTTGCTGTCGAATGCGTCCTCTGTTGGCATCTCCACTCCTTGCGCGATTGCCTTCTCCTTGGCATTTTCCGCGTCCAACGCCGTGCGGAATCGGCGTGCTCGTTGTTGATTCATCTTGGCGCGTGGCGCCACACCATCCACGGCCATGAAAAAAAGCTTCTGGGGCTTAATCTTTCCAAACAAATGCTCGATATAATTGAAGATGGCAATAAACATCTGATCCTCCGTCATGCGGAACGTTGGGGAATCGCTGTCCTTGTGGGTACAGTTGTGAATAATGCCATTCATATCCAGGTATAGGCTGTCGAATTCCGGTATCCGGCTCTCTGCGATCAGCATCGAGATGGCGGGATACCGCTCGCTCAGCCAGCGGAAGAATTTCGGAACACCCATTGTGAAATTTGGGTCACGTTCGTCCCGGGAGATATCGTTACAGTAGATACGGTAGTCAAGGAGTCGCCGAGATCAAAGGTGTTGGGCGAGAGTCAAGGTGGGAGGAATGAGAATATTTGCGACTGAGGAAGGTGGACTCCCAAGGCCGACTGGAAGGAAAAGGCGGCAGTAGAAATGGGTTGCCAGGGTCGACAGTCCCAAGGAAAGGAGGAAAGCGACGAGCGCAAAAAAGAAAAGGGCGAAGGGAGGAGGATGTAGGTAGGTAGTTAAGGTGGAGCAAGCAAAAGAAGAGGTGGAAAGACCGGAGTCATTGCCAAGCGCCCAAGGCGGTCTAGTGCCTATTAACGCGGTCTCGCGCGTCCAGCTCTTCTTCCTTCCTTCCTCTCCCTTGTCTCTCTCTCCCCCAATCAGCTTGACCACAGATGGCAACCATGGAGCCCTACGAGGATGATAATGGTGAATCGCCCCCATACACAGATGCTTTACTCCAGCTAACGAATGGGCAGCTGGTGTTGAGGAGCACGACAAGGAGCAGGAACACACCAACGAGAAGATTATCAACGAAGGTTCGCCTGCACTCTATTGCCTCCCCCGGGAAATGCGATTGCTGACGGGCTGAGCAGAGTACAAAACATGGAAGAAGAATGCGCCGTTTCTCTATGACATGATTCTAAGCACGGCGCTAGAATGGCCAACGCTCAGCACCCAGTGGCTGCCGGACAAACAGGAGTAGGTCCTCTCAATGCTTTCTGTGCATGTGTTCCATCTAATCGCATGTTCTTGCAGAATCCCGGACAAGCCTTACTCAACTCATCGCCTGTTGTTGGGCACGCATACTACGGGGGACGCCCCGAACTACCTCCAGATTGCCCATGTGCAGCTGCCCAATCCCAATGTTCCCAACCCGGATGATTACGATGAAGAGAAAGGCGAGATCGGGGGCTATGGCGGAGCATCCAAGAAGCCTCAGATGGAAATCAAGTTCGAAATTGTTCAGAAGATCGACCACAAGGGCGAGGTCAACAAGGCCCGGTACCAGCCACAGAATCCCAACATCATCGCGACGATGTGTACGGATGGGCGGGTGATGATTTGGGATCGCTCGAAGCACCCCAGCTTGCCGACCGGCACCGTCAATCCCCAGATGGAGCTTTTGGGCCATGAAAGCGAAGGGTTCGGTCTCAGCTGGAACCCTCATGAGGCCGGTCATCTCGCTACGGGTAGCGAGGATAAGACTGTCCGACTCTGGTAGGTCTCGGCTGCAATACCGGCAATGAACAAGACTGACCCACGCCGTAGGGACCTCACCACCTACACCAAAGGCAACAAGGCCGTTCGCCCAACCCGCACCTACACGCACCACTCCTCCATCGTCAATGATGTGCAGCACCATCCCCTCCACTCGGCTCTCATAGGAACCGTCTCCGATGACATAACCCTCCAAATTCTCGACACCCGTGCCGCAGACACCACCCGCGCAGCTGCTTCGGCGGAGGGTCAGCACCGCGACGCGATTAACTCCATCTCTTTCAACCCAGCGGCCGAGACGATTCTGGCCACCGGTTCCGCCGACAAGACTATTGGGATATGGGATTTGCGCAACTTGAAGACGAAGCTGCATTCGTTGGAAGGTCACTCCGATTCCGTGCAGTCCATCTCGTGGCATCCATTTGAGGAGTCCGTACTGGCCAGCTCCAGTTACGATCGGAAAATCATGTTCTGGGACCTCAGCCGGGCGGGCGAGGAGCAGACCCCCGAGGATGCACAGGACGGACCACCAGAGCTGTACGTACCTTTCTTGTGTTTTGGCTACATATTGTCTCGTCACATTCTGACTAATTCTTTCCTACAGCCTTTTCATGCACGGAGGACACACTAACCGCATTTCCGACTTTAGCTGGAACCTCAGCGATCCGTGGGTTCTCTGCTCGGCTGCCGAGGACAACTTGTTGCAGGTGTGGAAGGTGGCGGATGCGATTGTGGGCAAGGACTTGGAAGACGTACCGACGGAGGAGCTGGAGTCGTAATTCTGGAGTCTCTGTTATGTTGTTTTAATTTCAAAATACCATTCAAGGGTTATTGGCAACTATGTAGCATTTCCTCGGACAGATGTAGTGGTGGAAGTATATCTCGCCACCCGATATATATTCCCCTCAGTACTTCCGGTATACTCTTCTCCCACAACATGTACGTCACGATATGAGTTCTAGTACTACTAAATTCCAAACTACAAAACAAAACAATGTCGACTACATGATGGAAGTTAAATAATTGAAAGTAACACCAGAAAGTCCGTGCTGCACCGCATCTGACAGATAAACGGCGCTGATTCTGCCGGGCGGGAAACTCGCTGATGCGATCGGGAAAAAAAAAGTAAGAAATTCGCCTGGCGTCATGGCCATATTCTTTCACATACTGTCAACTGAATTAGACTGATCCATCTTATCGAAACCCATCGAGCCACTGATCTGTTGTGCCCGCTCGTTTTTGCATCTTCAATCTTCTGCTCCACCCTCCCACTTGCTCAATCCTCTCTTTTCCTGACTCACCATGGGCACCGGAGGCTCCCCTCCGCTTGGCCCGAAGCCATCGGCCATCCCATCCCACATGCTGAACGGTAGCTCTCCCCTGCACCCGACCACGGGAGTGCGTGATGAGCGTGAGAGGGAAAGCCTCAATTCATCCATCCGCTCCTCCTTCGCCCCCCGCATCCCCGCTGAGTTCAATTCGCCGGAGACAGGGTCCGCCGTCGCCGGCGAGTCGACTAGCAGTGCATCTGGCATCGTTCGCAGCCCCATTATCGTCCGGTAGGCTCCCAGTGCCCTCCCCACAATTCCTCGTCTTTTGACAATTCATTCTAGACCGACTTTGAATGATCCTCCTCGGGACCCGCGCGACGAAGGCGGTCCATTGACCCCTCCGGCTACCGTGAGTCGCCCCGCGAGCCCTTACACATTGAACCCGCCCATCGACTTCGATGGGCTCAGCTGGCCTTGTAAGTAAATCGCTCCGGGATTTCTCCTTTGCTCTGACCATCTCCGCCTAGGCCCGGGGACGCGGCAACGGCTAGAATCCACGCCCGAACAGACCGAAGAACGGGTCCAGAAGCTTGCTGGAGCTGTGCGGACAATCCTTGAATGCATTGGAGAAGACCCGGAGAGAGAAGGGCTCCGCGAGACCCCCGAGAGATACGCCAAGGCCATGCTCTACTTCACCAAGGGCTACGAGGAAAATGTTCGGGATCTGGTCAACGGAGCGGTTTTCCACGAGGATCACGATGAACTGGTCATTGTGAAAGACATTGATGTTTTCTCCTTGTGCGAGCACCATATGGTACCCTTTAGCGGAAAGGTATGCAATGCTCTGTATGTCCTGCATGAGTGATTCTGACTATGTGGGGCAGATGCATATCGGTTATATTCCGGATCGCCGCGTGCTTGGTCTATCCAAACTGGCTCGCCTGGCGGAGATGTTCTCACGCAGACTCCAGGTCCAGGAACGTCTGACCAAGCAGGTTGCTCTGGCCATCTCGGAGGTCCTCAAGCCTCGAGGTGTTGGTGTCGTCATGGAATCTTCCCATCTGTGCATGGTTATGCGTGGCGTGCAGAAAGTCAGCAGCACCACGACCACTAGCTGCATGCTGGGATGTATGCGATCCAGCGCAAAGACCAGGGAAGAGTTCCTGACCTTGCTGAACCGGAGGTAATTGTTCAGTTATGAATTTGGAGTTAGGGTTGGGCCTTTCAACAGGTTTCGGATGGTTTTCTGAGTTTCTTACTTCATCACGGATTCGGTGTTTCTCTGTGTTCTTTTTCACTTCTTTTGCATATTACCTTGACCCCATAACCTTACCTTGCCTTATCATGTTTACCCGTGACAATGTTTTCCATTCTCTTCGACCTCTCGCTCCTAGGGTCGATGAATCATGTCTATCCTATGCTGACCTGTCCGACATCCACAATCCTTCTCGTGTATTACTCACACGATTGGCCATTATATCTTGCTTGTGGTCATGTTTCGTTTGGATCTTTGGAATCCTTGACCTCAAAATCCTTGATGGTGCCGGCGAGGCTGTTTCAACACTTGACTTTTTCTATACTTATGTCTCAGCATCCTGATATCAGGCTCTGTCCTCGTCGCCTGTATATGTCCCATATATTAAATGCCATGTACATTCCCATCTCTTTCTTTCCCCGTTGATGGCTCTCTTGCTCTATTTCTCCATGTTCTGGGTATGAACCCGCCATATACCTGGCCAACCGTGACAACCCTGCTTCACAGTCGAGCCCATTAGGATTAGGACTCGACTCGAACCCCATTTGCTCTGTGATGGTTGTCAGCCATGATGACCCAACCCCAGGCTGCTGGTGATGTGCTTAGTCGTCGACATATCCCACCACCGACTCAGCATCGCCGACTCAGCGGCTTAGTCGGCGCCCCCTTCTATATCAGAGCACGCTTCTTCTTACCATGATGCTCTTCCCTCCGACCTTCTTCATCTTCATCACCTTCATCTTTTCCGCCATCCTTTCCATCTCCGTCTCGCTTTCTATCATCATTCTCATCGTTGTGCTCATCCGTATCACCACATACCCTCCAGACACCCGTGAGTCCTTTCTCTCTTTTCTCTGTTGTGATGCTCATGTTTGCCATCATCTGTTGTGCTTGTGCTCAATTTTCTTGTCTGTCTTGCACCCTCTGCTTTTCCCTGCCAGGACGCACTCTCTCTCTCGTGTGATCCCTCGTGCTGCTGGCTGCCCATCCCAAACTGTATCTGTCCACGAGTCTGCTCTTTTATACTATCATTATCTGGTTTCTTTTTTCCCTGTGGCGGCTTCGGCTTTCACACAATCTCTTTGTCTACCAGAGGTTGCTGTGTCTCTGTGATGATCATCTCAGACCCCAAGCATCTACCCCAAGCACCTGCGTGGCCAAATGCCACTTTATCTATTCACTACCTGTTTTCGTCTGAAGGCTGAAACTGATGGGACTGCACAGTACCTAGTCCGAGCTGAGATCCTCGGTCTCGAGGGTTTCGAACCAGACAAGCCCTAAGGTACGTGAACTATATCCAAAGCTTCAAGACACACCAGTAACCTGATCTTTGAAGAGAAAGTCGTTTCTGCAAGAGAAGAAACCTCCAGAATCACCCAATCAACACAGTGAGTGAGCACTCGGTCCTACTACGCCATTGTTGCCCTGTCCGCTCTGAATGGCAGATGTATCGAAGACTGCGAGCTGACCCGCGATGACACCCTAGCCCAGGACGAACATGTCTCGATCACAAGGCAACTCGACCGATCAGATGGGTGATGTTGACCGTGAGTTGGCCGAGACGGAAGCCCGCAACCTGATGCCGCCGCCTCCTGTGCCTCCTCTTCCTACTCATCCCCCTCTCCCTATTCCTCCGTGGCGCACCGTTTCTCCCCCGGTTCGACTGCCTGGTCCGGATGAGCTGGCGTCGCCATTCGCCAATCCGGTCTGGTATCCAGAACCACCTCTTCCTGCGTGGCACTCCGATCAGGTCCCTACGACCACTCATCGTGGACTTCCACGGCATCCGAGCAGCTCACCACCCGAGCCTCGCTCTCCTCGCACGTATGGGGATTTCATCCCTGCCTTCCAGGTTGGGGCCTCGCCTCCCGAGCTGCCACTGGAGCCACTGCCGCAAACCGGTGCTACCGCTCCTAATACTTCCTCGCGCAATCCAGCTGTCCTTGCGCGAAATGAATTAACCACTTTCTTTGGAGTTGAGCCTGCCGGGCCGCCCGACCCTCGCGAACCCAGCACTAGCGTGATGCTTGATTCTTTGACCCCCATCGATCCGCAGCTGATGCCGGCGATTCCGACGATGGGCGACATGTCCTACAGTCCAAGCAGTGCGCCCAACTCGTCCACCACAGTGCCTGGTTCACGTGCTAGACCTACCATTGGTCCCGGAATACAGTTTCGAGGAGGGACAATGGGTGGCATGCCATATACTCCAAGCAATGTGCACTCCCAGTATACGACAGCGTCCACTTCATATGCTGCTCCTATCAATGGGCCGGCAACACAGCTTCAAGGAGTGTTAATAGGTGACATGCCCTACACCCCAAGCAGTCTGCCCAATCCGTACACGATGGTGCCTGCTTCATATACTGCTCCTATGACTGTTCCCAGGCCGCAGCATCAAGGAGTGCTTACTGAAGCAACCACTCCTCAAATGCCTGCCCAGCATGTGCAGAATTCGCCCCGGTATCTGACTGCTCCCCGGAGACCACCCCCGTCTTTGAATACTACCCAGGGAATGCACCCAATGCCGGTCGAGAGGGAATACGCACTCCAGTCATGGCTCGTACGCCAGCAGCTGCTCGCGGGCATCCCGATTGATCAGCTCGAACCAATGCAAGGTCCGCGGTCCCGACAACAACAGGTGTCGCCCTCAGGCATTCATACCCGGTACCGGACCCCGGCGCTTCTCATGATCACTGAAGATGGAATCCGGATTCCACGCCTTCCACTTGCTCAATTCCAAGGCACACTTCAACCGCTGCCTAATCTACCGGGCCCCCCGGCAATCAGATCGCAGCAGACCCCTCTCTGCCACCGGCCGTGCATACTGGAAATGGGGACGTAGTTCCTCGAGCTCAACCACTTGCAGTTCTTCCTGAAGAATTGTATCCGCCTTCTGGAGTAGTGCCGCCGCGGAACTCTCTTGAAACTTTTTCGAACAGCAATGCCCACTCCTCGCCGGTCCAAGGATCTTCTCCGTCACATGTACCAGCTGTTCCGCACCCCAGCCAGCCCGGTAATACTCCAGATGACAGTGGTGATGCCGAGCCATATGACGATGAAATGGAACTTGAAACGCCAGGAAATTGGCATTTTCAACCCATCTATGATAACAATGGCTCTTACGGCTACGATGGAGCTGGCGATGCTCCTTATGCTTCACTGGGAGTGGGTGACGCCCTTACGGCGGAAATTGCGTTTGCTGCAATGCAATTGTCCCATTTCCGGCTGTCTCCCTTGCCTGAGGCTGATAAAGGAGAGCGTCCGGCGTCCCATGGCGAAGATCCGCCCACCACCCGTGGTGAAAAGGATGATTGGTTTGTTGTGGAAGATTTTCCAGATCCTGGTGAAGAATCGTCGTCTTCGGCCATCAAAGGCAAAGAGCCTCAGCGGTACTGCCTACAGCAGGACGCAGATCCATTTATCGTGGACAATGTATCTGTTCTCTTCGGAAACTCCCTAATCAAACCCGGTTCTCCGCAGCAGCCAATTTTCAACAATCCAAATGATGAGCGTCTTGCAAACGCTGAGCTCGCGGCTATCTTCAGTGATACTGATACCGAGGAATTGAAGTCTAATTCTAGCGGTCGCGGCAGATGCTCCGTCTTTGGGGATTCCCAGGTTTCTGTCTCGGACATTGAACCCGATTTCCTTCAACCATTCAGCCTGGCTAGGGCTCTTACACACTACCCGGAGATTTTCACCGAGGTGGTCGATTACCTTAATATGTTTGATATCTTCCAGCTTCAAGGTATTCACAAGACAATCGACCGACTGATCTTGTACGCCGTGCCGCAGATTCTGCACAACTATTTGCCTGCTCATGATCGTTTTGTGGAGCGACTGTTTCCCTACCAGAATTTCGTGAGCCTCCGCACAGGTATCAAGCTTCACTGGCCTGCAACCGTGAATATTGCTCCTGATGGCATGGTCATGCGCCTTGAGCCGAAACTCAGCTGGATTGTCTGGCTGAAAATCCGCCTAGATATGGCAAAGGAGATCTTTGCATATGCAAACCGAGTTGAGAACCTCCTGCCTTCTCGAGGGCTTCGCGTGCTGCTCAAGATGTGGCACATTATGGAGATCCCGGACAATTTTATGCGCATGTGGATCATCAAGCACAAGCAGCTGTGGCCAAACAAGGACCTGCGCCTCGCAGTCAGAATCATGAAGGTCCTTGGAACCCTGATCATTCGACGGAACCCACCCTGGCAAGCCACCCTCAAAAGGCTGCCTCGCGTTTTCTGGTATCAGAAGGATTTGAGCTTTCTATACCACTACCTGATCAACGACGCCCCCAACGAGTGGCAGCAGTTCCTGCCCTACGCCGTGCGCACGATGACCGCGCAAGAGTTCAACAACCACGACCCGCCTATCCATGGCGCATTTGACGTCAACACAGTCGGTGAACTCCGCGTGGAGTTCTGGTCTAAGCTTACCCGCCACCCGAAGTCGAGTTTCCAGGCCGCCCAGGTCTTGTACAATGACCTGGAGTTCAAGGGCGAGATTCGGTCCTTGATCCCTATCGACTACCTCATTGAGAGTGAGATGGACAGCCGTGATCTCGACTGGGACGCGCCCGTTTTCTACCCGGGCGTCAATGCTCCTCATCCCGGTGACCAGTTGATCTGGTGGAACGAGTGGTGGCACGAGTTCTGGACTCCCTGGCTGCATATCATGGGGTCTTCGCGCTGATCTACCAACAACGACAACGTTTTCTACGTGAAGATCCATCACTTTCTGTATTCTTGATTCCCTTATCTACTGAAGAGAAGATGATGGCCAGAAGTTATGAGATCTGAGGGGGTGTAGACAGTGAGAAAACCCAAAAAAAGGGGATGTAAGGAAGAGAGGATTTGACGGTAGCAGCTGAATGATATTTTGTTTGATTAAACTATTATCCTCGAGCATCAATATCTCAAAGGCGTGCAGTCAAGTCCTATACTTCATAGATCACATGATTTACACGTGATCACTGCCCTCCTTGAAACGCTTCCTCAACCTCCCGCCATCGCAACTTCAACTCCTCCCCGCGTTCCTGGTAACAACACACTCGACAGGCACTCGTATCGCCGTGCACCTGGAACGGATAACCCGTCAACCACGCATTTTCTATTCTAGAATTTCTGGTGGCCATGCCTTGCGGCGTTGCAGGGTGTCCGATCGGGGCGCTTAGTTCCTCATCCCGCTCCTCCCACCCTGGAGATTTGCGCTCGGGCCCGGACGCAGATCTTGAACCATGAGGTGCGGCTTTCTTTCATAGACTACGACTGGAGGACTGGGGACTTTAGCGCGGCGTTTCTTTTTGCTGCTACGGCGGATGATGCATCGGCCTGCAAACACCTAGTCGGGCCTTTCCTACCCATATCAGGTATGCTTCTTGCAATGCTACTGGGATTCAGAACCTGGTGATTCGTCCTACTGCTGGGAGAGAAAATGTGGACGATATCGACACCCTATCTCTTTCCGGCGCGCCTGGGTCTATGGGGTGGGGTTTCTACTGGACTTGACTGGGAACCTCTCAAGCGCCTCCTGTTGGTGTCTTTCACTGCTTGCAGATGGTCATTGGTGTTCTTTCTCTTTCAGCTGGTAATGGCTGATTGCATATCTGCTGTAAAACATGGGCGACACTGGTTCGAAGAGCATGACCGTGTTGGGGAACCCAGCATTTCTCCTGACTCACAGCAGCTGTACTCGAATGTCGCCTATATGGCTACAGGACAAGCCTACTGTTCATCTACGACCTCCAATTGCGTCGCATTATCACCGGATTCGAACGTCTGAGCAGGACTGGCAACACCATCACCTCCCGGGTCGATGCTTATTCCCACTCCCGACACCTTACATCGGAGTTCGCTCTCGGTTTTGATATGGCGTCATTCTGTGATTTCTTGCAGTGGTTTCTTTCTGCCAGACCTGCTTTCCAGGCTCGTGCAGTACGTAGATAAATCTGGCTGAGACAGTCCGCTGAGGTTTCATGTGAGACCCTGCAGAGCGAAGGCCTTCGCGAGGCAGGCCAAGGAGAGGCGAACAAGGCACCAGAAACGACCGACACTGGGTTGAGAAGAGCAGGTCCAACCTGTGGCCATCAAAGCGAGTCAGTGGCGGTCTTTGGGTGATGAGAGAGACCTTTCAGCCTCCTGGGTCGGCCCGACTGTAGAGCCCCGATTGTGGCCGTGTCTGTTGGTGCAACGGGTCACCGCACGAGTAGCCTAAAATCCCTAGTTGTGGTGCGTATCCGCCCCTTTTCTCCTTGTTGTTCTGTTGTTCTCACATCCGCATTTTCCTACACTTCGCAGACCGGAAAAACCATCCACCCGACCAGACGGGCCTTGGCTCCACCCGCCGACTCTCGCTTCCCACGACAGCATCCCCTAGCCAGCCATCGCTTCGCCCTGACTTGGCACTGACCTCGATTTCAACATTCTCTTCATCCGCCAGATGTGGCTGGCAACGTTTACATGGCTGGGTCCCGTAGGAGTCCGGTGCTGAAAGACCAGTGGAGCGCCAGCGACCAGCGTGATCCTCGCGATCCTCGCGATCCTCGCGACCGGGACAGGCGCAGAGGTCGAGGCTCCAATCGTGCCCGGGGTCAGAATCACCGTGGCCGTGGACGCCCTTACCGGTTCAACGACCGCCATTTCGACCGCGGCAGGTCGCCACCCCCCGCCCACGCGTCCCGATTTGGGCCTGATTCGTCTCACGACTTGGGCGATTTCCCCGTGAACCGATCTCCTCGCCACGGGTCTCCGGGTCTGTCACCCTCTGGGCTCCAGCACGATCGACGCCCGAGCCTTCGACAACCCCCGTCTGCTGCAGACGACTTTCGGAACACCCATCGATTCGGCCCCCCACCAGACAGGGACACCTTGGGCCCACGAAGAGACGAGTCACCATTTCCACCTCCATCCAAACGCAAAAGGACTCGAAGTCCTTCTCCTCGCGGCCATCGCCCATCTGTTCCTCGTCATCACCACGCCAAACACGGAGAAAGACGGGACCGAAGCCCTCCGTATCAAAAGCGAGGCGGCCGGTTTCAGGGTCGTGGTGGTGGTAGAGGGAGATCACCCCAGCACCGCCGTGATCGCCGCAGAAAAGACGACCATCGGCCTGGAATCCCACGCTCAGGCCTATCTAGATCCCCTGTCCGGGATAGGAGGTGGTCCCAATCACCCAGTGCCAACGACCACAGCGACCATCATTCGCGGTATCGATCACCATCTCGAAACTCTGTGCGGTCTGAGCGCTCGAGATCCGTCGTTTCTCGCAGCTCAAGGGGCGACCCGGAGATGGGCTCGACTCGGCCAATTCAGTCCGTCGTGGACGACTTCGCCCGGCCACCCTCTCCTCCTCGTCCGATCCCGAGTTTCGATGCAGACAATGACCGTGGGCCCGGAAATGCGCCAGCTGATCTACGAGATAAATTTCCCATGCACGGTATGAGAGCATCTGATGTCCCTCACAAACAACGTCGACGACCTTCCCACCCGCATCTTGATACCCGGCCATATGCCACGTCGCCACAGTATGCGACCCCGTCGAGCTCATATCATGGATCACCACAGCCTGGGTCGCCCTACTCTGGGCGAGCCGGGTGGGGCGGGCAACCCCCTTATCCAGGTCAATCTGGGTGAGTTTCCTCCTCTAATTCCGGAAGTGGGGAAAAATTAACCATGTATCAATATAGGCAAGGTTCTCCATATCATCAGAACGGTCCCCCCGGGCAGTACTATCAGAACCATCAAGGCTCGTACGAAGGCCCTCCGAACCACCACCCTCAGTCTTATGGCCCACCATCCTACCGAGGCGGGCATGGAGGCTATCGCGGAAATTACCCCAACCAGGATCAGGACCGCCGCTTCTCCGGGTCTGGGCCTCACCACTATAACCACGGGCCCTCCCAGCGTGGGGGTAGAGGCAACTTTAACAGCCACCAATGGTCTGCGTCTGGCTCTAGGGGTCGCGGAGGTCAGCACAGCCCTCATCATATGCACAGTCATGGGTCACAGACTCCTCCGAGCCACGATCAATTTGCGAATGATCCACGGTCGCCTCGTGCAGGGGAGCCACAACCTCGTTCAAGACGTCCAAGCAAGGATGATCTTCCAAGAGAAGATGACTACCCCAAGCCGGTCTCCGAGAGTGGCGATACCCAACAGATGCGTCCCCCCGGTCCAGAGTTGGAATCGTCAACCCCAGCCAAGGCCGGCGGGAAATTCAGTTTCGCTTTCAAATCAAAGGCCGCGCCTGCTCCTTCCCCCAAACCGGTCCCTGACCTTGCGCAGCGGATGCAGGTCCGCGATCCACCTCCGCGTGCACCTGAACCAACACCGCCTCGAAACAGGTTGACCAATGGGCCGCTACCTACATTCAAGCCCGATAATAATCGATTTGATCGTCGTGACCGTGGAGGACGGGATCGGGGCCGAGATCGCAGAGACTTCCGGGACTCACGAGACTTCAATTCGCGGGACCGCCGAGATGACCGCCGATTCGATCAGCGTCGTGATAAACGAAAGGGTGACAGGCGTTCTGATTTCCGTCCAGATTATCCAGAACGACAAGATCGTCCCCACCGTCAAGATCGTCGCCGGGAACCTTCGATTGACGCACCCAGGGGACCGCCGCCGAAGCCGAAAAAGATCCTTACCCGTCCAAAGCCACGCCCTATCCTCTCCGAGGAATTTGCTCAAGCCGATTCCGTCTACTATAGAAAACCAGGCAATGAATCAGTGATCGGCGCTGGCACATATGGCAAGGTCTTCAAGGCAATTCATGTCTACACAAAGCGCCAAGTGGCACTCAAGAAAATTCGGATGGAAGGCGAGAAAGATGGCTTCCCCGTCACTGCAGTGCGCGAGATAAAGCTACTCCAGCATCTGCGAAACGAGAACGTGGTTAGCTTGTTGGAAGTCATGGTGGAAAAGAACGAATGTTTCATGGTCTTTGAATATCTCTCTCATGACTTGACGGGTCTCATCAACCACCCCACATTCTCCCTGACCCTGGCACACAAGAAGGACCTGGCGAAGCAAATGTTCGAGGGCTTGAATTATCTCCACCATCGTGGCGTTCTTCACCGAGACATCAAGGCGGCCAACATTCTCATCAGCAACCGCGGCCTGTTGAAATATGCAGACTTCGGATTGGCTCGGTTCTTCTCCAAGACCCGCCAGCTTGACTACACCAATCGCGTGATCACGATCTGGTACCGTCCTCCCGAACTCCTGCTGGGTGAGACCCGGTACGGTCCGGCCGTGGATGTTTGGAGTGCCGCCTGCGTTTGCATGGAGATGTTCACAAAAAAAGCCGTCTTCCCCGGTGAAGGCAGCGAGCTCAGCCAGATGGACAAGCTTTACAATATGCTGGGCACGCCTACTCGCGCAGAGTGGCAGGATGTTGTGGAGATGCCATGGTTCCAGCTGATGCGGCCGACGGAGCGCAAGAAGCGAAATTTCGAGGAGACATTTCGCGAGGTGTTGACCCCGGCTGCCTTGGATTTGATCTCCCAGGTCTTCCAGTACGATCCCGCGAAGCGGCCCAGCGCCGAAGAAGTTCTCAAGCACCCCTACTTCGTCTCTGAAGAACCGGCGCCTCAGCCGCCAATTGAGTACGTTGGCCCCCTCTGCATGAATATGCTATGAATTTTTACTGACCGCCATTCAGACTGGAGAATATTGAAGGCGACTGGCACGAGTTCGAAAGCAAGGCTCTTCGCAAAGAGGCCCGGCGCGTAGAATACCAAAACCAAAAGGACCGCGAGAAGCGCAAGGCCGAGGCTGCAGCGCCGCTGAGCGACCGTGACCCCAAGCGCGTCAGACAAGACGAGAGCAGTCATCGCCCGGATTCTTCTGCACCGAGTTGACGGGATTGTGTATCTCTTGGCATATTTTATCTATTTGTATTGCATGGCTGGTGGATGGGTTGCATTTACATTCATGGGGCTCCGGCGTGCTTGTTACATATTGCCCATCGCCAATAAACATTTTTGGTATACATTATCTCACGAGCCGGAGTTTCGTATGTAGGGAGACTATATGCAGAACGTACTGGTTGCCGTTAGTCGCCATGGCACGCAGAGTAGACCAGATGGTTTGGGTGCAGCAAGAAAACACGCTCATCAGACTTTGCCAATCGACCTCACGCCCAACCAGCCGGAGTAGCAGGCGGTTGAGACCTCGGATTACCAGAGAGCTCAAATGTTTTTCGTCATAGAGAAAAGAAGCAAGAAGCAGAAAAGAATTGAATTGCTACTGACCACGTACTTGATTATAAGAAAAGAAACTAGGAAGAATAGCAATGTCCCGTCATTCAGGTCATCAACGCATCATGGGTTGCTCCGTGAAGAGCCCTCGTGATGATGGTTTTAGATGCGATCGGTTGATCTCGACACACTCATCGGAAACGCCGGGGCAGTGGCAAATGAAGGACACCCAGCGGTGATTTGAGTTGGTGGTCTTGGTTTTGTGGAAAGAAAGAAGAGAAAAGCGAGAAAAAAGGGCAGAAAAGGACAAGTTCGGGTAAAAGTCGGCGCGGACGGAGTCACCTGTTCTGATTGGGTCACAGCTCACGTTACGCTCTCCAAGTCACTTCATGTTCCTTCACTACTATTCCATCTTGCGTCGTTTCCCCCATCCCCACTACTTACTCTCCACAGTCTCTGCCGCTCTGAACACCATTCTTCTTTGCTTCCTCTCTTGACCGCTTCACTATCGTCCTTTTATTTCTCTCACCTCGTCTATCCTGCCGTCTCCGGTGAAGGATCTAGTCTCCGCTCCACTTCCTACCGTCGCCGAGATAAAAATCCGAGAAAAAAAGTTATAGACGACCGATTGTGCTCACCTACGAGGAGTGCCGTGGTTCTGGCTGTTCGGCTCTCCCTGATGACCGCTCGTGTCTCGGGCAGTCTGGTCTCCCGCCGCGATGGATAATGCAAACCTGTGGTCTCGTCGGGCAAAGTAAGTGGGGAGCGGGATTTCTGACGTTTCCTGGCAAGAACAATCACTGACTCCAGTTCCTCGTTTCCAGCTCCTCCAAGCTGTCGCTGTCGATGTCCGGGACGGACAACAAGGACGGTGGCGCTCGAGTCGAACTGCCCCGCGCCTCCAAACGGTTTGGGCCTGACAGCTCCCACGGCCGCTCGAATCCATTCAACGCAATATCTCCGCTGTCGGGCGGGGTCCCGTCGTCGGCTGCCAACCCTTCTTCCGCTTTCGGTCTAGGATCTGGCGCATTCGCCTCGTTCGGTGCGCCCAAGACACCAGGTGGCTCGTCTGAGGCGAAGATGCCCAGTGAGAGTCCTGACATGTCTGCGGAGCAGGAAGAGACCCTGAGCGCGAAGCTGTCTGTGTCCAGTGCTGGTGAACATCCGCTCAAGTCTACCTGGATTGTCTGGTATCGTCCTCCTACGCCCAAATATTCCGACTACGAGAAATCGACAATTGCGATCGCCGCGATATCGTCTGTCGAGAGCTTCTGGGCGGTATACTCGCATCTTAAGCGGCCCTCGCTTCTCCCGACGGTCTCGGATTACCACATCTTTAAGAAGGGTATCCGTCCGGTGTGGGAAGACGAGGCCAACAAGCGGGGTGGCAAGTGGATCGTGCGATTGAAGAAGGGCGTTGCCGATCGATTCTGGGAGGACCTGTTGCTGGCCATGGCTGGCGATCAGTTTGCCGAGGCCGGTGATGAAGTCTGTGGCGCCGTCCTCAGCGTGCGCGGTGGCGAGGATGTCTTGAGTATCTGGACCCGGATCGACGGCGGTCGAAACATCAAGATCCGAGAGACGATCAAGCGCTTACTCGCGTTTCCCCCCGACACCAACATCATATGGAAGAGCCACGATGATAGCATCGCCCAGCGGTCGGCCATCGACCAGGCACGCCACGAGAAGGCCACGGCCGGCAGCGGTCACCACCAGGGATCGGAGCGGCGGCGTATGACCGGTCATGATGATTCGATGATGGCGGATAAAGGCAAGGCTGTGGCCTCGTGAACGCCAGTCCTGGCCGAAGGCCCTGTATAGTACACCACACCATACCACACCACAAAAGAGCCACGATCACATTTCATTGGGACGCGTTTGGGTAAGGAAGGGGTCGGTGGGGCATTGAGGCGAACTCACGGGTTGATTTTTATGCGAGAGACTCAATGTTGTTTTCCTCTTGTGGCTTTTCTTGAATGTCCTGATGCTTTTCGTTCTGTATACAACGGTGGGCGATACAGTCTTTTTTTGTTCTATGGAATTTATGCAGAAACATTCTGCGAAGGATTCTCTAAGCCATGCCATTTACGTACCATTTGTAGATGCTCCATAGGTATTGAGCAGTTACTCAACTCCTGTCCAGACGTAGAACTAGATGTCGTGGAAGTGATGCCTGGAGATCCAGGCATCACTTTTTCTGACCGCCTTGGGTCATGATGGAAAGGAATGACGGTGCATATCTCCAGAATACTATCTATAGTGAAGAGTCCGGAGCCCAAAAAGTGAGGGCACAGCATGGGACCAAGCATGGCATAGGTGTGGCAGGCCCGATGCCCTTCTTCCAGAAACTGTCCGCGATCTTCACTCGGTCTCCGCGTCGGCAGGACGATCGCCAACGGTCCTCACCTTCGCGTCGCCATCCTTCGGCTTCCCCGTCGCGGCCAACCTCCCACTCATTCCCCCGCCGCTCAAGTCGGTCAGATACTGAGTCCCGTTCACGCGCTGCTACTCGACAAGCTATCCCTTCTGGTCCCTCGGAGGTGCGTATCTATCTGCCGGTGGTGTGTCTTGCATGCAGGATCCGCCTTGCGCTTCGCCTTTTTTTTTGTTTTTTTCTGCGTTCGTTTCTTTTTTTTTCTCTCAATCTCACGCCCAGGCCTTCGTGTGGTCTCTCCACCCTTGTCCCACGCTGCAGTCTCAGTCGCATTCCCTTATCGCCTGTCTCATTTCTGACCTCTGTCAGGCGTCTCACAGTTATGCCGACATTTCTCTTCCTCCGCCTGAACCACGACTCTCTTCTGGACGACAGCGGCATCCCACCTCGCCGGTTGCTCTAGAACACCCCGCCCGGTAGATATGAACTCTCAGCGCGACCCTGCCACCCGGCAAAAGCTGACCCAGGGACCCTCTCCCAGTTTGGGCACCTCGGCGCAGATGTGGAAACGAGACCAGCCCCGGAACGATGCTCAAGACGAGGCCCGCTTGATGGGAGCAAAGAGCTACAGGTATTGTCTCTGTAACCCGTTGTTTCTCAAAATTTGACGTGGCTGACATTGCTTGTGGAATAGGGATCCCGGGGCAACCACGATCAAACCCGGTGCTTCGTTCCTGAAGAACCGAAAGCCCGGGGTAGGTCTATTCCACTGAGCTTTGCGACTCATATATTGATTGAGAGACTTATAGGCCAGCGGCGCATTCAGACCGGCAGACACGCTCTCCAAACACTCGAAAGCCAGCGGACCGGTCCGCGCGCAGGGAAAGGAAAGGCAATCGAATTCCAGACGGCCTTACCTGGAAAATGCGTGGGAGTTTGATGAATCGGACCGACCTAACAAGCGGCGGCGTCATGACCAGTCTAGCCCGACTATCAATCTTACAGACGATGTGACCGAACCCGTTTCGTCCATCATGGAGATGTTGCCGCCAGCAAACCAGCTTTCCCCGCGCTTACCATCAGGCAGACAGAAGAATAAGTCTCACGAGAGGCAACAACTCCCGGAATATCGCGACCTGGAAGATATAGTCAAGGTCAATCGGGTCGATCGGAGTCCCCACAGTCAAGGAAACCGTCGCTTTTCTTCCGCGAGTTCCCTGGACGAGGGCCAATTTACCGAGAATGCTGCACAACAAAGGCGGTCCATGGCGGCCAACGCCCATGCCAAATCAGACCGATCTCAACGGCAAACGGTTTTCCCGAGTGTTGAGATTCGCAATCCCACGAATCTCGGTTCCCCAACCTCTCGTCGCCGACAGGTCATCAAGTCGGAAGGAATGCGTCGCATCTCTGACTTTACTCGAGAGAGCTCTGATGAATTGCAGGGCGGAGCTACCACTCACCCAGTTCCGAAGTCTCTGGATTCAAGCCCCAATCTCGCTCGGTGGAAGACCGAGAGCAAGACGCAACTGAGATCCCCGGTTCGCGAGCGCTCACCCACCGATATCAAGACTACCAACTTTGCGGCATCGCCCCGCCAAGGCCCGAAGATGAAGAACAAGAAAAAGAAACGGGACTTGTGGCTATTGGAAATCAATTCGATTCGGTTTGGGCCCATCAAGAAGGCCACGACTGAGGGAGAGCGGATGACGATTCATCTGGATGTGGAGAAGGAGACGATCGAGCTTGGCGAGGACATCGTGGGAACCGGCAAAACAGTGTCTATTCCCCTTCGGCAAATCAGAAAGGTCTTGCAAGGACGTGAGATCAGTTGCAAAGTCCGGATAGAACTCTCGCTGGCAGCCAATTCGCCCGGGGACAAGGTGGACGTTGAGTTCACAAATTCCGCTGACAAGTTGCGCCTGTGCAATACGCTGCAAAGCTTTCAGGTCAACATGCAAGATAAAGACAGGTATGTGGATTGTGCAACACGCAGTCCTGCGTTTGAGCTAATTACGACACAGGTCCTTTATGGATAAAATTTTTGCAACCTACGAACGGAACATGGAGCTCCATAGCAGCCACACCAAAAAGCCATTGCTCAAGGATGTTGTTGTTCTTGCAGAACCAGAAATGCCTTCTGCCAAACCTTCCACTCGCACAAAAGTCTCCTCCGCTCTGCAAGATGTGAATGGCGAGATTAGTCGGGGAAAACCAGACCACGACAAAGAGGGTGGGGGTGGTCAAGAGCCCTTGAAATTTAAGTCCAGGCATTCATCTGATGAGCAGACACGACCTCAATCCTCCAAAGCAGATGGTGATGCCGGGGTGGAAATTCCGGTGAAGAAGTTCCAGGCTGCCCAGTCTTCAGGCCGAGAGACACGAGCATCGGCGCGCCTTACGCCAAAAACCTCAGCAGCCTCAGAAGAGTGCAATGCCAATACACGACGATCACCGTCAACGGATGATGAAGCCCGAAAGAAGTGGCAGAACCCCCTGGTCTATCCCAAGGCTGGAAAGAAAAAGGCGGAAGTTTGCGTAGAAGACCGCGATCGACTACGCGAAGGGGAGTTCCTGAACGACAACCTGATCGGCTTCTATATACGCTTTCTTCAAGACCACCTGGAGCGAACGAACAAGCGTGCCGCCGAGAAGATCTACTTCTTCAACTCATACTTCCACGCCACCATCACCAACACACCCCGCGGTGCGCGCGAGATCAATTACAGTGGCGTGGAGAAGTGGACTCGCAGCGTTGATCTTTTCGCTTACGATTATATCGTCGTGCCTATCAACGAGAATGCGCATTGGTATGTTGCTATTATCTGCAACTTGCCTAGCTTATCACTCCCACCCGGGGGGACTGTTGAGTCCGATCACACCGGGGCAGATGCAAAGGAGACTTCGACTAGGCCAACCAGTGAGGTCCAGACGATTCCAGAGACGCCTGAGCCCGAGCCGGTACCTGATTTATCCGAAGCTGCAGCAGGAGCCGCACCAGAGAAGGTCGCGGAGTCTTCGAAAGAACAGGAGACGCGCCAGTCTCTTGCGTCAATGACTCTTGACGGAGCCAATGCAGCAACCAAGAAAGAGAAACAGGAAGACGGTGGTCCAACAGACGAGTGGCCCGAGGAAGAAGAAAATGTCAAGTCTCCTCCGGCCAAGTTTGGCCCTGTCCGTGATAAGACCGAGAACCCCGAAACTCCAGTCGAAAGCGCCACCGCGCCTCAGCCATTTCGCAAATCCAAGAAAACACGGACGGGACCGAAGCTGGACCCCCGCCAGCCGACAATCATCACATTCGACTCCCTCGATCTGGCCCGATCACCTACCGTCAAGGTGCTCCGGGACTACATCTGCAAAGAAGCAGCGTCCAAGAAAGGGGTCGAGCTGGACGCCGCGAAAATCAAGGGCATGCGAGCTCGACAGGTTCCCCTGCAGCCGAATTACTCTGATTGCGGCTTGTACCTGTTGGCATACATTGAGAAATTCGTGCAGGACCCGGATCCATTCATCACGAAAATCCTTCGACGAGATATGGATGCGAAGGCTGACTGGCCTCCGTTGGGATCTGGTCTTCTGCGCCACCGGCTTCGCAAGTTTCTTGATGATTTGTACGAAGAGCAGACGCGGGATAAGGTGGATAGTCAAGCCATTATGGCAAATCAGCAGCCTGTTTCGTTTCTGCTGGGCCCGCCATTGCCGAGCGAGCCTGATAAAGATGTTGCTGATTCGACTGAGACACTGGATACAGCCGTTGCAGCCGAGTCTTCCGTGAAGGATGATGGTGCGAATGAGGACGCTCCTGATGTTGAAAGCTCAGCACCGGATCAGGTCGAGCTGGTGCCTACTGGCCCCTCGGATGGGGTCGCACCTCGCCCGGAATCGACAGGCGAACCATCGCGCGAGAAAGCAATGGACCTCGAGACAGAGAACGATAGAGAGGTGATCGAAGTTCCAGACAGCCAGGAGACGGCACAGACGAAGCTAGGCCACAAGAAGAAGAAATTTGGCCGCCAGGGAAAGGATAAAGATCTCGGCGATCCCTCCATAAGGAAGCGCAAGAAGGGCACGGATAAGTTGGGTGTCCGGGCGGAGGTCCAGATACGGGGCACACCGCCGCCAACTGAAGAATCTGGACGAGTGCGACGGAGTCCGCGGGGCATGTCCCAGCGAGATTGCTCTTGACAGGTTATGACGCTCACGAATTGTTTCTCTTTTTTTTTTTTTTTTTTTCCCCCTTTTCTGTTCGTCTTCAGCCTCATACACAGCGGGGATACAGGCGTCGTCGGTTTGGAGATATCAGAGAGGATGCAGAAAGACGCATGAGATACCAGCATTTGCATTTGCGTTTGCGTTTATCCTTCTAGCTTATATCTTAACTATTCTTATTTATACTCCATCTCGTGCCCGAACTCAATTATAGTATGTACTACGAAGATGTAGAGCTACCACTCACTCTCATCCGCGTTCACCCACCACGCCATCTTATCGCGCTTAAACGTCTCAAAATCCCACTCCGCCGCCTCCAACCTATCCATCCCAGCAGTCCACACATACGTCACGGCAGCCACCTCATCCTCTTCGTCTGCGACCTCCGCCCCTGCCGCATCAAGCACATCACGCAAGTGGCCGTCCTTTGTTTGGTGTCCCGGACTATGGTACAACTCCGAATCCAGAGAGTCACGCAACGGCCGCACGGTTACAGCCCTCCGCTCGTACTCGCTGCCCTCGAACAGATCCAGCCGGTGCAGGTCTCCATCGGTCAATCCGGACACGAGCGTGCCGAGCACCTTTTGCGTGGAAGGCTCTCCGCTGGCGCGTACGATGCCCGGGTAATCGGCGCCACGCACACGGTGTCTCTTGTAGCCGTGCAACACGGCCGGCTTGAAGCTTAGCAGGGCTTTCTGCCAGGGCTCTGGGTTTGGGTGTCCGTGGACGACGCGGTGGAGGACTTGCGGCGCCATCAGCGTGCCTGCAATCTTATTAGCATTTCCGCAAGCCTCGAATATAGAGGGAATAGACACCGTAGAAGAAGAGGACATGGTCGCCCATAGTGAGATACTCATTAAGCTGTCAAAAACGAACTCGACAGGAGACGTTGGGTGGTTGTTGCCGACAACATTGAATTTGAAGCTTATCGATAAGCTCATCCGGCCGAGGTGGCTTCATCCATCAATCCATAATAACATTTCCCTTTTGTCTCCGTGTCTCTCCCCACGCGCGCACCCATCCACCATGCACTCCAGCCTCAACCGCGTGCAAGCCGTCTTCGGCTTCTTCACGACCGTCGCCCTCGTCGTCGCAGGGCTCGCAGCGCTATCGACACTCCTCTTCCCCACGGCAGACACGTCGGCGGCAGTGTCATTAAAGAACGTCCAGGTGTACGCACACCTTCCTTCTCTTTCAATCGCAGCTTTGTTTCCAAAGCTTGACGCATCCGTATAAGTACTAACCTCCTACGAAATACAACAGAGTCAAGGGCCGACCGCACTACTACTCCACCAAACGCGAAGAATACGCCCAGATCCGCTTCGACCTGGACGCGGACCTGTCGCCGCTTTTCAACTGGAATACCAAACAGGTCTTTGTATATGTCTACGCGACGTATTCCTCGTCCGATAAGAAAGAGTCCAATGTCCCACTGACCGAGGCGGTCATCTGGGATGCGATTATCCCGGCCTCGCCATCGCCGTATTCGTTTGATGCGCTGAGCGAGAAGGTCTTGTCGGCCATTCCGCCGTCGATTATTCCCTCGTCCTTGAAGCCAGCAAAGAAATCCTCGCAGAAGAAGCGATCAGCAGCGAAGAAATCGACGAAGAATGGCGCCGCTGCTGTGGCGGAGGGGGATACGCCTGGGAAACTGAGACTGCGTGGCCAGAAGGCCAAGTACCAGATCAGCGATATTACCGGAAGGCTGGCCGAGAGGGAGAATGTCACCCTTTCTGTCGGGTGGAATGTGCAGCCGTGGGTTGGGGCGCTGTGGTGGAGTCCTGGGACGGGGGCTGTGCCGCGCACGCAGGGGACGGTGGTGAACAGTGAGGCCTTTGACTTTCCGCCGTTGAAGGGGACGGCGAAGACGGAGGGTGTATAGATCTCTCTCTCTCTCTCTCTCTTTCTGAGGATATGGAGATTGGCAATTGGGTCATTCGAGGTTGTGGTTGGTTTTGGACATCCACCAAGAATCTTCGGATCCAATGTTATAGCTACAGAGACATCTTCCTCGGAATACACTATTCGATCAAACGCATAATGGTACAGTACTACGCGCAACCGAGACTTTGGTCTTTAAAAAGAACATCATTCATCGTTTCAAAAGGAATGCACAACATCGTCACCGCCGTTGCCATTAGGGATAACCACACATGCAAGCAAATGCTATCAATCGATTCGAGGTATCAACCTATCCGTGTGTTCGCTCGGATCGATAATATCCCTTACAGGGTCCCATAATTCCGCTGGTTGCTATTGCCTCCGTTCTGAATACGGTCGGAGTACACACCCGGTGCGGGACGTTGGTAGGCACGAGTCATAGGGTCGCGATTGCGGCGGTCATAGTAGACGTATTCCAGGTAGAACGCGTGGATGTGGCCCGGGAAGTAGCTGTGAAGGGTGTTAAGACGTGTCATAAAAGCTCATATGTAGAAGCATACCCGAGAATCGTGAGGAGGACATTGATCCAGAAATCAACACCACAGCCGGAGATGAGGAAGACGCCGAGCGGTGGGACTGGAGGAGAGTCAGCAGTGTTACACGGAGGGACGAGATGGCGTCGTTGCTGCTAGGCAGTAGTGATTCAGGAAGAGAGAGGGAATAGACATACTGAACAAGGTGATGATCACCAGGCAGAGCATAGAACAAGTACCAGCCATGATCAAGGTCAAAGGAGTCTGGGTTGCTGCTTATTAGGCTTTGGGGGATTTGGCGGGTAGGAAGGAAGCTGAACAGAAAGATGAGGAAGAGGAGGAAGGAGATGTAGGTGGGACATTGGCGTCCAAGGATGAGTTCAGGCGCTTCATGATCGGCGATCAGACGTCAGTGGAGAGCAATCTGACAGGATCGGATAGGGCTGGCGGACGATAGGGTTACGTCATCCCAATTCCATCACACACCGCCACACTCGCCGCCAGATTCTGCAGATGATTCGGTACGGTTCAGTTGCCAACCATCAGACTCAGACCGCATCAATGCTCGCCCGCGTCGTCACCTGCTCATTCTTGTTGCCTAGCTTGGAGATCTGCAGGAACGCATCCACCCCGTAGCCCTCCAGACTGTGCAATTCCAGACTCCCAGCCCAGTACTCGGCATACACCCGACTCATCGGCAGGCCCATGCCCAGCCGCAGATTCGGTGGCCTCGACGTCAGCGTGTCCAGCGACCCTTCGTGGAAGGTGTCGCGGTCCGCGTGCTTGCGCCCCTGCGAGACCTGCAGCTCCTGCATGGTGGCCGCCATCGCCGGCACCTGGCCCAGGTTCTCCAGCCGGGTCTGCGTGCGAGGCCCCTTGCTGAAGGACCACAGGTAGGGCAGAATCTCACGCGGGATGCCTCCGCCCTGGTCGGAAATGCGCATGATCACATGCTGGGGGGTCTCGCAGATGAGCACCTCAATGGGCGGCGGCGGTCCGGTCGAATGCTGGTATTTCTCGATGACCGCCTGCACCGAGTTGCGCAGCAGTTCGCCCACAATGTACTCGAGATGACTCAAAATATATGGGAAGGTCGCCTCCAGATGGCCCTGCACGGTGATGGCGGGGATTTTGGTCGAATCGGAGCTCTTCCACATCAGATCCTGGGCAACCTTGCCGCACCGCTCGACCACCTCTTTCGCATTGCACTTCAAGAACACCTCGCCCACAAAGTCGGCATTCATATCGGTTCGTTCGTGCGAGTCCGGGAAATGCCAAGGCGAATTAAAGGTTTCGGTCAAGGCCAGGTGCTGTTCCGCAATCACACGGCGAGATATTCGCTAATGTAGACCGTCAATACTACCATTTCCGACGGGATCCCAAACATGCATACCGCTCGCAATAAAGTGTTCATGAACCGGTCCATCTCATCGGGCGGAACGAGCTCGCGGCACTCCAGCACCCCCATGGCCAGGTTCGGGATCACCACCAGGTGCTCCTTGAGCGTCTCCCGCAGCACGTCGCAGAGCCGGTCGTTATCATCGAGGCTGCAGATCTCGGGAATGACTCGGAACTTCTCGAATGCTTTGTAGTAGAGCTCATACACCATGGAGAGATGCGGGTTAGAGACTACCACATAGGGCAGCTGTTGGATGTCTCGGAGACGATGGGCAATGCTGGTTCAATTAGACGCGCCTCTCGGGGGTGTTCGTCTCCGACTTACCGGGTGGGTAGCTCGGTGCGCACGTAGTTTGCCGAGGAGATGAGTCGGGGCTCTGTTAGGGTGCGACCGAAGAAGGTCAACTGGCGCAAACTGATCGGTCGGATGGCCCGCTCTACCCATCTGGTCCATAGAGGGTCAGCATCAAGCTCGGAGGGATACGGGTGCATCGAGGCCATACTCATCCAATGCGGAAACGGGCCTCCATGGCGGCGGCTGATGAGACGAGCCCGAGTAGAAGCGAGTCAGCGCAGCGGATCGCAGGGGAGGCCAGCCTCGGGGACGACTGGGCCGCATCGTGTGCATGCCCCGGTCGTCATGGAGGTTCAGGTCGGAGTCATGTTGAAGGACGAAGGGAAGCACACCGGGCGGTGAGTCCAGAACAGACAGACCATGTGACAGACAACTAGCCAGTTCGCAGTGCGTTCAGAGTCGAATCGAATAGTTAGTTAGGTAGATTATGATGGTCTTGGTATTTCCCTTGGCTTAGTTCTTGTTTATTGCAGTGCGGTAGTTGGCGATGTTGTCGGAGTGAGATCAGGCAGTACGGAACATAGACCATTATTAGCGACCTGCAGTGGACTATTATTATTTGTAGAAAGATACTACAGTCCAACCTGAATATTATGGATCCGTTTTGATGATCTGGGCGTGTTGCTAAGCCTGTCGTGGATTCACTTCCTCCCTCAATCTTGGATTTCCTGCCGAATCCGCGACTCCGCCACCATCACCATACCGACACATCCCACCAACAACCTCTACCACCTCCCCTCCCCTTCACCCCGACAACCCTTTTTCTTCAATTCGTCAGTGCTTTCCGGACCTGCGGGAGGCCCTTTTGGCCATGGAGAACGTGAGTCTACTACCCCTCAACGGCCCCCAAGCCCGTGTCGTCATTGCCTCATCCGCACCCTCCATGTCATGCCCTCCCTTAAGGACACCATCCGCTGACTCTACCCAGCTCGGCGAGCACGACATGCTCGTCGACGAATATGATCAATACCAGAATGAGAAGACCGACGTCGTGGTCGTCTCCCAGCCTGACTCCGAGGAGCCCGACTCGGCACCGACCGCGGATGACCGTACGTGATCTCGTTTTCCTTGCTCCCTTATCCCCGCGCAATAGGATACAGTGGAGGAATAGCCCAGGTCATATATGGCTTGAATACTTGGGTCACTGTCCATTCGGTCGCATTTGGTGTAGCTGGCTAACAAGAAAATGCGGCACACACAGACACCGCCATGATGGCTCGGGTTCTGCCCAAAACCCCCGATCTAGAGACCGCGGACGAGACACACAATACATGGCACATCAAGGACTGGCGGAAGTTGGACCGCAAGGTGCATGGGCCGACCTTTGAGTGCGGAGGTTTCCCTTGGTGCGTTTTATCAGACCTTGCGACTTGGCTTGGTTGCTGACTGGAGCGTAGGCGGATTCTCTTCTTTCCGTACGGCAACCACGCAGAGCATGCTTCTTTCTATTTGGAGCATGCCTGGGAGGGCGAGCCGCCAGAGAACTGGTATGCGTGTGTGCAGTTCGCTTTGGTCTTGTCGAACGTGAATGATCCCTCCATCTATGTTTCTCACGGTATGTCTTGCAGTCCCTTTGGCTTGGAACGAACAGGCTAGCTAATCCGGTTGCAGTTGCGACACACCGGTTTACTGCAGAGGAGGGCGATTGGGGCTTTACAAGGTTCTATGATCTTCGCAGTCTCTTCAACGACGCATGGCCGGGTAAAAATGTGTCGCTGGTTCAGGATGACGAGGCACAGGTCACGGCCTACGTTCGAGTGGTGAAGGATCCGACTGGTGTGCTCTGGCACAGTTTCCAGAAGTAAGCTTTATCAGGCGCTACTCCTAGAACCTCGAACTGACTGATTTCTTTGCAGCTATGACTCCAAAAAGGAGACGGGAATGGTTGGTCTGAAGAACCAAGGCGCTACTTGTTACTTGAACTCGCTCCTGCAGTCGCTCTATTTCACCAACGGGTTCCGCAAGGTATGGAAACACTTGGTAGTACCTCGACAGACCCACTAACTTATCCTCTAGGCTGTATACCAAATTCCAACTGAGCAGGAAGCCACACGCGAAAATAGTGCGTGGACACTTCAGAGGCTCTTCTTCAATCTGCAGTCAAGTGACACGGCAGTCTCGACCACTGAACTTACCGCATCGTTCGGCTGGGAATCAAGACAAATATTCGAACAACAGGACGTCCAGGAGCTCTCGCGAAAGTTGATGGAACGCCTGGAGGAGAAGATGAAGGGGACTCCCGCTGAGAAGGCCTTGCCCAACATGTTCGTGGGCAAGACCAAGACCTACATCTCCTGCATCAATGTCGACTACGAGTCCTCCCGCATAGAAGAGTTCTGGGACATTCAGCTCAACGTCCGCAACAACAAGACTCTGGATGACAGTTTCCGCGACTACATCCAAGTGGAGACACTGGAGGGCGAGAACAAATATGACGCCGGCCCGCCGTACGGCTTGCAGGATGCCAAAAAGGGCGTGATTTTTGAAAGCTTCCCGCCGGTGCTGCATCTGCACCTGAAGCGATTTGAATATGACATCAACCGCGACGCCATGATGAAACTCAACGACCGACATGCCTTCCCCATGGAATTTGACGCTAGCCCCTACCTCTCCAAAGACGCCGATATGTCCGAACCGTGGCTTTACGAGCTGCACGGTGTCCTCGTTCACAGTGGCGATTTCAATGCCGGCCATTACTACGCTTTCCTCAAGCCTACCAAGGATGGATACTGGTACCGCTTTGATGACGATCGAGTGAACCGAGCTACCGATAAAGAAGTCTTGGAGGAGAACTACGGCGGCGAATATGAGCTTGCCAACGGCGCAACAGGTGTGCGACAGCCTTACACCCGCGGTCTCTCAACGAAACGATCCATGAACGCCTACATGCTGGTGTACATTCGGAAGTCGCGACAAGACGATGTGCTTCTGCCGATTACGAAGGACGATGTGCCTAGTCACATAGAAACGCGACTTGCCGAAGACCGTGCGGAGATGCTACGCCGAAAGAAGGAAAGAGAAGAAGCCCACCTTTACACGAACGTTGGAATCCTGAACGAGGACACATTCAAGGCCCACCATGGATTTGATTTGACTAGCGTCGACCTTCCGGCGGAGGACCCAGCACTTCCGAAATGGTATCGGATTCTGAAGACCAAGAAAGTGAGCGAGTTTGCACAGGAAATTGCCGAAGAACGAGGCCTCAAGGCGGAAGCGATCCGGTTTTGGGTCATGGTCAATCGTCAGAACAAGACGACGCGTCCTGACCAGGTAATCCGAGACCAAGACATTACTGTTGACGAGGCATTCAACAAGTTCGGCACCAAAGGGAACTCATTCCGACTGTGGATGGAAGTTGCTTCCACGGGTCCCGACGGACAGCCTACGCCCTGGCCGGACAATGACTCCGTTCTTGTTTTCTTGAAGCACTTCGATGTTGTTGCTCAGACCTTGAGTGGTGTCGGGCCTGTCTCTGTTCGCAAGAACCAGAAGGTGGGGGAATTGGCATCGACTATCCTGTCGAAGATGAACTGGCCCGCTGGCACGGAGTTTATGTTATTTGAGGAGATCAAACACACCATGATCGATGTGATGAAGCCCAAGCAAACATTCCAGCAGTCTGAGATCCAGGACGGCGACATCATCACCTTCCAGCGCTCAGTCAAGGAGTCGGAGCTGCCATCAACCGCCCTTTACACGGATGCGAGACAGTTTTACGACTATCTCCTGAATCGCATGGATGTCACTTTCGCCCCGATTAAGTCGGAAGAATCCGAAGGTTTCACTTTGACCCTCAGCCGGAAGATGACTTACGATCAGTTCTCAAAGAAAGTCGGCGAGCACCTCAAGGTAGAACCCACACATCTCCGGTTTGCGCCGGTAATGGCGAGTACCGGAAAGCCCAAGCCGTTCCTCAAGCGATCTGTCGCCCAGAGTCTTGCCCAGATCCTCAACGGCCAGTATGGTGCTTACGGCTATACCATGCACCGGTCGGATGCCCTGTACTATGAGATTCTGGACACGAGCTTGAGCGACTATGAGAGCAAGAAATCCTTCAAGGTGACATTGTTGCCAGAAGGAATCACGAAGGAGGTCAGTTTCTTTTGCCTATTGCCCTCAATTTAACGCTAACACCAACGATAGCAAGTCTTGGAGGTTCTAGTTCCTCGCAACGGCACCGTCTCCGAACTGCTGGCTTCGTTGCAAAAGAAGGCGAATCTGGACGATGAGACGATGCGGGAAATGAGAATCTGTGAGGCACATAGTGGAAAGATCTACAAGGAGCTCCGGGATGACAATAATGTCTCATCTATCAACGAATATGCCACCCTTTATGCCGAGAGAATTCCTGACGACGAGGTGAATATGGATGCGAGTGACCGAGTGATTAACGTCTTCAACTTTGACAAAGAACCAAACCGAACCCACGGTGTTCCCTTCAAATTCGTCGTGAAGCCGGTGAGTTACTTACTTGCAGTCGCAGACAATTCTTCCATTGCTGACTGTATGCAGGGCGAGATCTTCAAGGAAACCAAGGAACGTCTGTCGAAACGGACGGGAATCAAGGGCAAGCAGTTCGAGAAGATCAAATTTGCTTCTGTTCCTCGCGCTTCTTACTCCAACGCCCGGTACCTAGAGGATGGTGAGTTTCATACTTTGCAAGATTTTATCCGTGGATGCTAATCTCTTCCCGCAGACGATATTCTGTCAGATGTCCTAGGCGATTCCGAGGATACCCTCGGCCTTGACCATGCAAACAAGAACCGGGGCTTTTGGAACAAAAGTGAAGGCTTCTTCATTCGATAGAGAAGTGATTTTTGGCGTCTTCGCTAGGGATTTGAGTGGGTTGGCGACGAAAGGACGTGAACTGCTTGATCTTGGGGCAGTTGCAAGCTTATACATGATGATGTTCATTTATTTTTCTCTCTATAATTTCTTTTCATATTTCCCCCCGGTGACTTGTATACAACACCGCTCCTAGCAGTAGTAGAACAGTGGAAATGTTTGTTTGGGTGCAAACAGTGCAAACACCCGAACCCGCAACGCTGGCAAGAACACAACCTCCTATCACTCCCCAGAATCCTTGCTCTTCACGTTTCTCGATTTCATTTGTCCTTTGCATTGCACTCGTCACAATGCGGTTTGCACCCCTTCTCGCCGGACTGGCGACCCTGATCTCGTCCGTCAGCGCAACCGCCCTAACCTACAAGCTCGAGGCGCACGAGAAGGCATGCTTCTACGCCAATGTTGATTCGGCCAACGCCAAGGTGGCCTTCTACTTCGCCGTACGTTTTCTTTTTGGCGGCAATTCCTAATCAATATTCTGGGGGCATACTGGACGAATTGAAGTAGCTGACCACGTAATGCGTGTGGGTGATTCCAGGTCCAATCCGGTGGTTCCTTCGATTTGGATTACTCGGTCCTCGCGCCGGGAGACAAGGTCGTCATGGAGGGTACGAAGGAGAGACAGGGTGACTTTGTCTTTACGGCACAGAGCATTGGAGAGTACAAATTCTGCTTCAACAACGAGATGTCGACCTTCGCGGAGAAGTTTGTTGACTTCGAGGTTGCTGTATGTGTCTTACCCTTTTTCTCTACTCTCCCTCCATCAGCAATCCGCTAACGCATTCTTCCATCTCATCAGGTCGAGAACGAACAACGCACCCAGCTTCCTTCCCGCCAGGGCGCCTCCCCCGAACAGACCTCCGCCCTGGAGGAGTCCATCTACAAGCTCTCGGCCCAGCTGTCAACTATCTCCCGCAACCAGAAGTATTTCCGAACGCGCGAGAACCGCAATTTCAGCACCGTGCGGAGCACAGAGCGCCGCATCTTCAATTTCAGTGTGATCGAGGGTCTGATAATGGTGTCCATGGCTGCGTTGCAGGTCTTTGTTGTGCGCTTCTTTTTCCAGGGTGCTCGGAAAGGTATGTTTTATGACTGACACTCGCATATGCCTATGTTATGTTGGATATATACTTGAAGCTTTTCCCGCTGGTGGACGGACATCTCACTGACATATTGTTCGCAGGTTACGTGTGAAGGATGAGCATGACCAAAATAATACGGTGCATTTCTATCAATCTTTATTCTTGAATACGTGGCGCGTGCGGTCATAGTGTATCTGTCGCGGTTATTATACCTAGGTTTTCGTTAGAAGAATTTATTTGGGCGGAATCGGCGATTTCCACGCTCGACATGACATCGACCTTCCTCTTTGTTTACAATCCAGCCGAGCAGCAGCAGTGTTATCCGACTATCTTCCAAACGGCGACTGTGTGTCTGGCAATGAAGTCCAGAACGTAGAAGGAGGGAATCTTGGGATTCAGAATCGGAAGGAAGATGATCTGACGATTTCGGCAACTATGCAATCCCGCACTGTGTGGCGAAGTAGTCACTAACGAGTATGGTCTTAGGGAAAGGGAATATTGAGTAGTCGGGTACTCGGAGTGAGAATCAAGCGGAGTCTGATGACGACTCAGACCGAGACCGGTTGTTTTTGTGGGCGTCTTTCGCGTCGTGACGAGTCACAATAGAGACGAGTTGAGAACGCTGTCGGAGTCTTTTGTGCCATGCCGTAGACGAGCGAGGGTATCGGACCGGTGCTTTGGGTTCGAGAGGCGACTGATCACCATCCTGGTCACGTCGGGGCGTGGTCATCTTCGCACATGAGTCGAGACTGATCGATACCGAGCCAATTGTGTTCCTCCAAAGAGCGGGTATTCTTCGTCAAATGTATCAGTGAAGTCTCGAACAATCTCCTGCCGGCGATGTTTATTGGGAGTGCACGTCCACACACAGGTTTGCCGGCATTCTGTCATGTCACCCAGGCAATATTCAACGGATGCGAGAGATCAGCTCACGACGGAAGCGCTTGTTGTCATGATAGCGTCAAATGCGTCCGCTGAAAAGCCTGTCGTGATGAAAGACGCACGACATTTTAGAGGCAGTCAGATGGACTTGACGACCCGAGCCCTAGTGATGGAATGGCATGGTCAAGCCCATGACGTTGCGCAACGGCGATATCGCCCCAACCAGTTCTGCCTGGTGGGTAACTGTCGTTCGACCGTGCCCTGTAGCTTCAGGCCCTGTCTGGCCCACGTTTCAGCGGGATTTGTTCGCCTTTGCTGGAGAATTTGTGCCCCAGGGGCGCTAGGGAAAGGGGGGAGTGATATCATTCATGGCGCTAGGGAGGGGAAGGGGGATATTGAATTTATCGTGTTTCAGGTCTATCGCCATCTTCGCTTCTTGTGTGCTGGGGGTATTGGGAACAATGTCAGCGAGTATCATACCCTAGCCTTCTTTCTCTGTGGACATTGGCTTATACTTCGCACTTCCATCGTGATGACCACAGAAAGCAAAATGTTGATACTGAATGTGTGTGATCGCCCAGCGTTTTGATCCTTCCGCTTTGCGTCATCCATTATCCATACGTAAAGTGTCCTACTACTGACAGATCTCTCATGAGGTATGTCATGGAACTCTTGTCATGATGCATCCCTCCACGAGCATGCGATCAGACCCTCCTCCTGAGGGTATGGACCGTCCGTCCGCGAGTCTTCGATCTACATGAATCCGAGTCTAGGGTTTCCGCTCCACAATTCCTCTTCCTATCGGCTTGCCACAGGATACGTCCACGCCACTGCCGATATCACTGGCCAACATACCCCTCTCATTCTTTCATGTCGAACTGAACTGTTCGCAGAAGTACGTCAGTACTTGGGCTCTTCTGGCCATCGGCACACCTCATGCGTGCCACGGTTTTAGATTTGGACTTGGACCAAAGTGGACAGTATCCATCCTTCTGACCCTCCTTTTTCTGACCCCTGTACAAACTCTATACACTACTTTCATCTGCTGACAGGTTGTTTGTTCATCTTGGTGGTGAATGTTGCCCCTAACTGTTCTAGCAGGGACATGATTAGTTGATGACCAGGGGAAAGAAGCCGATTTTCCTCGCCTTCGGGATAAAAATTGATGGAGCAAAGACATATTTGGCTCCAGTATTCGGTAGCAACCGCGGAATTGATTTGCCTCCCCCACTCAAGATAATGATCGTTACCTTCTCCGTCACTCTACGTAGAAGTCTCCCGAGAACTGTTCCATTCTATTGCTCCGTGACCATACTCTGGAGCTTGGGTGGATAGTAATCGGGGGCTTGTCCTGGCTCCACCGATATATACTCTGTGGCTTTGACTTCAATCCGTGGCCCCCATCGATATACTTTGTCGTCCTCGTCAGACTTCACTAGCGCTATTAGCAATAAGGTCAAACAACGCGCATCCACAACGTTGCATGCAGTCGGAGATCAACATCCTAAGCTTGGGATAGGGCTCCTGACGTCACATGGTCTGTCTGCCTCAGGCAGCCAGTCCTTCGGGAGGCGCCATCCCCTGGCTCCATCTGCCCGTTTCGTACCGAACACGGATCCACTCTGGCTACATTGCTTGGGTCTTCCCCACCCAACCCATTATGATCGCGACTGTGTCTTTTCCGCATGCGGCAACCTTCGTTCGGTTCTGGTAGATGGGAGACGGCCCTAATCCTTTTCGAATGTTCTGCGGTCTTACCATGGCTGGTAAATGGTTCAGAATGGCAATGTTTATGGACCGGATACCAAATCGGTCGCGCGGATCGTCCCAGCGACAGGGGGTATGACGCAATGGGTTACCCACCGCTGGTGTTTGTGAGCCTCACCCTTTTTTGTTTGGGGCCAGGCTTCTGCACGAGGATTCTGCTAATTCGTGCCATCACAGTATTGTCTGCCGAAGCATAATGCAGTTTGTCCAAACAGATTGCCCAAAGGGCCACAGGTGTGAGAGGTCCAGACCATCCCTCGCTTCCCTTTCATCTCTCAATCTCATGCTTCGCTCGAAGGAATGGGACTACTGTCCACGGCGGACTACGTCTCGACCGGGGTTGTCCATCTACTGTTCCACGCTCCTCCAGCGCCCCGACCTGATCGGGAAAACAATAGGAATTACGCCCGACGCGGGTGATTATGATCCGCCTTCAAGACGTCAGACGAAGATCTGCAGGGACGTGGGCAGATGATCCCTCCGAACGCCATCAGTTTCGCGCTGGTCCAATCGTACATTCCTCGGTGACCTCATCGTGGTGGATCGACTGATGCTATCGGTACCGACCTTCACTAGTGGCCATGCGCTGGTAGAGCGGATCATTTCATCCCATCCACTGATGCTACAGTCCTCTCCACACCCGCACGCCCTTCCCCCACCCGCTGGAGGCGCAGGGTGACGGGTATCCAAATGGCTGGGTGGTTCGGTAGTTCTTATGATGTCGTCCAAGCGCCATATAGAAAGCCAACCACAGTTGCCTCCATCCACCCAACCCCCCTTCAGCCAATGATGTCACTACCCCATCGCTGCGTCGCTGGAGCCAAATATTCCACTGAGACCGTGGATCCTTCAGGAGAATACAAGCACTTGCTTCTGCGCCTATCAGATTGATACCTCCTCGTAGCCTTCCACGATCGTTAGTGATTTCATATTCCGCCGCCATCCTTATATATTTGACTATATTTGCATCCATCAATATCACATTTCCTAATCTGTGATCCCCATCGCACTACCTATTTTGGCTCCCTTTCTTCCTTGGACCCATCCTAGCTGCTGCACTTTACTCCTTCCGGTTTACAGCCTTCTAAATTCGTATCCTGCGTTTGTGTCCCCAAACCTCTCCGTCTTCCATCCTTCTCTTGATCATCCAGTGCAAAGGTAAGAAAAGAAGACTTCTAGCCAGATCGCGTACGAGCCCAGGCGTCGTATTCATCCCATCCCCCGCCTCCCTCACGTACAGGCGAGACCTCCTTGTCTTCGCCATCACAGAGCCTCTCGGCACCTCTCTCCTTGAACTTCATTGCATGACACATTGCCTTGAGACATCATCTACACATGTGTTGCCCAACTCTGTGCATGCCCAAGGCTCGGAAGAAGTATACTAATCATGTGTACTACTAGTGCCTCTACCACCATGACTGAGGGTACCCAGTTCCAAAACCAATCTGAAAGCAACCTGAATATGTTCCCCCCAGATAATAGAAGCGAGCCGTGCTCGACCCAGAACCATGTTGAGACTTCCCGGTCGCTGGACCCTCGCAACTCTCTAGAGGACTACAACCGTTCGATGCTCGCATACACCCATCGTCAAATGTCTTCCTTTGTCGATCAGGACGATGGAAATGTTAGCAGCGGCGGCAGCAGCCGAAGCAGTCAAAGCAGCGTCCACAGCGGCACCTCCAACAATGGCAGCCTGGCTCGTCAGGCTAACGGTCCGCCCCCGACTTCCGCCAGTGCTGCTCATCATGCCACTGAGAAAGCCAAACGCAACGCGTCTCGGAATCCGAACTAAGAGGCTAAGAACACCGCGCACTAAGCTTAGCTTAGGTATGTGTCTCCTTGGTTCCTCCTGAGAAGATTTTCGTCTAACTGGGTATAGGCTTCCCCTACGGTACTCCAGGAAACGACCGTATATAGCCTCACATGGTCAGTCGAAAGGAGTTCGATGGTGACACTTAGCATAGATGGACCGGATCCATCGATGATCGTTCTGTCAGGTGTTTTTGCCGGAGTATCCCATGGAGTTTACGTTGATTATCAGCGTAGCGCAAACCAATGCGTTACAAGCGAGTTTGTGTTTTATTTTTATTTTTTTAAAGCGAGTCTTAAGATGTCTTGTGGAGTCGTCATATCTTCGTCGAACGATTCGTGTCACTCGTGCAAGTCATCCTTTCCATGTTTTGGTGTGTGCATATTCTGCCCCCTGGCGGGACGGACAAAAAAGGCACTGACGATGTGATGCCCCTACTACTCCTGCCTGTTGGCATCATTACCTTCCTGTACAACACCATATATGCGGTGAAAACGGAGCAGTCAATTGGAGTCACTATCCCGAACAAATATTGTATCTGCAGCAAATTCTTCTGCATGGCCTCGCACATAGTCTGGAAGTGCTTATGGAAATCAGAAGAAAGTAGTAATATCACTGAAGCCCGCCCCTACTCCGCTGAATGGGTATCCAAGAGATGAAAGACATAGGAAAAGTAGCAGCATGTTCGAAGTAAATATATCACCGCATCACTATCTGGACGTCATGGTTCATGATATAAACCCAAGCCTAAGAGGACCCGCTCGCCTTTCTGATAGCTGTCCGTCAGCATCAATGAGAATACCCTGTACCACTTTCACTCACTGCCACCACAGACTTGCCGACGTAGGTATTATAGGACTTCAGGAAGGATATGTCCTAGACTGATTCCGATTTCCTTCAATAGGAATCTCAATTGGGTAATCTAAGTTATGTCCTCTTTTATCAGAAATAATATTATTCGCGGTAAGGTTGTCTGGGATATAGATGCTTTCTGTTCGAACGACAGTAGTATAGTCGGTATAGAAGCGGAGAGATGGGTCTTCATTTCTGTGCAGATGCGCCAGGTCATGCTTAGATCAAGATGAGCAAATTTACGGTTGAATAAAAGGTCGAGCATGATTTTTGTTCTCAGACAAAGGGCCTCCGCTGGTCGTTCCAAGCTGATTGAAGTAACAGAGAATAACGTATACAGAATGTCCCAGCAAACATTACGGAATACGAAAGTGTTTCTGGCTGCCGCTGATTTATAGCAGATGAGTGTCTTGCAGTGGGGTAACCGTATTTTGTGATTTCCAACCTGATAGTACAACATCGGAGGTGAAGTACATTTCTCACTGAATTGATTTTTTTGGGTTTGAAGAGGGACTTTGCACCAATTGAAATATAGGTATCGCTGTCGTCTTCCATCACCCTGGCATCAATCTATATACCATAAATTGTCTTATCTAGGTAGAATTTAGGTCCTGTATATCCCGATGACTTGAAATATTCGTGGACTTGAAAAGGGTACAAGCCATGTGTTAGATGCGGGGGAGTATATTCGTCCAGCAAGAGAAGTTCCGATAGACAACACTCGGTCTCTGATACAGTTTTTTGGACGGATCCGTTTAATCCGATATTATTGCCCTCAAATTAATCATTGTACAGTATCTAGCATCCCTAGATAGCACCAATCTGGTTCCCCTTTGGAGGGAGTTGTATAGCATTCTCAATGAGTTTAGGATCTCTCCCTTGCATGCCCCCAGGCGAACCACTGCAGTCCAAGAATAAGCTCACCGTGCAGATACCGGAATTGACATACAATTTCTAAGGAAATTATTATTAGTTCGACCGAACATCAAAGGATCTAATGCGTTCAATGTGAACATATGCCGACTGCACTCATTGGACAGCTCCCTGTGCCCGTATACAGGCCGAAGCAAGGACGTGCATACTCGGCCAGGCCTCTCAGATAATTAGGCGACGGTTCACATTCCATATGATTTCAGCGTGTCGGCGTCCCAACCGGCAGAGCTTGCGCGTTTGGTGGGCTGGATTCCACCGGAGACAAGAAAGGGTGAGAGAAAGAGGGATTGGCTCGTCCTCCCATGCCATGCCCTAAGCCCGAGCCTGTGCAAGGCTGCCATGTTTGAGGAAGCGCTCTTTCTCTCCCTTTCGACTATCGCCTTCCCGCAACACTTCCAGCACAGTCAATAAACACCGGTCCAGTCCAGTCCAGTCCAGCTCTAGTCATTCCTTTTCATTTCCTTCTTTCTCTGTCGCAGACGACTATAACCCAACGCTCTTACCTTCAACTTCCGAAACACGCCGGTTGTCAACAAGTATAACCACCGCTAGAAACAGGGAAAGAACCACAGTATGCCCACAATGAACCTAACAATGCGTCTCTCCTTCATCACCTGCCTCCTCACCCTGCTAGCCGTCGCCATGGCGGTCCCAGTCGCACACGGAGACCACTCAGCATCAATTCAGGCATCGAGTCTCTCAAAGGCTGCCAGTTCATCGCTCTCGCACAAGCCCTCAAGCACAGCCTTGACGGCCACTTCCGCTTCTGCAAAAACAACGGCCACTGTAGCGGCCTACGCATGCCCGACCAAGCAGTACAAGCAGTGCTGCCAAACTATCGATAACGCGTCCAAGAAGCTCATTGGGCCGTTGGGCAAGCTGGTTCCTTTGGTCGGTGGTATTCAGCTTAGTTCGTCAATGACGTTTCAATGTATGCATTCTTCCCACCCTTCCTGTGTACATGGGATACAAACCACACACGGTCTATTGATATACTAACGTGGATTTCACTTCAAGGCAAACCCATGAAAGACGACGCTTACCCCGAATGTGAAGACGGCGCGAGTGCCATGTGCTGCAATAGCCAGGCCGAGGTACGTCATGGCGATGTTCGTCCAGGCAGTTTCCAAAGTGAAGATGAATGCTGATGTGATTTAGGATTTCAATTCGTGCAAGCCCTTCGAGGAGGCGAAGGAGAAGGCCGAGATGGCGGCTTTGGGGGAGAAACCGGAGAGTGAGTTCGATGTGGTCAACGAGGCTGTGTCATGAGGAGTTTCAATGGAAGCCGAGGATTATGAGTATCGTGGTGGTGATCATATATTTCGGGGTCATGAAGGGACAGAAGGGAGAAGACGGAAGGAGACTTCGCGACGGCAGATTCTATAACTTCTCGATATTTGTTCTTAGTTCGCAATCAATGACTATTTCGCGTTTATGATGACCCGGAGTCATTTGTACTTCTACAGAACGATACCATTCACTCGTAGTTATCAAGTAGGGTTTGATTAGCTGTTTCATATTATTGATACGGTCAAGACATCTATCTGTTCGGTTTATCGCCAATTTTTCCTTCCCGCGGCAGCATCCCAGGGTGGGCCATGCTGGGCTGGGGGTTGATGAGGCGGAGGAAAATGAGATTGGCCTGGGGGTAAGGGTTGTCCCGGGGCCATGGGCATGGAATGATGTGGAGGAAATGGGGGGTAAACACCCGGGTTCATGTTCATGTTCATCCCAGGAGGATAAGGCATGCCGGGCATGTGTGGGGGTGGGGGTGGAGGCCAGGTGCCGTGAAAGTTGGGTGGAGGTGGAGGAAACCCTGAGTGAGGCGGAGGTGGAGGGGGATGACCGTGTATTGTTGGGTGTGAAGGTTGATGAGGAGGCGGAAATCGTGGGGGTGATGGTTCTCGGGGAGAGTAAGAGCTCTCACGGCTGCGTGAGCGGGAGTCATAGCGGCGACGTGTTTGGTCTCTGCGTGATCTGGACCGAGATCTTGAATCACTTCGATTACTGACAGAGCTGTCGCTGTAGCGCCGGCGTTTATGATTATTTCGAGTTCCGCTAAGGCTTCCACTCCGACTGCGAGAATCGTCGTGTGTCTTTTTCATCTGCTGGCAAAACGTGCGACTCCAGCCGTAATATGTTTCCCCATCGATAATATCCCCCGTGATCTCATCCCTGAGGACGGCCTGCCCCAGCTCGTCGATGTCCTCTTCCCCGTCCTCTTTGGCAAGATCATCCGTTCCATATATCCGATCGACATCTTCCAAGAAATCCTTGAGAGCGTGAATCAGCGTCGCATCCGCAGGCCCTGCCAGGAATTGGAGTGGCTTGATGCTCTCGGGCCGGAGTGGTATGGCGGAGTTGGGGATGATATGAGGGATCAGATTGCCGGCGGGAAGGTCATAGTATGGGGTTGATGGATCACCATGAGTCGATGGCATGACAAACGGTGCATCTTTGCCAGGTGGCTTTGGGATGGTGTCACCGGCTCGGTCCTCACTGTATGATGGTGGTGCTTCCGATGAAGCGGAATTCTGCACCACCACGCGCAACTTCTGGACATAGTCGGAACTGAAGTATCCGTGCTCGGACCAGATGTCTAGCAGATCATCTAACCGCCGATGATGGCGGGGGTGTTTCTTCCGATCATAGGCAGCCGCGTGTCCAACCAAGTCCACCAGGTAGGGCTGCAATGTCCCGCTCACGGTGGAGAAGGTGGCCATGGTGTCGAGGTGGTACTTGCTGTGGTGCAACAGATCATTGAGGAGATAGAGTATGTGGAGCCGGCGGCGCTTGGCTGAGGGTTTGGTGGCCTCCGCAAAGGAGCCGGCCAGCGCAACCAAATACTTGGCTAATCCTCCTACGCGGCTAGATGACGAAGCGACATAGTGAAGCAACCATGCTTTGCACGTCTGTGTGGGGCCGAGAGCATATTTAGTAACTCGGATGTGAGAGGCAGAGAGGCTGTCACGGTTCAGACCTGGATATTTGCTGGGGTGCACTGCGACAGGACGCGGTCGAGGGAGGCATGGAACGCGGCAATGTCATCGCGTGGTACCGACGTTGGATCCGGACGCAGGAGACCCGCCGAGAAGGCAGCCTTTGCAATGGCGATCTGGTGCGCCGCCATTGCTGGTGGTGGCAGTGGAGATGAGGGAGAGAGAGAGGATGAGCTCTGCGAGATATTGGGATCGGCCACGTGACCGGAACTATACTAGAGAGATGATCAAAAGATCACATTGTTGATTCGTATTTCCTTGTATTAGCTAACTAACTATTCAACTATTTACTTCGTTTTTTGGACTTGTCTCTACACTGTCAAGCATGATCTGCCGTGACACCCGACACAGCCCCGGCCCCTCGGCAGATCAGGCTGCCGCAAAGCCGCCCGCCGATTTGCACTTTATCCACCGCCACTGCAGCGGGTATTGCACCCCCATCCTTGGCTGTACTACTGTTTCGGCCGGCACTTTGCGAATTTGGACCCCGCCATGGCGTGAGGGTGTATCCTCACATAGCGTTGCCGACCACCCGAAGCAGATCATCCTACCGCATGCGATCAGGCCATGCGGGGGGCACTGTTGCGCCTTGGCTGCCCTAACTGAATATAAATAGCCCTTGGCCCTCGATGATAATAATAATAATAATAATAATAATTCTATACCCCCGTTTACGACAGTTATTCTAAACAGACTCCCTAAATATGTCTACTATCGCCGCCCAACTGGCTCGCCCTTCCATCCGGCACTTCTCCGCACATCGTCCGCGTCCGGACTCTCGCGCCGCCCGCGCGGTCGCTATGTCCTGCCTCGTGTCGGGTGTCGTCCTGCCCTTTGTGCCCCCCGCGCTGGAGAGCTCGCGGGAGAAGAACTCGGGTTATCCCAACCACAATAAGTGAGTCTCGTCGAGCCATACCCAGACATCGTTCCCGTTGCTAACGTAGATATATTACAGGCCGCATCCTCCACTCTGCTTCCATGCGCGTTGATTTGTGATCTGCATATATAAGAGCGTTCGTCTGGGTGCTGGCACCGAGATAGACAAGGCGGTGATGCATTATGTCTACGGCGTTTGGGAATATTGTTTTTGGTGGTGCCATTATTCTGTACTTCGAGCGGGCCTACGCTGGTGGGTTGATACCTTGTGTGATGTGATAATTTGAGCATGAAGACCATGGCTTCCCGGGGAGTTTCTGCGCATCCGGGGTAGATTAGAACGCTTCCTAGCGCATTCTATTTGTTTTGGAACGAATAAATGGTAGTACAGTATACATGACACGGCATCTGATAATTGGCACCGCAGTATCGAGTCCAGTGATTATACGTCATAACACAAGGGCACCTCTCAGCTGAACCGGTTCCCCCGAGGCGGCCGGAACGGTTCTGCGGCTTCGTATTTCCCTTTTTCCGCCACGCGGTCCTTCTCGGTCATGGGTTCGTGGCGGGTAGGGGCTGGGTCGTGAGAAGCTTCCGCGCTGGGTGAGGCAACGTCGTCCGCGGCGTTCTGGAACCGCGCCATATTCGCGCGTTTCAAACTGGCGTCATTACCTGGTGTCGGGGTGGTGGGCGTGGAGAGCGTGGCTTGTCGGCGATGGTCGTCTTCCATTGCCCTCATCTGCGCTTTGCGCTTGACCTCGGAGTCAAATCTCGCCGCGCGGTCTGCGTTGACGGACTTTTTGGCAAAATAGTATGCCCCACCGCCGGCTGCGGGAGAAATGGGTTAGTATCTGACAACCTGAAGATCATTCGTGGTGGTTGTTCAGCGCTTACCGACACACAGGGCACCCCATCCAAGCCTATTGTTTCCGAGTCCGGTCAGTCATTTGGGCCTCTTTCGGGTCTAGTTCTGTACAAGGGAAGCTTTTGCTCACCAGGTGGATTTAATCTAGACAGTAAGCAAATTTAGCAGCAGAGCGATAGCAATGGTGAACGGGACATACCGTATTCATGGTGGTGTTGCTCGTGAGGTGAAGAAAGAAAAGCACGACTACGTCAGTCGGAGCTAGGCCAATCACGGGTTGGACGCCTGAGGCATACAAATCACTTATCAATTGGTTGACTCATCGACGTCGTGCTTTCTTTTCTCACTCCTCCTCTCAGCGCCTTCTTTGCCGGGTCTCGACATCTCTCTCGTCACTGTCGAATCAATACCCCCCAGTTTATTCACCGTCTCTCGCCTGGTTCCTGCGACCTGCTTCTCTCGTGGAATGCCGAACTGAAACTCTTTGAACGAGGCGTGGAGCGCCTCTCTGGACACTCGACTCTCGAGTCGGTCCTCCCCAGAAGTCTTTCTCCCCGAGCGTCAGTGGGCTATTAGACAACGCAGCAGCCATGCCGATTAAACGCAAGGCGGCTGACAGTAGGTTCCTCAGGCGATGACTCCCATGCCAGACGCTGACCACTTCAGGCGGTCGGTCCAGTAGCGCATCGAAGCGTCAAACGCCCGTCCCGGACATTTCCAGCAGCGACGAGTACTCGGATCAGGATGATGTGCCGGAGGAGAATAATTTGAAAGGTAGAGTTTGGTGGTCTGTTCACTTGCAGTGATCCACATGCTAAAGCTGGCGGTTGAAAAGAGGTCATCAGCAAGTTTTCGCTGGAGTCATTCAGCAAGAAAGCACAGGCCCAGAAGACGGATCCCCGATTCGGCTACAAAGACCTCTCCTTCCTCCCTCTCAAGCGCGACCACTACAACCGCCCTCTATGGATCGAGCCGGTGAAAGGCACGATTACCCTCGAGAGCTTCTCCCCCCTGGCACCTCAGGCGCAGGATTTTCTGACCACGATCGCCGAACCGCTTTCGCGTCCGACCTACTTGCATGAATACCGCTTGACCGGACATAGTTTGTACGCGGCGGTGTCGGTTGGTCTCAAACCACATGATATCGTTGCGTTTCTCGATCGCCTGTCCAAGACCCCGATCCCCGACAGCATTCGGTCATTCATCGTCGAGTTCACCAAATCTTATGGGAAGATCAAAATGGTTTTGAGGCACAATCACTACTACGTGGAAACGAGTGATCCTTCAATGCTGCAGCGCTTGCTGAAGGATGAGGTGATTGGCCCCCAGCGAATCGAGAGCACTGAAGGCATCATTGAGCGGGCTGCACCGAAGATGGGCGGCCTTGTGATTCCCGGAACAAAAGATGCTGCTGGTGTCAGAGAGACAGGGACTCAGCAGGAAAATTCCACGGCCAGAGACCAGCCAGAGGACGCAGAGGCTGTCAACTACGGAATCGACGATGTGGGCGAGGACGAGACGGAGGAAGCAACCACGTACAGCTTCGAAATCCCGGCTGCTGGGGTTGAGGTGGTCAAAGCCCGGTGTCAAGCGATTGGATGTCCTGCACTGGAAGAGTATGACTTCCAAGGCGACACCGTCAATCCCAATTTGGATATGGATTTGAAACCCGCCGCGCGCATTCGCTCATACCAGGAAAAGAGCTTGAGTAAGATGTTCGGAAACGGACGAGCAAAGAGTGGCATTATCGTCTTGCCGTGTGGTGCTGGTAAAACCTTGGTGGGAATCACTGCAGCAGCCACCATCAAGAAAGGCACCATTGTCCTTTGCACTAGCTCCATGTCCGTGGTGCAGTGGCGGAACGAATTCTTGCGGTGGACGACCATCGACCCGAGTGACATTGCTATCTTCACATCGGACCACAAGGAAAAGTTCAAGCGATCGACCGGGATTATCGTGTCTACGTACTCCATGGTCTCACAGACCCGCGCCCGGTCTTATGATGCTCAGAAGATGATGGACTGGCTTCAGTCTCGGGAATGGGGTATGATGATTCTCGACGAGGTGCACGTTGTGCCGGCTTCGATGTTCCGGAAGGTCACGTCTGCGATCGCTGCCCAGAGCAAGCTCGGTCTCACAGCAACGCTGCTGCGTGAAGATGACAAGATTAAAGACTTAAACTTTCTGATTGGACCGAAGCTCTACGAAGCCAACTGGATGGAGCTAGCTGCCCAGGGCCATATTGCCAAGGTCCAGTGCGCCGAGGTATGGTGTCCGATGACGACCGAGTTCTACTCGGAGTACCTACGGGAGAGCTCGCGGAAACAGGCTCTGCTTTACATCATGAATCCGCGCAAGTTCCAGGCCTGCCAGTTCCTGATTGATTTCCATGAGAAGCGAGGAGACAAAATTATCGTGTTCTCGGACAATGTCTATGCCCTCGAGCGGTATGCGCTGAAACTGAACAAGGCCTACATCTACGGTGGAACGCCTCAAAACGAGCGCATGCGCATTCTGGAGAATTTCCAACACAATGAGCAGGTCAACACCATCTTCCTGTCGAAGATCGGCGACACCTCGCTGGATTTGCCTGAGGCAACTTGTCTGATCCAGATTTCGTCGCATTACGGTTCGCGTCGTCAAGAGGCCCAGCGACTGGGCCGAATCCTGCGAGCCAAGCGCCGGAATGACGAAGGATTCAATGCATTCTTCTACTCGCTCGTCTCCAAGGACACCCACGAAATGGTCTACTCCGCCAAACGGCAGGCGTTTCTCATCGACCAGGGCTACGCCTTCAAAGTCATCACACACTTGCAGGGAATCGACAAATTCGAAGGGCTGTCGTACTCCACCCCTGCGGAACGACGCGAACTCCTGCAGGAAGTCATGCTGCAAAACGAGTCGTCCGCCGACGTGGAGCAGGTCGCCGACGATCTGTTCTCGATGCGCTCGGGCAAGCGTCAGGGTGCGAAGAAGCCGACCGCGAAACGCAGCGCGGCCACCCTCAGTGGTCTGGCCGGCGGCGATGACATGGCTTATATCGAGTACAACAAGAGCAAGAATAAGCAGCTGAAAGACAAGAGCCACCACCCGCTGTTCAAGAAGATTGAGCGCGACCGCTTACGGCGCAAAAAGGACCGTGAGACGCAGGCGAAGCAGGACTGAATTGATTAGTTGTTGGCTTAATCCAGACTGAGAGCATGATTATTATAACTCCTCGGCCAGATGCATCGAGTGACAAATTGGCGCGCCTCATTTGTATGTTAGAACCAACCATGATAAACCCAAAAATAAACCCTGCATGATCCAGATTCTTTCGAGCAGGGGTCTGATCGACCCGAGTCAAAATACGAACGACCAGCCTGGTCGATATTAGAAATCATGCCTCAGTGGACCCTGATCCAGACGTAGCCTAGCCCGTGCCAAACAAAAAAACCCCCCTGTAACCGTCGCAGAGCGAGCATCATGCTGACTCGATGGGGCATCGGATGACGTTGTGTCGTGGCAACGGGAGGACCGAAAGCCCGACTCCCCGCGTTCTGGCTCCGATGCTTCGATCGTACGGGGGTTGTGGTAGGCGCACTCGTATTCTTGCTTTTTTCTCTGCATGATCTGCCCATGGTTGTACACTAATCCTTATGGTACACTGCTCGACGTGAGGGGAGGTAGGGTAGATCGTCCATCTATATAAGGGAGCTATGCTACCCCGGATTGCGGGCTTCCTTTCCGGATCGCTACCTCGGAGACCAGCTTCCATTTTGCTTTCTAGTACTACGACCAACCACGCTTTTGGCTTTCGCTTTTCTTCATACAACTACATGGCGACCGCTACCAAAATCCATCTGTCGCCGCCGACGGACGCAGGCGTCTACAGCTCCGGTGTTAGGGAGGATGGCGCGCGGGCGGCGAGCGAGGTCTTGCAGGAGGATATGGCGGCGCATCACGTCTTTTTCAATAATGAGGGATTCCACAGTATGTTTTCATTCTCTACATTCATTGCATGCTACGAGGCTGACGCTGAACAAGACCACATCGTCCACCTTATCCTCAGCATCTATGCACTCGGCGCAGGCCCCGCAGAGATCAAAGCGGCCTACAAGCGCAATGCGAGCTACCAGAGACCGGTTTTCCCAACGGATACCAATCGCGTCCAAGCCATGCGCGACACGGCTACGTTTATGCAGTGTCTCGGGAAGGAGGAGAACTATTCTAATTTCCTTGCTTTCTTCCAGCAGGAGATCAATGCTAAGGGTGTTGGCGATGTGTTGAAGGAATATATTTTCAAGGGCGATGAGAGGGCTGAGAGCATGTTGTCGCGGCTGTATGCTGGTGAGTACTACATCTGTTCGGTCATTTCACACATCTGATTCAGTCCAGGCCTCATCCACCCGCTCATCCACCTGGGGTTCGGGCTCGAGTTTAACCAGCCGGCTATCGTGGCGCAGGCTCTTTCACAGGCGGCCGTCCACGATGACTGGATTGGGCGTGCGTTTTTCCTGCCTGCTGAGAAGATGGCGAACAGCACTGCCACACCTGGACAGAAGTCTCTGCTCGAAATCCTGGGTGAGATTCGTGCAGACAAGGCCCTGACGGAGAGTGTGCAGTGGGGGGACGCGAATAAGATCCGAGATGGGGTGTTGACGCGCGCCCCCGAGCGGATGTTGAGCTATGCTGCCAAGTACCGCGTGGCCGGAGATCGGATGAATGAGGCCCTGGCGGACATGATCAACACGGTTGGTGAGTATTAACTATTCACTTGATACCAAGCCAACGCCCGCTGACTGTGGTCAACAAGTGTACTATACCAGCGCCGCACAGCGACCAACCAAAGAGATCCGAATCGACTTCTTCTACATCCACTGCGTGAACTCGACGATTTTCTTCTCGAAGATCATCGACCTGCCCTTCTTGGACGAAGCGGCCAAGGTCCGCATGCTGGAGTGGAAAGGCCGACTGGATCTCTTGATGTATGTGTCTCGCGGGGCGCCAGACCTTCTCCCGAGCGAGGTCACCAAGTACCCCGCGAAAGACGATTGGGCCACCGTCTTTTCGCGCAGTATCACTCACCCCGGTGATGATGGGCATCTTGCCAAACTGGCGCGAGCGGTGGCTCACGGGCAGAGGGTCTGCCAGCCGTTTGAGAGTCAGCAGAAGATGCCGATTTCGGGAGATATGTGGCTGAAGATTGGGAATATGGGTGAGTATTTTGTCTTGCCTCTAGTTCCGAGCAGAATAATGGCTGATTGCTGGGTATTGTGTTTAGCCGTCGACTCCACTATTGCAGAGGATGAGCGGCCGATGTGGATCCGCTCCACTGGATTCGACGAAGCATGGGCACGGTTCAAGGGACGGGCTAACAACTTATGATTGATGGATGGTTTAGTAGGGGTGAACAGATGACAATTGTACTCCGTGTGATGTTGATCTTGTATTAGTGGAATAGTTGGATAAGTTGAATAACAAAGAAGGATCAAGAACATTGAAGATCACGTGGCCGAAGTGGGGCGATGGGGGACCCTCCCCAACAGCCGCAGCTTTTCAACACTTTACTTACTTCTTGACCTTATCATCCATTCTCGATCCATCTATCGTATCATGGCTCGCGATAACGACAAAGGCAAGGACAAGGACGCTTCATCTGCGCCCCGGCATACGGACGCCGACGACGAAACCAACCCGTTTGTCGCCTTCCGCCGCTTCGCCGATGAGCAGGTCTCGTCCATGCTGCAGTCCGTCACCGGTCTCCCCTCCACCATCTCGTCTCCTCATTCTGATCGCTGGGAAATATTCAACGATGACTACGGCTACAAAAACATGACTGCGCGGCAACGGAGCAGCGAAAATAGCTCTGAAGAGCCCGCCTCGGAGCGTGGCGCAAACGCCAGCTCCTCCAGAGAGCAGGACGATTCCTCACACCGCAACCCCTCTCCATCCCGTTCATCCCGATCACATCTCCCCGAAAACGATGATCGATGGCCCTCCCAGTCCTGGAAGAAGTGGCGCAATGGCTCTGCAGACTTCTTCGGTCTGGACTCATTCTTCGACCGGTTTTGGCTAGAGGATCGCTTCTTCCCCTTCTCCTCTCACTTCTTCCACCCGCATCGCACCTTCTTTATCCCGGATATGTTTGAGGATACCGACTCGCCTACCTGGCCAATCACCTACATCATGTTTAGCCCTTACTCTCCTCTCTACCTCGAACGTCAAGCCCAGTACCACAAACACCGTGAACAGGGTGTCTTCACTTCGCTCGTGTCCACTCTGCGCCTAGACTCAAACCGTGACCCAGCGGAACCTCAGTGGCGAGAAGCTTTTGAGGATCTGCTACGACTTGAGAATGGGAAGCAGATGCTCGATCGCGATATATCGGCTGTCAGTAAAACCGAGTCCGGGTCAGACTGGGTACAGGGTCTGGTTAAACGTGGTAGCCTGGGTGATCGATGGAAGTATGTGTGTGGCACAGAAAACCAGCCTTGGTCTGGTATCACCTTTACCGGGCCTAGCCGTGAGAAAAAAGAGTTGGAGGACAGCAACGAGAACGGCCAACGGGGGACCAAATCGGAGGTGCCAGAGACCGAGCTCGACTTGTACAATCGTTTCCTGCAGGATATCGAAGCTCGGGAACGTGACTTTTTCCAGGGTGGTGAAAGTCCTTTACTGCGCTTCCTCCTCGAGGAGCGCCGACGCCAGCAAGAGGAGCTCGATCAGTACCGGAGAAGTGTTCCGCGCGTTGAAGACGAACAGGGCAACGACGACACCGAAAGCTGGCTCGATCTCGTGTCGGGAGGAAGTCGCAAATCCGTCCCTGAGACTGTGAAAGAATCGGATTCTCCCGCAGACGCTACGTCCACGGATTCTTCGGCACTACAGCCACACGTGGTTTCTACCATGGTCCGCACGGAGCGCGTGCGCCTTGCTGATGGCTCCATACAGACGAAGACCGTCAAGACGAAACGGTTTGCCGATGGCCGAGAGGAGAACGATACTTCCATCGAGGTCACTCGTGCTCCTCGGTCTCAGCCCGAAGAGTCCCAGCTTGAACAGTCCCAGTCCGAAGAGTCTCAGTCCGAGTCGACTGAGTCTGGAAAGTCCAAAACTGGCTGGTTTTGGAAAGACGAATGAGAAACGCGGAGACCTGGGGTGGCTTGTCCTGTTGGTGCACTGGGCAAATGATAATGATGAAAATTCGACAATGATTGCATAATTGCCGGTTCTGGCATGATTTTGGGCCTTATAAGCATGGTTTTGGTTTTGGATGTGGATATTTGGATGGAGTCTACACGCTCTTTAGGGTTCCCTATCAGTCTCTCCTTCTGAGTCTCTTTTGGCTCTGCATATACTTCTCTTTGTTATCATACTTCATTTTGTTGAAATGTGAATCACTATGCAGCAGATATTCAATTAAATTGAATGGACACATCACATAGCATTATCACTCTCTATTAGACAAACCTAGTTGTCCCAAGTGCACACGTTCAGAAATCCCCGCTCAATCGGCCTTGACACTCTTCTTCTGTGCCCGCCCGGCAGTCCAGCCCTTTGATTCCCAGAACTTGACACTGTCCTCCATCTTCTTATACGCCCACGTGAAGGGAGGATCTAAAGTGACAATGGTTAGTTCTCTGCACCGCCATGAAGAAAAAGAAACTTACACAGGAACTGTCTCATGTCATGCCTATTATCCTCGGGCGAGTATTGCTCGGCGTGATCTGATTTCAAAGTCAAAAACATGCTTTTGAGGTTAGGATAGGTCGAAGGAGACTTACAGGAGGGAGTCAGAGTAGTCATCTTATGTCTGTTGATCTGTTTGATAGAGCAGTGGTCAGTTTCACTTGCCGTCTTGTCGCATGCTGGTTCATCCGTCATTATTACTTACAGAGTAGTAATAGAAGAAGTGGCGAGTCTTCTCATAGATCTCGCGTGGACTGTACTCATTGGCCCACTGGTGCAGCAGCTTCTCATACATCGACCAAGGACCCAGTTTGGCCACCTTTCGCAAATCTGGAATATTGTCAGTCATTATTTCCCCCAAAGGCTGGGAATGTCATCCACGTACAGCCAAACGTGCCCAGTTCGGCATAGGTGACGCCCATGTCTGCTTCTGTTTTCACAGTCAGTCGATATGTCATTCTCATCCCCCGGTCATGAGATATACGAACCGTCTGATTGTACGTAGGTCGCTGTGATAGGCTCCAGTTCCGCAGTCGGGGTCGCGTGCAAGAATTCCTCGAGGATCGGCAGGTCGAAATCGTGACCGGCCCAAGCGATGAATTTCTTGAGATCGACTTTGGAGATGGAACCGATTGGGTTTAACTATTACTATAATTTAGCAGACTTGTATAATGGCAACGGGTTTGGATAGTACTCACATCTGCGGAAGAAGCATCGTACTTTGTCAAATAACCTCTCAAGCTAATTCAAGGGTTAGCAAATTTGCGCGGCGAATGGTGGTGCGATGTGCATTTAGCGATCACCGATTGATTGACTGCATACCATTCTAAAACGACAGTCAGTATGATGATGATATTGAGCATATGGGTTCATGTCAAGACAACTTACCATCCACATTAGAGGATGCGAGAACCAAAAGCCCGCCGCCGCCGGGGCGCTGACGAACAGTGGGCAGCAGCGATGCAAACAGATATGACAGGACCATCCTAAGACGGGCTTGCACATTCTGCAAGGCTGCATTCTCAGCATGGCTTCCGCCGTGGACTTTGAACTTGGGCTGGAAGTTGGTGATCACAGTGAAGAGATTCATGATGGCGGTCACCACAGTGTCAAAGTTGAAATCGATGTGGTATGAGCCGATATCCGATGCCAGCCTCCTGGATCGATCCCTTGTCTCCTGACCCGAATTTTCCGTGCCCATGTAACTGGTGTGGAAGATGCATCTAGAAAACGGCATGAGTTGTGTCCACATCCAACTGAGAGTAAAACGTACTTGCAAATTTCCTGGCTGCTAATAGGGAGCCAGTCTGAGTCTTCTGGCTTCGCACAGAGCCGGCGGACATCCTTGATCACCTGTTCATTTCCTTCCTTCACAGCCTTCAAAACCTCGCGGCACATCGAGTGCACAATGATAGCGGTAGAGCAGCTATCAATGCCACCACTCAGCGGAAGAAAGAAACCCGCGGCGCCACATCTCCGAAGGTAGTCCCAAAGCCAGCAGGCAGGCCCCAAGGCAATTTCTTCCTCGGGAGCATGAAAACGGGGTTTGAAAGGCTCGGAAGTTGCAAGGCCAGGCTCCGCCTCTTCCCTTGAGCGCGATAACCTCATATCGAGGTCGAGGCGGACATAGGGCGATTGCTTGCTCGCCTGCAATCCGCGACTCGCGCTGCAGCGATAGGTCCGAACTGATTCAATGTCGACAGTCGCAGTGACAACTTCCACGTCATTCAATGAGAACTGCGATCCTTGGGCCACGACATCCCCATTAACCACGATCATTGCACAGCCGTCGTAGTACAACCGGTCACCGTCACAGCCTTGTTGGTTGGCATAAAGGTAGATACCGCCGCTCTATATGTTGTGAGTTTCAAGTTTCGCAAAGAATGGTTCTTGTTCATTACCAATTTCGTGGCCTGGGTGATCAGATTCACGCGAGTATCCAGTTTCCGGAGCTCATGATGGCTCCCGGAAGAGTTGGAGATAATCTCCACGCCTGAATAGTGTCAGAGATACCCAAGTTCAAATATTGATGACACTCACCCGCGAGACCATAGGGAATGTGAGGGCTGATTTTCATGGTTAGTGAGCGACTTCAAATGGTGTGGGCTACGTACCCATTAGGAGTGAACAGCTCCTCGCAAGTCTCTAGTCCCAAACAGGTATCCCTCGTGCTGATGACTGCATCGCCAAAAGGCACCTTGTACTGGCCCGTAATTTTGCCGACAATCTGTTCGAGGTAGTAGTCCTCAACCTCTTGCGGGCGCTGCCACGGCGTAAAGTGTCGGTGCTCTCGGTAGTTGCCGTCTACATCGAGGCACGTAATCTCAGCACGATCCTAGTCGGAATAGGAGCAAATGTACGAACCATTGGCGAGCCACATCTTAGGCCGGATCAGAATAATCTTCCGGTTGTAGAAAATCACCCTGGACAGACATGGCTTAGATGAACGATCGATCACAGTATTCCAACCCCCACTCACCGACAATTGTATCGGACATTCCTGTGTCGTACCGGCATGCCCACATCCACAACGATATCCTGACAGTCTGGGTGGTCGATGATGCGGGCCAACATTTCAAACGAGTGAAGGAAGGTGTCGCCCTCCAGGAACCCGTCAAGCACGCCATACCCTGGACCGAGTTAGGTTCCTTTCCCAAGAAGGACTGCAGCTCTGCTCAATTACCAGTGATCTCAAGCTCTGGGCCAACCCGCAGGGTGGCACCAGCTGCCTTGGCTTGGCGGATACTTTCGATGATGCGGGCTGCGTTACCCTCGAAGTCCAGGGCCCACTGATTGAGGGAGCTGGATGAGCGTTAGCAGGCAGCGTTGGCAGCGAACCCAGCACCGACGTACCATGTTGCTAGCGTGACCAAGTGCCCCATGGTGAAGCTGAGGGTGATCGCAGTTACCTCGTTACGGACTCAATTAATTCTCACCATGACATCGCGGATCACGTGTGTGGGGACAAAAATCCCCCGCTTGGCCTGGGTCTTGCGGCATTGGTCGGCCTTCCGGTCCAGCTCCGTGGGTTAGGAACCGTAATCTTAATACAGGAACTGTCTTCCTCGGCTGAATAATTGTCCCCCTCTCTTCTTCACTGTATTCACAATCACAATTCTTCCTTCCCTCGGTATCCGACCGGAGTAGTCAAGTACTTCAGGATGAGTTCGGCTTCTTCGCTCCCTGCCCCGGCGCATATACTCGCGGATTCCATGTTGTCGCGACACTTTGGCCGGGAGACGGCGAACTACTTCTCCAGTATGTCTGTCCCGGGTTCAAGCTCCGACTTGCAGAAACTAAATGAATTCAACCAGGCTCCCCCTGAACCGTCTCTCGTTTCTCCGTTCAGATCATCCTTTTCTATCCACGGCTCTGAAGCACCCGTCGACTCGATTCATCCTGCTGAACAACCTCGCGCCTCTGACTCGGTCATCCGCCGAGCTCTACTACGCCAAACATGAAGAAGTGGCCAAGCTGGTCCCCCAGGACATATTTGATAAGTCCGAGGAAGATATGATCAAGAGCTACGACTCGCGGAAATCGCATCCGACTCTGGTTTTCTTGGGCTTGGATGAAAACCAGAAAGCCGGCGGCATGTCATGGAAGGTCTACACCGGCACGCCGTACTTCGCGGTTGACGTGACTCCCAAGGGCTCGGAAGAGCAGCAGACTGCCGCAAAGGATATCATTGGAGCCATGGAGGCCAAGGGGCTGTCGTTCTTCCAGGCAAGAGTTATTACGACGTTGTCGGCTGACGAAGGTATGTCTACTCGACCAGTGGATTTTGGTCTCAATCGACTCACGTTCAACAGCTGCCATCTACGCCCAGTCGCGTGCTCTGATTGACTGGAACAGCCGGAATACTTTCTGTGGCACATGCGGCAACCCCACGTTGGCGGTCAATGCCGGTACGAAACGCGCTTGTCCGTCTACAGATGTCGCGCTGGTGTCCCAGGGCAAGTCCCAAGAGCGTCCAGCATGTAATACGCGGACTACGCTGTCGAACCTGTCGTTCCCCCGCACCGACCCCACCATCATCGTGGCTGTGGTGTCCGCCGATGCCAAGCGCATCCTTCTCGGCCGCTCCAAGCGCTTTCCGCCAGACTGGTACTCCACCTTGGCCGGATTTATCGAGCCGGCGGAGTCGATCGAGGACGCCGTTCGGAGAGAAGTATATGAGGAGTCGGGCGTTATCTTGTCGCGAGTCGTCATCCACTCGTCGCAGCCGTGGCCGTACCCGGCGAATCTGATGATCGGGGCGATTGCACAGGTCAGTGACCCAGCGCACGAGACGATTTCTCTCGAGCATGATCCCGAACTGGAAGATGCGCGCTGGTTCGATGTCGAGGAGGTGGAAGAGGCCCTGCGCATTGGAACGAGTGATTTGAGCGCCAAGGCTGGTCCGGAGTATAAGGGTGGTCTGCGACTGCCGCCTCCGACTGCAATTGCGAATCAGTTGATCCGGTCTGCTGTGCAGGCGGAGTATTTTGCAGCGAAGAATTCGAAGATGTGAAGGTGAAAGGAAGGAGGGTGTATATACTGCGTTTGGGTTGCAATAGATTAGACGTGTATATAGTTGATGATTCCAGATACCAAGGAGAAATCAAGACATGTCATTACATTCATTCCTAGACAAAATCCGAACCAGTCACCTCATATATTAGCGTACACAGTACCATCCCGAAGCTCATGAATGCTGCTATGGTTAGGAGACCCAACCTCGGTGTAGCGAGTGCCATCTCGCAATTCATGAATGGTCAGTCTCCGGTGACTCTTCCGTCGCCGCGTGGAACGGGACCGGGTTGAGCCACGTCGATCATCCCGCCAGGACAGACCCGGACTGCTCGAGTCGCTGGGTTCCATGCTGTCTCTGCCAATGGATGCTTGAAGCTGATTATCAGCTACCATGGCTGAGCCGACCTCCTGATACCACCGCCGTAAAGCGGATGCGTACGCCCGTTCCTCCGTGCCATATTCAACAGGTGGACCGTTCACTTGGGCATCAGGGCCGGAGCCATCGAACACAGCCCATGCACTGGACTCGACACTGACAAGCATGATTGCATGGTCGAAGCTTCGAACCTTGAAGTTGCGCAACAGGATGGCGTTTCCTTCAACCAAAGACGGCATCGCGGATTTATGAGCCCGGAAGATTTGGGCATTGAGCATTGTGCCGGCCATGGATGGATCTGTGAGTTGGATAGTCACGAAGTAATCTTTGGACCCGGATGTCGCTCGTGCTACTGGCGATACTTGATGGACCACCGAGACCGTGTCCACCAAAGAATTGTAGTGGTCGACGAGCGAGGCAAGTGGAGCGAAGTACGAGAGTTTGCTGCGTAACCCAGCCGCATGGCGGTCAGGAACCGGTAGATGAATTGCGGGCGGTGTCGTTGTCGCTCTGTCAGTTCCAGGCGGAGGTGAAGGTTCAACTCCCCCAGCACTGGCAGCAGGCTCATGGGCAAAGACGCTCTCTTGGGTAGGGTCGGGTGTCGGCAATTGTTGTTCATGTGAGAACTGGGGCAGTTGAGTCTCCCGCTTCCTCGCCGGAGACGCAGCTCCGTCGACTGAATAGCTAAGCTCATGCTCACGGTGTGTTTGGAGGTCGGTCTCGCCAGTAAGAATGGGTGAACGAGGCAGAGCCGGGTCGATCATAGCCTCCAGGTCGTGGGATACGATTTGGGCTTCGCCTGAGTCGTGTTGGTTCGAGTGAATAGCGGGACTCCATCTTTCCACTGGTTGGTTTTGGTACGTAAATTCGGAGTCGGCTCGAGGTGGGCCTTCAGGGGTTACCAGATCAAGACCAACGGATGTTGTAGCCGGCGGGTATAGTTCAGCAGTCATATCGTGGTCTTCTGCTCCAGCGAAATGGCTCTCTTCTCGTACCCGGGCGACTGATGCTTCCCGAATTGGGAGACTCATAACGTAGTGATCTTGTGCCAACTCATCCACGGATGACTCGTAATCTATTGGCCCAGGGAGGAACCGCTCTTGATCTTCCTCCATTTCATCGACCCATTGTTCTTCCACATAATCCTCAAACCCATCCTCGGGTCCACGCTCGGCCACTGAATACGCATCCGCAGGTCCATCAACCATCAAATCTCCCGCACCAGAGGATACGGACGGTCCGCGTCGGAATGGTTGGCTGATACGGGGCGGTAGTTGTGAAGGAGTAGATTTTGCCTGATCCGAAGCAAGCTCATCATCGCTGTCACTGTCTAGAACAATGACTTCAGGTTGGGGAGGTTGCGGCCGAGCCTGTTGTTGCCGGAATCGGTCGTCATCCTCCCCCTCTGACTGCGAGAAATCGTCACCATACTCCTCCGCTTCCTGCAACTCTGAATCCGCTTCTTCCTCATCGTACAGCTCTTCCTCATCGTACACTTCGCTTTCTTGTTCGCTATCACTTCCGTGACCACTTTGTTCAATAACCGATGACGCAACTGAGACCGACTCCGGATGGGTCCCATGTTCTTCTTGCACATGATCCTCCAGTTCCTCTTCGATATCTTCCATCTCATCATCTGCGGGATGTCCATCCAACGCTGGCTCGGGCCGTACATTTTCGGATATGTGGACACCAACTTCGATATCCTCCTCAGCATCAAATCCAGAGCCCTGGACGGATTCGACTTCATAGATATCGTCTTCCACGCGTTGAACATTTTTGGCATCTATTTGGCCCGAAACCAACGGTTCATCATCTTCATTTCCCCTGTCGGCTGCGAGGTCGATAAGGGCGGAGTCGCCGATAGATTCCAGAAGAGCGGCCCCTTCGTGATATGTTGGCAATTCGTGATGTTCACCGGCCAAAGTATCTTTCAGTAAAGAAGCCGGAGTCTGATGACGAGAGACCGATTCCGTAGGTTCAGTGGAGTCATGTTCTGTAGTTTCGATATCGTCGACAACTATCTCGGCCGCCTGTGGTTGGAATTTTGGTGGTGACACATCCGTCGGGAGATCCGCCTCAGTTGGTACAGTCGAGGGAGCTGTTTCTGCAGGTACAGATCGAACATTTTGTGCCTCTGTGGCAGCAGACACGGATGAAAAATAACCTTGGGGGCTGTTTGAACTTGAAACAAGCGGAGAAGGAATTGGCAGGCCGGGGGAAGGAATGGGAAGGAGTTGCGGCGTGTCAGTGGGGCGACGAAATATTCCACTCAGAGTCTCGTTCCCGGAAATGTCGATTGGTGCCGGAGGTTGAAGGGATTGCGCTGCGCGCCTCCCAATGAAGCTGGAAGCTTGATCAAGGGAGGGTTTCACGAAGACAGGCGGAGTCTCTGGCGCTGTATCCTCTCCATTCGTCTTGCCGGTATCTTGCTCTGCATCTTCCTCTTCTTCAAATTCCATTTCCCAGTCAACCGTACCCTCCCGTTCCCGGGGACTGGCCGGCTCATCCGCAACACGCCATTCGTCCCTATGAAGGCTGTACCTTGGTTTCTTCCTTCCCTTTCCTGGAACAAAACCATCTTCTTCTGCAAACAGATCATACGCAGTATCAAGTGTTCCTCCCCCCAGTGAAGATCGTGTAGACCGTACAAACGCGGGAGATCCCCACGAACCAACATCCGAGAGTGTCGGGGTTGCGCCGGGGGTCGTGGGCGGCGCAAGCTCCGTCGCATACAATCCAGGCTCGCGAGGTTCAACGGTCACGGTCAAAACAAGGTTCGATGATCGGTAGACCTGTACAAACGACCGTTAGCAGCTTTACTTTGTTGGTTCGCGTGGGACACGTGATACCTCAAGAGACACGCCATGGTCGAAATATGCATCCCACGCAACGAACCTCCCCGGAGTCTGCTGGGCAGCATCATTTGGAACCAGGCGCGAATGCTTCAAAGCCAAACGGACTTCGTCGCCGATTCCCACCGCAGACTCCGCGACCCTCTCCGCGACTCGACCGTGAAATGTGACCTTCACCTGTCCGTTCGAACGTCGTAGGCGGAAATCCGGCTCAGCTAGCAGGAGACTGAGCGACTTGGTAGAGGATGAGTACGGCCAGACGAGCGTCACAGCTGCATAGATACATTTGTGTTCCAGTTGATCGAGGGTCGGAGAGAGCTGGGCGATGGGGATCTTGCTCAAATGCGCCGGCGGCTTTGAGGCCGGGGGCAGATCGGTCGCGTCCATCATTGAGCCCGCTTTCGCATACGCGAGGGTAACATTTTGGAGTTCAGGGCATTTTTGAAGAGAGGCGTGGGCAAGGGCAGGAGGAGGGAAGAGTTGAAAATCACGGGTTGCATCATTGCGGTAACGATCGTGCCGTAAAATATCTTACCGTACCATTCCCGCCAATCGCGCTACACTTCAACATCTCCCACTCCGACTCACTCCATGACAGTCGCGCACTCGATCCGGCGAGTGGCCATCATTGGCGCTGGGCCCTCTGGGCTGGCCGCAGCCAAGTAAGTGATTTCATATATTTACCCCTAGCTCCGAAGGGACTATACTGACACTTGAGTAGATTCCTCCTGGCGGAGAAGTGTTTCGACCAGATTGACATATTTGAGCAACGACTCTCTGTCGGCGGTGCTTGGAACCCTACCCCAGGCAAGGCAGCGCAGTCTACTCCTGTTCCGCAAACCAAACCCCCTCCGCGGGAGGCGGATCTCTCCAATGGGCCAAATTTCACCTCTCCTCTATATGACAGACTGGAAACCAACATCCCGAAGGAACTGATGCGTTACTCCGACAAACCATTTCCCGCGGATGCTCAGCTCTTTCCCAAGCATCAAACAGTCAAAAAATACCTCGACGAGTATGCCGAGGATGTGAAAGACCTGATTCATTTTGGGACCAATGTCTTCCATGTCATGCTCAAGGATCTTCAATTAGGCACCTGGGATATAGCAACAATGAATGTCTACACTGGAGGAGTCAAGATCCGAACCTATGATGCTGTGGTGGTTGCCAGTGGCCACTTCAACATTCCTTATCTCCCAGATATCCCGGGGATCTCGGCCTGGAATCAGGCATACCTGGGGAGCATCTCGCACTCCAAGTTTTATGACACACCCGAGCCCTTTCGGGGGAAAAAAGTGGTGGTGGTCGGCAACTCAGCCTCGGGGCTGGATATCGGTGCTCAAATTAACGAGGTCTGCGAAGGCAAACTGCTGGTCTCTCAACGTTCAGAATCCTATCTGGCCACGGGTCCGAATACGGATAAGATAATTTGTCCCGAAATTGTTGAATTTTTGCCTCCTTACCGGCATGACCGAGCTATACGATTTGCGGATGGCCGCATCGAGGAACATGTCGATGCCGTTGTCTTTTGCACCGGCTATTTCTACTCTTACGAGTTTTTCCCTGCTCTCCAGCCACCGGTGGAAACCCACGGTTGGCGGACCGAGAATGTCTACCAGCAGTTGTTCTACACTCCGTATCCTACGCTCGTCTTCCCTGTCCTCTCGCAAAGGGTTATCCCTTTCCCCATGGCCGAGAACCAAGCCGCCGTTTTTGCTCGTGTGTGGTCCGGACGACTTAGTCTTCCGTCACGAGCCGTGATGGAAGAATGGGAGCAGGCCGAAGTGGCTCGGAAAGGAGATGGAAGAGCCTTCCACCTGCTTCCGTTTCCCCAAGATGCCGACTACCTGAATTTCCTCTACGATTGGGCCACCAGAGCTGCGCCACGGCATGGGCTTGAGAATAACGGCAATGGCAAACTTGGAACTTATTGGACCGAGCGAGAGCGATGGATGCGTGCTCTATTTCCGGATATTCGGAGAGCCTTTGTCCAGCGAGGCGAGCAACGAAGCAAGATCAAGCATATTGAGGAGCTGGGCTTTGATTTTGGTGAATGGAAACGGGCACAAGAGCAGCTCCCAGCCGATTCGATGCAGACCGATGGCCATCCGGTCGCTCTGCCCTTTAGATAGACGATAGACGATACCAAAGAACTGTAGTTTAGGCAATACTGATAAGCATCACGTGAAAGGCGGTGAGGTGACCCGCGGGCCTCCCGTCACCCGTCGATCTACTTCCCGCTTTATCTCTCCTCTCGCTCTCGCTCTCCTCGTCATAGTCCATTCACGCTGCTGGTTCGGGCAATTGCCGTCTCTGGGCGCAAGTGAAGCTGTGTGCGGGACCCAGGTCTCTCATGATCCTACATTAAGTATCGACCTCACGCCTCCATTTCTCCCTACCATGGCCCTCGTTACCTCTCAAGCACCCGTCGATCGCGCATGATGGTTCGAGCAGACACGCGATTTTGGCCTCCAACTGTTGATAGACATTGCAAACCACGTACTGACTCAGCTCCAGCTGGCACTGTATTTGCTCGTGTGTACAGTGACAGCAGTGAACTGGACGACGACGAGTGGCCCATCAGGTGTATTCTCCAGGAAACAGACACAGAATACCTGATCGACTGGGAAGGGCCCTACGATCCAAGCTGGGTGAGTTGTGAAAACCTAGAAACATTTCTATCGCTCAATATCTGCTATTAGATCCTTGGACTAACTCGAGCGCGCTGGCTATTCAATAGGAACCCAAAGAGAACGCCTCAGAGCTTGCTGTGCGAACTTGGGAAGAGAAGAAAGCGAGGCGTGCTCCAAAACGGGTGGAGCGAGACATCACCCAAGTCCACGGTCCTGCCTCGCCTTCCGCTTCGAGAAGAAGGGACTTGAAGAACAACGAACGTGCAGCATCCGAACACCAAAAACAGCCCAGTATCCGCGGCCGTACGGCCTTTTCATCGTCATCTTCCCCTCTAGAAATTGTTCCAGAGACACAATATTCTCCACAGGCCAGACAGAGTGCAGTTTTCGGGTCCTTTTCTCCAGAGACTCCTGGTGCTGGCCAGAGCAGTGTGCGTAGCGAAATAGGCGAAACACCTTCTCCCCGGCACGAGGAATTCAAAAGTCAACTCATACCTCACGAGTCCAGTCTCCCTTTATCGGCGTCCTTAGGGTCTGTTGAAGGCATCGAGTCCAATTTGAGCAGCTTGGTGTCTCACCACCTGACACAGAGTGACTCTTCTGCTGGTGTTTATCTCAGCTCAATACCAGAAACGGTCACGCAAGATTTGTCACCATACCGGCTTGATTCTGGCTCTCAATTCACAAGTCAACCGGCGCTCTCATTGCCTGAACCTACAGAGACCCAGCCGCCTGTGGAAGTAGTGGAAGACCAAGGAAGAAAGCATCCAGCAGCATCCATAAACGAAAACATGGACCAATACAATTCATGGGATCAGCCACGAGCCCCACGCTTTCCGGGGATATCCCAGACCCTCAGTGCTAGTGCAACCCCTTCCTCCGTTGGAGACGTCGAAGCATCCGTGCCTGTATCGGTTCCAGAGGCGACGGCCCCTCTTAGCGTCAGACACGACAAAGACGCTGTCACTCATTCCCACACTGCAATTCATCATGTGCATCCTGGACCTCTAATCCCACCGTCAGAACTCCTACACTCCGAACCATCGACAATGCAAACCATTCAGCCAAGCGAATTGACAGTTACAAACGTCGAGGAGAATTTACCAGGGTCAATCCGGCTTGGACCGTCTGAGTACGCAGTCACCCTTCCAATGGACTCTCGGGTGAAGGATTACTATGAACGAGTGTTGGCAGACGCTGCCACGAGTATTCGTGAATTTTTCTCTGGCGTTGACGACAACTCTGGACTACCGGCCGCCAAAGTGAGTCCATGTCACATCTAATAAGCTTGCGCTAACATTTCGACAGAGAGAGGAGCTTCTGGCGAAGATGCATGAAATGCTCACGCAATTGAATAATGTCTCAACACATCCGGACCTTAACATTCCCGAACATTTGAAAGGAACAGAGTCTCATCTCGCAGAAGAGGGGTTGTGGGCAGAGTACTCGAGTGCAAAGTTTCTTTTTCTCGGCTATTTGATAGAAGTCGCGAACGTGCTTGACTGGCATTTTATTTTGAGGGTGCATGACGACAAGGCCCAGAGATTGCTAGAGCGCTATCTGCAAGGCAAAGGCTTTGCGTATACCCGACCTCGTGAAGAGATGGGTGGTGCCTTGGAAGTTTCTATGGCGAAAGAATCTCTGAGTTTCGGTATCCATTCCACCGATAGCGTTACGGACCTTTACAAGCCTCCTATTGCCATCCTGGCTTTGACCCCATCGGTCAATCTCAGGAGCATATGCATGCAGCACATCAGAACCACCTACACGCGGAATGAGAGCTTGCTTCCCGTGATTTGGTTGTTCGTTGCCAATGCTAGCGAACACATCGAGCATTGTCTGCCTGACCTGCCATCACTCGACCGACTCCGTCTGCTCATTCAGTATACCGCCGATCTTCATGATGCAGTGGGCGACCTCCAAGATGACGCACTCGGCGTACATGAAGATGTCGATGGGATTGTCAGTTTTCTGCTCGACATCTTTGAGCCCTGGCCACTGGCTCTCATCGAGCCTTTGCATGCTGTCTCGATGGAAGAGTCAGACGAACCAATCTCGTCGTCTGATGAACCTGCTGCACCGACTCAGAAACGCGGACTGGTGAGTTATAATGCATACTTAATATCTACAGTTATTTAACCCTTTCATTACAGGATGAGGAAATTGGACTGCAAACAACAAAGCGGCCGCGGGTTGACGCATCTCAAGAGATCAGCCAATTGACCCAGTCATCCAAGCACATGAGTCAAACCTTGGACCGGGACCTGCAATCGCTGGAGAAGAACCTCGTTCAAATGAAGAGCGATCTCACAACCGAAAAGGAGCAACTGCGGAAGGAACTGACCCAAACGCTCTCTCGATTCCAGGAATTGGAAACAGCCATGAGCGTACTCCAGCATCGTTACGAAAGTCGATACAAGGAATTCCATAAAATGCGTCACGAGCGCGATCATCTAGCCGAGAGCAAGACTTCACTCGAGCAGCGCATCGAGTCGCAGAAAGAGAGCATCGCGAAGTTGAAGGATGAACGAACGCAACTGAAACGTGATCTTGAGCAAGCCAGACAAGAACTCAAAGAGGGAGGAGGGAGCATGGCAGAATTGGAGACTGCACGTGAAGAAATCCGGCGCCTGGAGAAAGAGAACACCAGTCTCGAGCGAAAAGCAGACTACGAACGAAACCAGGCCGACTACACTCGCGAGCAATACCAGAACGCATCTACAGCCGCCGCTCAATCCGGGACCGAGGCTCGGCAACTACAAGAGGAGAATGAAGACTTGAAGCGTAAGGTGGAAGGCAACGCCATTCGCCTCCGCGAGCTCAACATCCAAAACGACACCGCTCGTCACCTTGCCCGAGTCGAAGAACTAGAGTTGACCCTCGTTGCGCGTGATGATCTCTTGCGCAAGAAGGAGGAGGAGCTTCGGGAAATTCGCAAGAACCGCCCTTCTACCCGCTCAACCAGCACTCAACCACGAAGCCCTAAATGGGCTGCCACCAGCCGTCCCACGAGTCCCGGAGCCAACGGCAACGGCAACAATGGCCTTCCTGGCAGGGGGAGCGCGTTGAGATTTAGCGCTGAAAGGCCATTTTAAAAGTGTTCGACCTTCTCTGCCTCTCTCTTGGCATTTCTTGCATCCTGGTCGATGACTTGCCATTCCGCATAATTGATCTATGACGTTTACATACTGGCATGGCGGATTCCAAATTCAGGATCCTCACTCACCCCTGGCCCCCAATCGACCCAAATCCTGGCTTTCCCCCAGCACACTCGTTATGACCTTGCATTCGATGGCGTCCATTTTTCCTTACAGTTTTTGCCCCGTCGTTAATCGATCCGAGCCTGTCAGTTACTCTGCTATGGACTGAACATCTGACCCCATAATGCCCATGCTATCCATCTTCTGTGTGGAAGCTGTAACCAGATCTTCAATTATCAGGATTAGATCTCAATCAAAACTTTACGTCGTAATTGTCTATAAGAAAGACTACTCAAAAGGACGTATTCATGCCAGCCTGTTGGTATTAAGAGGTACTAGGGACCGTAAATCCCAAAAATTATGTATACATAAGGGCAAGACATCTCCAAAAACAATTCGCAACAAAAGCAGATAACGCCATTCCTAAGCGATAGCCAAAGGCAAAGGTAAAAATCTCAAAGGAAAAACAATATTGAACATGAAAAAGTAGAAGGCTGGGCGGCCGTTGAGCGATCGTGTATTACACGGCACTCATAGCGTTGGCCATGAACGCCGCTAGCTCTTTGGCTTTTTCGCCTTGGGTCATCGTGAAGTGGTTGGCACCCTCCATGATAGTGATACCACCAACATTTTCTGGGCCGACGAGGGTGTCCCAGCCGTTCGGACCAAGATCGGTGCGGTTGTTGAGCAGCCACTGCATCTCGCGGGGGTCAGGGCTGCCATCCTCGGCCGGCGCCGGACGAGTATCTCCAGGCTTGGAGCAAACGCCATCCTTAGCCCAGACCATGAAGGTCTTGGGGGTCTTGGAGGCGAGCTTGGGGTCCGAGAAAGGGAACGGAGATGCTTTGTATGCGTCCAGGGAGTCGATAAAGGCCAGGAAGTGCGGTAGCAGCCACTTTGGTGGAGGAGCCTTGCCCTCGCCGAATAGGCCGATCGAGTCAAAGAAACTGTACAGACGTGGAGGCAACTTCTGCAAGCCAATCGGGAATGGCGAGTCAAGCAAAAGCAGACGTTCGACTCGCTCACCTTCCTCAAAGATCAAGTGGCGCGCGGCGTCGTAGGCGCAGATGCCGCCAGCAGACCAGCCTCCGAAGTTGTACGGGCCTGTGGGCTGTCGTCGGCGGATCTCGGCCACGTAAGGGATCGTGAGCTCGTCCAGGCTGTATTTGAGGTTCTCGGGAGTTCGCATGTATGGGCAATTCAGTCCGTACACACACACATTTGGCGAGACACCTGGGATGGTCGCGTACGATGTAGCCGAACCGGAGCCATCGGGGAACAGGAATAGCTTTCTGGTGGCTGTCTTGGGGTTGCCTTGCAGAAGAATCGAAGTTGCCGGCGGATGCTGAATGGTGGATGTGGCTGTTGGCTTGCGAGTTTCGATGGGGAGTTGCTCAGGGATCTTCATGGGCTCACCAGCCACTGACTTTGGCTTCAAGTCCAGTGTGGCTTCGATGTCGTCGATGGTTTCATTCTCAATGAAGAACTCTCCCGGTAGGTCAATGTCCAGGTTCTCGCGAATCTTCCCGAGAACAGTGAGTGACATCAGGGAATCCAACCCCATCTCGGCCAGATTTGCGTCTCCTTGAAGCTCCTCAGGTTCGATGCCAATTTCTTCTGCCAGTATTGAACGGATTTCCTTCATACTGTCGTTCTGCACCAGCTGCATGGACTTGTCGTGAGCAGGTGTCGGAATTCCACTCGTGTTAGGCGACGAGAAGTCCGTATCAGAGACAGAAGAGGAAAGATCGGCTTCGCTGCTGGATCCGTCGCTGCTGTTTTCAACAGGAGACATCTGGGCCAGAAGGCGCTTGAAGTCTTTGATGGTGGGATGGTCCACAAATACCGAAGAATCCAGATCAAGGCTTATCTCCTCACGGTACCGGCCAGTAACCGTTAACGAGAGCAGAGAGTCAACTCCGTAATCTGCGAAGTTGAGATCATCCGTCATGTCACCCTCGGACAGCCCAACTTCCTCGGCCAGGATAGCGAGAGCACGAGCAGTCACGCTTGGGCCGGCAGACTTGGGAGTTGTCGCAGGGCTGGCGCGAGTCTTCTTGGCTGGAGCTGCCCTCGATTTCTGGACATCGATGGGCGGTGGCGTGGACTTCGCTGCTGGCTTCGGTGCAGGAGCTCCAGCAGGAGGAAGAACTGTGTCCAGGATCTTCCGAGCCAAAGCTTGGAACTATATTCCGTTTTGTTAGTGCATTTACAAAAAGAGACAAGGGTAAGATCAAGTACCTTTACACCGCCATACACCGCGACGATATCATCACCATCAAAGAGGTAGACATCGCCCGCCCAGATCGAGTCCCGCCAAGGCTGCATCCTCACATATGACCGGTAGGTGACGTTCGGATCAAACTTCTTCAGGCAACGCATTGAATCCCAGCCGTGGTTGACGAAAACTGTGTTTTTCGAGTCTGTTGCATCGCTAGCATTCATAATGAATCCCGACAGGTGACCAATGCTGTCGATCCAAAATGGGTTCCGATGGAAGTTGCCCGGCGGTGCCTGAAACTTGACCAGTGCAGTAGCCTCGTGTTGATCGCTGTCCAGAATGACCTCCCGCATAGACTTGTAGTTGTCATCGTACTCAACCAGAGCAGCGAACAATTTGTAGACCATTCCGTGCTTCATTCGGTGTGCCTGACCAGACACAGTGCTCTCCTGGAGATGCTGGATGCTTCTCTTGATAAGATAGGCATTGCGCTTCCATTCCTGCTCAGAAGCGCTGGTGTCAAAGAACTTGATCAGACAGCTGGCATGATCAATGATCTTCTTGCCCTCTGGTGTCACAGACCACACCTGGACCTTAGCAACTTCCGTCGCCCAGTTTGCAGTGGCCGAAACTCGGAATAGCTGCTTGCCACCCTTGGCAATAAGTGGCTTTGGGACCGTCACGTCGCAGACATCAAGGCCACGCTCCTTCAAATCGGGCTTGTACTTGTCCACCAGGTATTCACCAAGTGTCTGGGCGATGTCCGCGTACAGCGACTGATTAAGGTTAGTTTATGACTTTTCAGTAGACTATAAGACTGAGTACTTACCGAAGGGCAGAGAGCAGCTCCGTTGACTTTGTGACCTTGGATAACGCGGTTCAACTCTGGGTCGGCGATGTCATTCTCGATGACAACAGTGGCTGCTGTGTCAGAGTTGCTTGTCTCGACAATTTTCTGAGCCGAAGACGTCAAGAAAGTGGACACAGGCGCGGCTTCAACCGCCGGTGTGGCCGGTGCACCCTTCAACAGACAGAAATTGTTGGTGTATGGAATCCAGTAGTTCTTCAGGTCCCACTTATAAGCGGGGAGTGGGAGAACCTGGTGACTGGAGCTGAAGTCCTGGTGATATTCCTTCCAACGCAGATCAATTCCAGCCATGTAGAGAGCGGACAGGCTGTTCGAGAGCACCTTCCAAGTATCCTCTTGACGGCGAAGAGAAGCTACTGTGGCTGCCTGAGGACCGAATGTCGACTTGACCATCCCAGAGCAAACGGGGTGTGAGCCAATCTCAACCCAAAGAGTCTTGTCATTCATCAGATTGGCATGACGGGTGGCCTCTAAAGCACCCAAAAAGTTGACAGTCTCCCGGCAGTGGCGTGTCAGGTAGCCGGGACCAAGCAGATCTGCATTCGCCTCCTTGATAACGTCTCCGAGGAGGGCGGACACAAATGGGATTGTCGGCTCATGGAATGTCACACCTTTACCAATGTCCGCCAGGCTTTCCAGAATAGGCTCAACCTGAACAGAATGGAACGCAAATGGGACCTTTAGCTTAGTAGCCTTCAAACCTTCATTTGAAAGCTTCTCTGCCACCTCGTCTATCTTGTCACTTGCACCACTGACAACGGTCTCTGCGGGGGCGTTGATACAGGCAACCTCAGCTGCCTCATTTTCAATGAACTGCTTGACTTGTGCCGCAGAAGCCTTGACAGCCAGCATAGCATGAGTTCCAGCCTGGCATTGTTCGGTGAGAAGCTGAGCCCGTCGGCCAGAGAGGTAGATCGTATCACTAGTGCTCAAAACACCAGCAGCATTGAGAGCGGCATATTCTCCGAGACTGTGTCCAAGGACAAAAGAAGGCGTAACGCCAAGAGATATCCAGTACTTGGTCAGCGCCATCTGCAAGCAGGTCGTGCCAAGCTGGCTGATGACGGGACCTAGTTCTTCAATTGGAACACTTCCTTCGACCAAAGGCATAATAGAAGGGAATCCCTGACTTTGTCCAATGCGATCCAGATGCTGAATGTGAGCACGGAATGGCGAACAGCTCTCGTAGAGCTGGCTTCCCATGCTGGTGTATTGTGCTCCCTGGCCAGTGAAGACGAATCCAATACCCGGTGCAGTGGCAGGAACCGGGGTGATATTGTCGCGGTTGGCGCTATCCGACAAGGCATTTCTCACTTCGTCCAAGGTAGACCCTGTTGCGACGACTCTGAACGGGTGGTGAATGCGTCTTGCCGTAGTGGTGTAGGACAGATTGGCAAGAAGGCTAGCGTGATTGACATTGAACATATTCTTGTTGGTGTCAATGTACTGCAACAATGCATTGGTGTTGTTCTTCAGCGCGGATTGTGACCTCGCCGAGACAGCCACAGTGTGCACAGATCGAGGGTCTTCTGTGACCTGCTCACGCAGGGGCGCATCCTCCATCAGGATTGCTGTATTACCACCAGCAGCTGAGAAGTTGTTGATGAACGTCTTCCGCTTTCCTCCTTCTGGTCTTTGCCATGGTGTGGGCTTAAGGGCGATATGCACATTTCGCTGCTGGAAATCCGTCGGGAAATTGTGGTTGATTTTTGTCTTGATACCACAGTGGGGAGGGATCATGTTCTTTCGCATCATCATCAGTACCTTAATCAGGGCGCTAACGCCTGAGGCGGATTCTCCGTGGCCAATGTTCGCCTTCGCTGAACCGAGATGGAGAGACTGTGTCGGACCGCGGCGGTAGTCAGGAGCAAATACATCCAGCACGGATTGCATTTCAACAGCGTCCCCTGCCTGGGTACCCGTTCCATGCATGTCGATGTAGCTGACTTCCTTCGGGTCGATATTAGCCTCATTTAACAACTTGTCGAAAATAAAGGCCTGTGCTCCAGCATGAGGACGAGTAATTGAAACGGCTTCGGCGGAGTGGTTTGTGTAAGCTCCCGCGATCACACCGTAGATTGGGTCGTTGTCAGCTTGAGCATCTTCCAGTCTCTTTAGGACGATCGAGCCAATGCCATCGGCTCTGCAATAACCATCCGCTCCATCATCAAACGTGTTACAGTTTCCAGTACGTGACAAGAAATGGCCACGATCAAGACCGGCGTGGTTGTCTGGGTTCGTCAACACATTGACGCCACCCGCAACTGCGGAGTCACACTCGTTTCTCCAAAGAGAATTGCAGGCAATATGTATAGCTGCAAGGCTTGAAGAGCAAGCGGTGTCAACGCTGACGCTGGGGCCGCTGAACTTGAAGTAGTAATTGATGCGACCAGGAGTGAATGCACGGTTACCACCTGGAATGAAGTAGGTGTCGATGTCTTGACCACTGTTGATTTCACGGTAGTCGTCACTAGTCATTCCGTAGAAGACACCAACTCGGTTCTTCTGTGTGGATGGAGTGCTGTCCGGGATGAAGCCAGCCATCTCGAAAGCCTCGTAAGCCGTAAGAAGAGCAAGTCGTTGAGCTGGATCTGCCTGCAGTGCTTCACGCGGGGACATATTGAAAAAGCGAGGGTCAAATAGCCCAGGCTCGTTAATCCAGCATCCGTACTGAACCTTGCTGGTGTTTCTCGTGTTGCCTTCCATGTCGACATGTGCCTTCACATCCCAACGCTCCGGTGGCACTTCCCGGTGTACATCAAGTCCCTTATACAGGAGATCCCAGAAGGCTTCCGTATCAGCAGCTTCAGGAAACCTACCCGAAAGGCCGATAATTGCGATTTTAGATTGGTCGGAGCGGCCGGTCCGGTTCACACCCTCAGAATCCTTCTGTACATTACCAATCGTGCTATCAATTTCAATGTTGGAGATGCCAGCTTTCTTCAATCCTGTACATAAACTCTGAGTCGCGGTGCTGGAAATCGGAAGCAGTGTGCATGCCGTTGAACTTGGTGCAAGTGCTGAATGGCAGGAGTCGATAACCTTGTCCCAGCAAAGTTGTCGCAGCAGAATCTCTTCGAGTGAAGTTTTCAACAGACCCTCAAGGCTTTCGGCGCGAATTGGTTTACCGCTTTCGCTTGACAAGATAGAGATCTGAGGAACATAGCTCAGGAATTTCTCCGAGGGCCACGATTTGAGAATCCGATGAACGTCCCTGCTATCATAAAGGTGCGATGCATGGTAAGGGCCATGAATCGGGACCCTAACAGGCTTATATTCCTTGGGGAGACAAGTATCGACAAATCGATCCAGGAACATCGGTGGGCCACTGATAGTCAAACCATTGGGGCTAATGGCGCTGATATAAGGCCGAGAAACATGCGGCAAGGCCTGTGAATAGTTTAGGTTTTGTTTATGTTTTTGAATTTGCAGGGGACGACATGACAAACTCACATTTTCGTTTGAAAACTTTTGGATCAATTCCTGGGCCTCTAGCTCCCGCAGTCCAGAAACCAAAACAGACCAGCTTGGCGAAGACGACTTGTTCCACTCTAGAGATTGCTGCACCTTGACAACAGACATACCAAGTCGTAGAGCTAGAACTACCGTCTCAACGCCGACGGGAATAAGTTCTCCGACGGTTTTTGAGGAGCTGACAGCGGCAGCTGCTAGTTGACCAGTACAGAGGCCCACAATGCAGCTGTCAGATCCTGATGGATACATGTGACCAAGGTCACCATAGTAGCTAGGTTAACGTTAGCGACACTGCCTTTAACCATAAAGGGTGTCAAGATAAGCTTACTGGATGAAGCATCCCAGCTGGTGGATGGTTGTCAACGTGCTCTCCAGCGCGGGATTCGGCCCCGACTCGCGGTATCTGGCGAGAAGGTCGACGATGCTTGTGAAACGGGGGAATACCTGCCGCTCGGACTGTGGCAGCTTCGTAACCTCTTCGCGTACTGCATGGTAGCACTTCTGGAAGAAGGCTGACAGCAACGAGTCATTCTTCGCATGCAACAGACGACGAAGGCCTGAGTCAAAATCAGCGGTCTGATCTCCGAAGAGAAATACACGACCGGTGCCTTCCATTGTCAGGCTTTGTTCCACTCAGTAGAAGTGAAATTCTACAAAGGAAGAAGGAAAATGATTCCAGGGCCGCAATTTGGCAGACAGCATACTTTAATACACGCGGGAGTATAATATCCACGTAGTGGGTCGAGCTTCGACCAGTCCAAAAGCGCACATCATGGGTCTATGAAAACCCGCAGTGGCCTAGATCTGGAAGGACTTTGAACTCTGTTTTCCTATGCAGGCCATCGACCTGGAATTTGCGGTACAACCACGGCTCCATCTGCCTCAGAGGTCGTCTTCCTTGCTCCTCAGTCCGAGGCATTGGCTCCGGTACAGTAGATCAAGTTCGTTTGGCCACGACCAATGCCACCGTTACCGCGCGAGTGTGAACTGTAAATTTTTATTGTACCCTGGATTGCCCATAGGACCCTGAAAACTTGTATGAAATTGCAAAGGTACGGGCAAATCCTGGTCCCCGAATGCTGTTTGCGGATAAAGGAGTAAGGGATACCTGGATTTAAGCTCACTGTGGCTGAAGTATGACACAAGGATCTAGGGCCAAGGATAATGAGCACGCCGGAAAGAGCATAAGAACAGAGGGGCCTGTTGAGGACGATGGAGGAAGTTGCATTCGATAGCTGTTTTCGGAAGGTTACACCCGAAGCTCCGGGTCACGTGAATATCAAGCCCTAGGAAGTTCACAGCCAGAACCTCACGAATTTTAACAACTGGGGCGAAAGGGGCTAGAAAGGTTCATCTCCATATTATTAAAAAGAAAATCCAGGGACAGTAGACACAGCAGGTACAGCAGGTATATCAAGAACAGTACACTAGACTTCCACCAGACCGCCCTCAGGTGTGACTTTAGGACCCTCTCCAAGGCTGAGTCTCGTCTATCACAATGTAACTATGGAAACTTTTAGTAATATAATTGCAGATCTTGCTGAGAAGATCTTGGCGTTTTGAGAGATTATCAACGCCAGATCTATGCGTCATGACTTACTTCTGTTGAGCCTCAAGAGGCAGCAGTCAACGAAAATATACCTCTGGAACCTCCATAAGTCTCAAGTCTGGATGAAGCGCCGCCACTATGCCATCTAGAACATGATTCGAACTATTACGACGGTTATTGATGCAATATTATTGAAGTGAAACATCGAGTGATTTCAATTCCGGAACGCGGAGGTAGAAGAATACTGGTCAAGAGGAGTAAATTCGGGACTAGGCAACTTTGCTGTAAAATGATAAGCATATCAAAGTGAGTATCTCGGAGTCCAGCAGCCGGTGTATGGAACCAGAAATTCTTGAGATCACTGGAAATGCTCACGTTGCGTCCAGGAAGAATTCCAAGTGGCTCGATCACGATGAGCCCGATCGCGGGTGGGTCATGATCGCCCGCGGAGCGGGATCTCCTTCCCCTCCAGAACGCCGAAAACAGCGGGCAATCAAAAAGCAGAGAAAATTCGAAGGAAACATCTAATTAGTATAGAAGCATTAGTATTGGGTGGTATCAACAATTATTATAGCTGGTTCTACTGTGGTTGCCGAAATGCAATGCAAATCTCAAGAGGTATATCGTAAATTCAAACATCGAAAAAAAAAAAAAATATGTGCGGTAGATGAAGCTTTATCACTCCTTCCGTTGGTATCCCTGACAAGCCTGTGGGTTCTCATGCTCCTGTGATTGCACTATTTCCAGTTCGTCTTCAGGGAAATCTTGATTCCAAGTGCCTATGGTGTCCTCGTCTTCATCGTAGCTTGAGGAGCCCTTTTGGTCTTTGTTAGTCACAATAGGCTTTCGGGACCATCCATTTGCGTTATCCACCCCCGTGTCATTTGGATAGTCGTTAGGGTCAGAAGATCCGGACTCTTGCCCTTGGGAATCTGTATGCCCATATTGACCGTAGGGGCCTGGTTGTGCCTGCTCACTAGTTTGGCCCTGATACCCGTTGTAGGCCCCTGGAGGTGCCTGAGGCCACTCATCAATGCCATCCAGGATAGCAACCGCCATTCCGTTAGCCATGTGAGTTTCGATGTGGCAGTGGAACAGGAATGGCCCCGGATTGACCACCTGATATCGCAGCATCATCCAAGTTGGACCAGCAGGTCCTTGCGCAAGGAAAGTATCTCTCATTTGAGGGTTTTCCATGTGGAAAAGGTCAGGGCGCTCGGCAGCGGCCTCTTCGGTGCTAGTCCAGTTGAATATCCCCGGGCCAACGCCCAGGATGTAAGCCTTACTGGAGTGCTTGTGCATAACGTGAGGAGCTTGGATCGCTGGTGTGTCGGGCATGTCACCGAGCTGCAGCAGAACATCGACCCAGGTTCCGTTTATGGTCTTAATGACGACCTGTTCCTCTAAATTGTTCGTGGCATCCAGGTCGTAGAGGATCGGGTCATCCCAATTAGCCATCATGTCGTACAGCCCACCGCCAGAGGATGTCCACTTATAGGACGCACCCCAGCGGCCAAGGGTAAGATTTATCAGCTGATCGGCATACTTGGGAATGGTGACGGCAGGATAGGGCTTTATGTCTTTCGGATCCAAAGGTACGACAGAAGCAGAGGTGTTTCTACCACCGTAGTCCACGTAAGCATCAGACGGTGTGGTATTTTGGGAACCCTTATATCGTAGCGTAGCAAAGCCGGAGATAATCTGGTCGCCTTGGTTGCCGGGGATTCGGATGGTGTAATCCTTGGGAGACTTGTCGAGCTTGATCATAGCGGCATATCGCTCACCGTTGTAGATGGGCGCACTTTCGACAAGTAGCGGTTCAATATAACTGCCGTCGACTTCGTAGATGTACATGGGATGTTCGTCAATGGAGAAAATGAAAGCCTTCATTGCAGCCGCACTGATGAACTTCAGACTGACCCAGCTTTCAGCTGGATCGACTTCAATAATCTCGTGTAGACCTTCGGTAGGTCGGCATCCTGAGTTCAGACCTGCGGGGATCTTGCCAGGATCGGTAGGGGGAAAGTTGCCCTGAGTCTCGTATATATTGGGTATACATCTTTTTATAACAAAGAGTCATGAGTTAGTACCTATGACAGGATGTACTCTAAGTTACTACTCACCCTTTGTCAGACAGCGGCACGTTTGCAATGGCAGTTTTCAGGTATGGAAGTTCTAGGCTCGAGATTGTCGTGGTCCCAGGGCAGTACACAGCTCCACGGCCGTTGACCAAGATACTGTCCATGCATCTAAATGAGAGTCAGTAACAATCTCATTTTGACCAAAAATATACAACTTACACGACATTTAGACGACTGTCCACTTGTACCTGTTGGTACTGCTCAGAGGTCAAGTGGTCCCAATCGGACAGCATAACAAGGCGAGGATTTTGCTCTGCTCGCTGCATAGCTTGAATATCCTGAGGGTTACTTGAAATTAAGCTGAATGGTTGAGGTACATCGGGAGCCGGTCTGTATTGATTAGATTTACGAAAGACCGTGGGGTTGGGATAGAAGCTTACTTGATCGAGATCGGACCATAGAGACCATCCATAATCTGGGAGCGAGCATGAGAATGGTACCAGTAGGTTCCATACTGAGTAGCTGTCCATTTATATGTCCAGCTCTGTCCAGGTTGAATGGGCGTCTGGGTAAGCCCGGGTACACCATCAGACCATGGAGTGTTGTGCTGTTCAATCCCGTGAAAATGCATGGTTGTGTTGAATGGCATGTTATTGTGGACAGTAAACTAGAGGGGAGGTAAGTTAACCACTGTAATATGAACGTCTGTTCACTTCTCTGACTTACTTCCACATCATCACCCTGGTCTAGACGCAGCTCAGGACCGGGAAATTGGCCGTTCATGAATACCATTTCCCGCACGTTGCCATCAGGAGCACCTTGCTGCCAGGTGAGGCTCACGTCAAAGTAAACCGGCTTGGCCCACACCAAAGAAGGCATGAGCCCAGGTGTGGCAAGGGCAAGTAAAGTTTTTAGCAATGCCATAATGCTGATGATCTTAGTTGGCTCAAGGAAGGCCAAGTGCTGTTTGGGTTAAGTCGGTGCTCAGATGGCGTGGCGTCTACAGGCTGGAAAAATATTCCATGTCAAGTGTGGGAGTAGGAAGGTATTTTTATAAGGAATGGTATTATACAATTGCCTCCAATGCCAACCGGCACTTATGTCCATGGCCCTATCCACGGAAGTGCCTTAAATGCCCGAAAGTATGTTTGCTTGCATATTTGACAAAACTAGGGGAAACATGACCTTGTTTTCTCCTGCTTGACAAATTTGCATTATTGGTCAAATGCCTCTCTATGGCCGCGGTCCTGTCAGTCTCGCGGGCCCTGGAATGCTAAGGAAGCTGGACCACAACATGTTCTGCCCCTGCCGTGTAGTTGTTGTTCCTGTTGTCATGCAAGGAGGTAGAACTAGATTTCCGTATTCGGAGTGTTGTTTTTGTTTGAGGTTGACCGGCATTCCTAGCATGGAATGCCAGATATCCCTGATTTTCCACCCGAGTAGTAATCTCAAGCAAGCCGGGTCGGTGGCTCACAATGATGGTTCTTGAGGGTTCCGATTATGAGCATGGTGGGAACTGATGTGCAGCCGAGTATCGTGGAAGCCCCATGGAATACTGACCCAATAAAAATGAATACTAGAAACCCATAGTTCTATATATATTTCAATAAGGTGATGCGGTGTGGATTCAGCTAGCCCCCGATGTCTGTGTTTGTGATGTTGCCGCCGACGGTTGCCATGGCGGCAGAGGGAGATGGCGATTGCATCAGCCCAATGAATTGGCTGGGGAGACAAAAGACTCAATGCAATAAATGTAGTCAATCTGTGCGAGAGAAACCCTCCAGAAAAAACTTAATTAGTAGTAGAAATGAAGTTCATCATCTCCCTCAAGTGAAGCTCAGGCCGCCTTTAAGCTTATCGATAGGCGACGCCGGCGCTAGTCCTGTTTGGGCGACATGTAAACACACCACTCGCTCTCACCGTCTTCACTGCCATCTACTCCCAGCTCTCTGCCTTGTCCACCCAGCCAACCCAGGCACCCCCTCTGTCGCTCCCTGTCGCTCTTTCTGTGTCTTTGATTGCTCAGCATAACGATTGCGTGAGATTCATGCAACTTTGTTAATTCCTGCGCACCTTGCGACTCAAACCCGAACCCCGTTTTCCTCCCAACTCGGTCTACGTCAGACTCTATCATATCGGCGGTTCATCTTTGTTTCGCCAATTGAAGACTATCTCCGACCTTAACACAGATCTCCTCTGGACGGCTACGGGTCTCCGCTGGTCGCCATGGCGGCCACCTCGCCGCAGTTGCCACTGCGCTTCCCATGCTGGTGCCGAGCGGTGTACTCATGGGGCGGAGAGACGACACGCGACCTGGGCTTTGTGGAGGGCGACTTGATTGAATGTTTGAATGCAGGCGACGGACAATGGTGGATGGGCCGTCTGCGCCGAGACAGGCGTGCGGTTGGGCTCTTCCCATCCAACTTCGTCGAGCTCCTCAGCGAGGACTTTGTCCCCGTTAGTCGGTCTGCCAGCCCAATGGTTCAAGCAACCACATCTCCTATCAACAATCCTACGGCGGCCCCCAAGAAACAGAAAACAGTGTTCCGGAAGCCCTTCCAGGCCCATAGAGAGGCCGTTGCCCCCTCGTCCCAACTGGCCCGCAATGGGACAACCTCAACTGTTACAAGCAATATTCCACAAACGCCCCCCGAGATGGCTCTGTTCCGCGAAGCGTCAAACCGCTTCGTACCCATGCATCCCAAGTCAAGAATCAAGGCTCCTTGTCCCGAACGTCGCCTGTATCGCGTCCCTCCTCACGTGGTGCTTCTCCCCTCTCACCCCGTTCTTCGCAAGAGCCTGAGGAATCATCCGCCATGATGCCGAGACACAGCACGTCTTCTTCTCGCCCTTCTTCGCGCGAAGTCTCGCCTTTGGCACTACAGGAGCCTGAAGAAGACTCGCCTCCTCCACCCCCACCGCCGCCGCATCGGGTCGCAGTGAGTCGCGCACCCTCGCCCTCTCCGCAGCCTCCATTACACTCTGCTCGATCAGGATCACATTCTCCTCAGCCACCAATGCACCCTTCTCGGCAGCCATCACCTCGGTCATTGGCCCCTTCGCCCACGCCTTTGATGATGAATGACCGCTATGTGACATTCTCTCGCACGCCATCACCAGCAGCCCTTTCGATGCACTCAGCGAAATCCGAACAATCAGATGTCAATGGAAACACCCCATCCCCGCTTCGCGACGCAATGGAGGATGTCATGACCTCTTTGCAAGATATGGGCATGCCGCGACAAGCCCCGTCTCCCTCTCCCCCACCTATGTTCAACAACCCTTGGTCGCCCGATGCGTATGATGAAATGCGTGGAGGAAAACAATCAGACGACAAGGGCCGACCTGTGACATCACTAGGGTTTGATGGGAATAAAGACCAGTACAATGACGGGCTTATGCATCGCAATAGCATCGCCACACAAGACAATTACATGGAGGGCCCACCTCAACTGAACAACTATGTCCAGAGGATGGAAAGCCGTCTCCGTCAGTTAGAAGACCAAAACAGGCCGCCTGAGGATGAAGATGCTCCTCCCCCACCTCCACCCAAGCACGCTACCTATCATCCTCGGCACAATTCCATTCCGGCACAATACCCGCGTCTGAGAGCTCAAAAATCCGGACAGGACTTGAGAGGAGACAACCTTAGCCGAACCTTTACCTACAAATCGACAACCACGGATTCTTCCAGTGGCGTGCAAAGTATTGGCACCAGCATGACGGTCAGTACAGACAAAACAAGTCAAAGTCTGATGAGCGGCCCATCTGCTGGAGGCTTCAGTGCGACCAGTGCCGGCAGCTTTGCAAGACGGAATTTTGGTGACCGGCCAAATACAGCTATGGACTCCATCCGGTCCCGGGGGTTCAGCGATGCTGGAAAGCGACCAGAAACACCCTTGACGGGCATCTCGTATCATTCCAGCCATAACACATCCCGGCAGGGCGCATCTTCGGCCATCCCATGGTCATCGGCAGATACAGATGCAGGGGAGCCTTCTGGCGTCTTTGGCGGCCTTTCCACCCCGAAGGGCAAGAAACAGGGCTTCTTCAAGAAGATTCTTGAATCTGCCAAAACTGGAGCAGCAAGCGCGAGGAGCAGCATTTCTGTTGGCTATAGCGATCGGTCACAGTCCCCAACGAAAGGGAACAGATTGGCTGGTGCAGTGTCGCCTCTCCTCATGTCCCAGTCCAGCAAGGACACGACCCGAGATACAGTACCTGCAAACAATCCTGTTGACTGGGTTCAGGTCCGCCGAGATGTCAACCGTGCCTCTTCTCCCAGCCGGAATGAGCGGATTGAGCGGGCTGAGCGATGCCAGATGCTTGATCATCCGGTGATCTATGCGGTAGAGGAACTCGGTGAGACCGCGGAAGGTGATGAAAGCATTGATGGACTACCCATCAGTGAGCCCACGAATTTCAACGCGCCAAACCTTGGCCTCGTTGACAAGAGTGCCCGCTTCGTGAACAGTCTTCCACCCATGACGAATCCGATGAGTTTGGCCCAGGGATACATTTGCCGTCCCTACAAGAGTGATGTGCAACGGTTGCGTGCAATCTTCACTTGGGTCAGCGAGAAGATTGCCTGGGAGGAGCCCGTTGATGGTCTAGATGTTGACCTGAAAAGACTTCTGCAGGCCAAACGCGGTAATCCGCAAGAGATTGCTCTGCTTGTCAATGAGATGTGCGCCGCTGTTGGTCTTCACTCAGAGACAATCCATGGATTCCTCAAGACTCCCGGAGACACCCTGGACCTGGACAGTCTCTCACGTCCTAACCACTGGTGGAATGCGGTTCTTGTCGATGGCGAATGGCGCTTCATGGATTGTGCGCTCGCTAACCCGACAAACCCTGTAAGGACCAAATTCGTCACCAACAATTCCGCAGTGGCTGAGAGCTGGTACTTCCTGGCACGACCGCTTGAGATCTGCTACACCCATGTACCTATGTACCCGGAAGCACAACATATCTGTCCTCCAATATCACCAGACGTCCTGTTGGCTCTTCCAACCGTCTGCCCTCCATTCTTCAAACTGAACGCCCAATTTCCGGATTACGATACCAGTCTGATCCGCCTGGAGGGATTGGAGGTAATGCAGATCCGTCTTGTGGTCCCCGCAGATGTTGAATGCGCGGCTGAAGTCGAGTCACCTGCATTCGCTTGCGATGCCGATGGTGATTTCTTCGAGAGTGGTGACATTGTGCGCAAACGAGCGCTAGTCCAGCCGGACTGGTACGGCGGCCAAAAGCGGATTACTGTCAAGGCTGTGCTCCCAGGCGATGAGGGTCAGGGTGTACTGAAGGTATATGCTGGCAAGAAGGGGCTCATGCATTCCAGCCGCGATATTCCTCATCCATTGGCACTGGCCCTTCCAATCTTCCACACCGGAGAGAACCCACCATACGAATTTGTCTTGCGCCATCCCACGCCTCATGCCCAGCGGCATGATCTTTACATCATGCAACCTCAATGTTCCCGGCTGGCCGTCAATAATACCTTTGTCTTTGCCGTTCGCCAACATCCTTCGTCCGGTCCGCCTCCCCCTCCCTCTAAAGATAATGAGTTCGTATCCAACGGCCGAACTTCGCCATCCATATTTACGCGCCCGTCAAGTGCCCTCAGCATGGTTTCCAGCACTGCCGGCGCATCTACAATCTCGAGCGGCTCAAACGAGTTTTCTGCGTCAACCTCGGCTATCTCGTCCGCAAAATCCGGTTCCGGTCGAGAAAAGCCAGCGAAACTGGCAATCCAGTCTCCCTCTGGGAAGATTCTACGCCTCACCCGTAAAGCTGAGCATATGATCAGCAGCCTTGATACTGGCGGCACTTCCATGAGCGACGCCAATGGCGAGGGCAGTGTCTGGGAGACTGTCATCAAGATCGGCGAGCGCGGCGTCTGGCGCGGACTCGTGCTCGCAGACCGAGTCGCGCGTTGGTGCGTCTTCTGCGAGTGGGAGTGTAACTAATTTTTGATGTGTTTAATCTTGGAGTTGGCACTGAGCATTTTCCTTCCCCTGCATTTCATTTCCTTCTTCTTCTGCATATCTTGGTTTGATTTAGCTGGGGCTCTCGTCTCTGTTTGACCATATCTTTCTTGTTTCATTCTATGGGCATTTGCATCAGCTCGGCTGGCTTGGGGTCCTGCATCCATTGCATTCTGCCATTCAACCCTTGGTGGATGGAGACATAATAAATAAGCATTTTGAGAGAAATAAAATCTGCATTTTCGTATTCTAAGTTGGCCAGTTGTAGATATGCCTTGTCACACCGAAGAGAGCAACGTCGTCTCTATTTAACTCTGTGTTTCTAGAGATTCGCCATTGCGGTGCGAAGCAGCGGCGCAACCTGCTTTCGACTTGCCGCCACATTAGTCTGCACCCATAATCCTCTCCAGAAAGGAGAGTCCCCATTAAGCTCGTCCCGGAGACCATCTGTCACCACGGGACCAATGTCACCATCCAGCAGCGACCAATCAACCAGCCCGAGCTGCTCCGCTGCCTGAGAAACAAACCTCTTGGCTCCCTCGACAGCTGTACCGTTGTCATTCACCGAACAGATAAAAAGCTCTCGACAAAAGCGGTCGTTCCCAGTTGTGAAAGCGGTCATGATGATGACCACATCCAACTGCCTATCCTGTGCCACAGCAAAGGAACGAATGGCATCCAGGAACTTGTCTGACCCGCCAGCCTTTCGAATAATCCACGGTATTGACTTGACAGATGAACAGAAACCAAGCTTGACGCGCTCTCCCGACGACTGCGCTGTCTCAGTCCAGTCCTTGAAATCACGATCCAGAATCTCGTCCAGTGTAAGGAGATCCAGACTGTTCTGCTTCGTGTCAAGGACGCTCCTGTAAAATGCCCCCACGTCCCATTTCGCCTCCGCGGTAGCATCCTTCAAGATACGAGACTCAACCAGCCGCCGGAGCAGTTCCACAGCTTGGACATCGACGCCGGTCACTTTGCCTTCGGCGGTGAGGTTCGAGGTGTCGATGACCACAGCAGCCAGAGCCAGTTGGGCAACCTGCGCAAATTCATCTGCGTCCCCAGCCCATAGACCTCGCCGTTCCAACTCGTTTGCAACAAGGGAGGCGCATGACCCAGGCCCTGGGTGGATAACCAGCGGCTGGCCAGCCGGGAGTGCGTCAGCGCGAGGCATAAAGTCCTCGTCTACATGATGATCAATACACCCCAGGGTGCAAAACTCCACTTGTCGCAGACCATTCAGAGCTCCGCGGCCTACTTCCGTGTCTAAACGGAGCGGCATCGCATTCCAATCAACTAACGTCGCGTCTGCGACAAGTGGTGTCTCCACATGTTGGGTATCCTTGAGTGTTTGCACAAAGTCCGCGACTGTAACGATATGCTCGCGCAGCAGTGCCCCCGCGGACTCGGGCGTCTCCTCAAACCGTTCTTCTGGGCGCAAGGCAGGGAATTGCGTGGACAGCCACAGGGCAGTCACAAACTCCGGTCGTAGACGGTACAGTTCAGGCCCGGAAGGGATAGTCGGAAGATTCACGAGCGGGACATGTGGGCGCGGCGAGGTAGTGGGAAGACGATTGTCGGCGCAGTAGGAGTAGACGATGGCGGAGATGATCGAGTCGAGGTCTGCGGAGGCATTGCCAATCACGTACACGGGCGAGGACGCAGTGCCGGCGAGGAACTGGAGGTGCGATTGGCGGGCGTGGCGCAGGAATTGAAGCAGGCTGCGCATGGCCGAAGGACGTGGAGGAGGTGTTTTGGGGTTGGAGTTGGAGTTGGAGTTGGAGTTGGGGGGAAGTTGACTGACATCATCTCATCTCTGGAGTTACAAACCACTTCACTACACGTAGTATGATCATGGCAGTCGTGCTGCCGGAGATCTTCGCCCAGATCCCTCGCTACCCACTGCTCTACAACCATTCCTCGCCTATTCATTCCCTCCCGCGCACCTCTCAACGCGCAACCAGCACAACCCCGCGTCTGGCCCTCTTCGCTAAACGCGAAGACCAATCCTCACCACTCGCCTGCGCGGGCAACAAATACCGCAAACTCGAATACATTATCCCCGATATTCTCTCTGTCTCACCGCAGCACCATGACCATGAGCACGCAGAGACACCCACACCCAGCCCCGGCGCCGCTACAACCCTAGTAACAGAGGGCGCCGTCCAAAGCAACCACACGGTCCAAGTCTCGGCGCTCGCCCGGCAACTCGGTCTAAACGCTCTAGTCCTGCTCCAAAAAGGAACAGGCGCTGGGTTCCGCAACGCCAGAGACCCAGACGCCTTCCTGCGCAGCGGCAATGTGCAGATAAACCGCATGCTCGGCGCCGAGGTGCGTGTCCTCGACGAGGGCGATCCACTATCGCGTGATGCAAGACCCGTGCTAGATGCATTGCGCGCCCGCGGACAACGACCCTACTGGATCCCCGGTGGTGCGAGCATGCACGCGCTCGGTGGACTGGGGTATGCGCGCGCGGCGATGGAGATCGCGGTTCAGGAAAAGGAGCTGCGGCTTGGCGGATCAGGACGGTTCGATTATGTGTTTGTGGCGTGCGGGAGTGGGAGTACTGTTGGCGGGCTGGTAGCCGGGTTTAAACTGTACGAGAAGATGCGGACGTCATCTTCGTCGACTGCGTCTTCTTCTTCAGCTACTACTACTGCAAATGCAGCACCGCCGCGACAAATCATCGGCGTGCTCAATTCGCCTACAAATCCCAAACCATACCACGAAGCGCGGGTACTCGCCTTTGCACGCCGCGCGGGGGCACTGATCGGACTGGATCCCGAGACAGATCTGGGGGTGGAGGATGTGCGGCTGGACGATCGGTTCGTGGGCACTGGGTACGGGGTGCTGGATGCGGAGGCGCGCGAGGCACTAGAAACCATGGCCCGAACGGAGGGAGTGATTCTGGACCCGGTGTACACGGCGAAAGTAGCTCGCGGGATGCTGCATTGGGTCCAGCAGGGAGAAGTGGTGGCGGACGCTCGGCGGAACGGGCATCACTCGGACGAGGTGAATGTCTTGTTTATTCATACGGGTGGACAGGCTGCCCTGGGGGCGTATGCGGATGTAATCTAACCATCTGCCCTCTGCACATACTTGGTCAATTGGATGGACGATATAACGAATAGGAATAGCTGCATTCAACTAGTATTACATGGGTTGTTCGACGAGCAAGAACAAAACAAGTAGAGCGAATCCAGCATCTGCCTCAGGTCACAGTCATCACAGAACTTGGGTTGGTATAACAAGAAAAGCAGAAAATCAAAAGGCCACACATCTCATATAGGAAACAAGCATCAGGAAAAGTACATTGGGAAGGAAACAAAGAACTCCCCGGACTCGATTGACCACAGAGACCTCTCCTCTCCGATAAGACTCCGGATTTCAAGTAGAGAAAAAAAGACACCAAAAGCAGTAGGAATAACAATACAGAAGACGGGCAGGGGAGTAAAGAAGAGAAATATAAAATAGTAACTCAGGGTTCTGCTTGGGTGGTGGCAGTGGTGGTGGTGGCTTCGTTCTCGCCATTGGTCGTACTCTGAGCATTGCCCCCGCTGGGAACATCCTCGTGGACCGACCCGGCGCGGCTGCTCCCGTTGCTGACATCCATAGCCTCAAGAGCGTCGGCGGCATGAGTGTTCTCCAACGGCTCCGGGTCAGGCTGATCCGCCTGGGGAGGCCCCGCCTCGGGCTCAAGCTCCGGATCCTGGTTTGTTAGATCCGCAAAGACATCATCGAGGTTCTGGCGAGGACTGCTGCTCACGAACGGCATGTTGCTATCAACATCGACACCCGAAGGGCCGCTCGTTGCATCCCGATTGAAGCGTGGTGGGCTGAATAACGAAGTATCCAAGCCCCGCTGGTGCGGGGTGGGTGACCGCGGAAGGAATGAGGGAGAATTGGCGTCTGCATGAGGTAAAAATGCAGAAGACGTCCCAGGAGCAAACGCCGGGGTGGAATCACTGGCCGGCAGAGAGTAGTTGGCAGAGAAAGGGTAGGACGCATTGTTGGACTCCGACATGGGCGTCAGGGTAGGCCCGGCGGTGGTCGGTTCCGGTGGAGCGCTGCTCTCGGTTGTCGGTGTCGGGGCTGGCTGCAAAGATGCCGGTCGTGCCGCCTGGGTATCGACCGACTTGCGTTTGGCGGAGTTGGTAATCTTCGGACGAAGATGCTCCGGAAGATCTTCGGGACGGTCAATGCCCAACTGGGCCATGATCTTTTGCTGCTTAGTTGGACGCGGCTTCCGTGTCGACAATGATTGCTCCAGAATTGGTGGCGGCTCTGGGGCAACAGGCGCCCATTTATGTATCTCTTGCCGGAAGAAGTTTGTCTCGTAGGCCAAAAGCACCTCAGCGCCCTCGATCTTCCGCAGGTAGAAGATCAAGGTAGGAACCTCCTCGGTAGTCGTGCAAGTAGCATTGGTGAAGGCCTGCAGGAAATCGCGGAATGCACTTGCGTGGCTGACGATGCTGTCCAGCACTTCCTCTTCATCAGGCTGGAAAGGCAGACCCGCGATCTCCGCCTGCCAGTCCTGAAGATCTTCCAGTTTGGGACGTGCTGCATCGCGCGGGATCTTCTGCCTCCAGTCGCAGATGGGACAGGTGTACTTGTCGAATTCCTTGACCTTGCCTCGAGCAATCTTCAAACATTTACCGTGGTACCTGTATCCCAGGTCAGTCATTATGTTCCCGCAGGGAGAAATAAACCAGACTCACCACTCGTGGCAGACTTCACATTCAATCATCATTCCTGACTCTTTGTGTCTGCAAATGCAGAAAACGTCTCCTTTCTCCGATTTCGGACCAAACATGTTGGTGGTCGGGTTCTCAAGTAAACCGTCTGGGGTATTGTGCCGCGACGAAGGTTCCACAGGGGGGCGATAGCTATCCTGCAGGTCGAAACAATAAACATTCCGCTTGTCGACATACTCCATATGCGACTTTAAGATATGAAGAGGAGCATTGGCCTTGCCAAACAGCTTCTTGCCTTTCCGCATCCAGTCCTCGTGGCGCTTCTGTTCGCGCTCCAAATCAATCGCCCCGATGGGTCGACTGTTTAACTGTTCCAAGGACTCTGTGAGCTCACGGACTTCCTTATACTTTGGGCGGTTTTTCATGTTGGAGTCCTTGCTGCGTTCATAGAGGTCCTGGATCCGCTTCTGGGCCTCGCGTTGCTTGGTCAGGATGGCCTCCACAGAGGCCAAAGTCTCCGGGGAGACTGGGAAACGGGAAGCCTGGGCCGAGAGCGCCTCCAACTGCTGGTAGTGGACAGCATCGACGGCCATCAGTTCTTGGGCCTTAGCCTCCCATGCCTCACCATGACGGCGGAGCTCTTGGAAATGACGCAGAAGTTCGTTGCTGTCGGAAAGTCCCAACTGTTCTCCATTGGAGACTATCTCATGGCAGTCCTTGAGGGTTAGGTGCTTGTCTCGTCTCTGCCGCGCCTCATCGGTCCATTTAATTTGGCGCACAATCCGTTCCAGGTGCTCCACTTCCGGGATGTCCACGTTGAAGTTGCGGCCAGATTCGACCAACTCCTCGATTTCCTGGCTCGATCGGAGATGCGGGTTCATCAGAGCAGCGTTAACGTCCTTGCGGAATTTCTCGATCTCGCGGGTCTTCTCTTCCAGAGCCGCCATCTGTGGACAGTCGAAGGAAAGTTTATCAGCCTCTGCCAGAAGGGCGTATATGTGTTCCACTCTGCGGACTTCGCGATCCCGATCGTCCAGCTGCGCGGCCTTGGTACTGCCTCTGCGCCATGCTTTCTCGTTTTTCCTCCGGTTCTGCTGCTTCCGGGTAATGTAGTTGTTGGCTTCTTCAACCCACTTATCGCAACGCTGGACGAAGGCCGCAAGATCTTGGAGGCCAGGCAGGTGGTATGGGATTTTCTCACCTTCACTGAGTAAGTTATGAAGGGACTTCAGCTGTGGCTTTGGTTCGTCCTCCAGGGTCCTGTCGAGCTTTTCGTTCCATAGTTCCGGGATTTTGGAGCGCTCCTGCACCTTCTGGACTAGCTCCTTCAATGCGTCATCGGGTAGACGATAGCGTAAGGTATGGCCTGGTCCAAGTAGCTTCTGCGGGAAGGATTCACCGCAACAGTCATAGGTCTCCACATGCAACAAGCAGAGGGTCTTGTCTGACTTGTGACAGCGGAACTGGGTGAGATAAGTGTAAGCCTTGCAGTACTGGCACTGGTAATCCTCCTCGGGGAGGTCTTTCTCCTCGACCAAAAACGTGAGCTGACAATCACCAGTTGGGGAGTCAGTGCCAAGGGTACAGTTATGGGGTGCGACCTCCCTGTGACGGGCTATGAACGCTGCGCGGTCGCTTAGCTCTCTGGTGGTGGTCCGTTCGAGAGCAGGGGCCAGCCACTTGGCGGTGGTGATGGATGTATCCCGAGCAGCCGCCGTGAGTAGAAGCTCATCATGGGAGAAGCACGGGTGCTTGCGGAAGGACTGCAGCCGTTCGACACCCATCGCTCCCCATGGTTCCCAGTCTGCAGGGGCAAAGTTGACGGCCTCGTTGAAGTTGAATCCGTGGTTGAACCCGGCATGGTATGCCTGAGGGAACGTGAGGACAAACTGGCCGGCTCTCTGATCTATCGCATAGACGTTGACACCAGCCTTGCGCAGCTTGTCCGGCGGCATCAAGGTTACCAGCTGGAAGAGAAGATCGGGCTGACCTTCGAACAGCTCCGGGACGGCCTCTTTCATGGCTCTTTCGAACG